GACAGTGTGATGAGAAGGCGAGGGGATGATTGGGTCAATGCAACACACATCCTCAAAGCCGCAGGGTTCGATAAGCCTGCACGAACGCGCATCCTCGAACGAGAGGTCCAGAAGGGGGTACATGAGAAAGTCCAGGGAGGCTATGGCAAATATCAGGGTATGCCTTGGGATCTATGAGACTTGGAGAGAACGTTCAGCTTACTGACAGGTAATGCTCGCAGGAACATGGATCCCACTTCCGGAAGGCCGCCAGCTTGCGGAACGCAACAACATCCTTACAAAACTAGCCCCGATTTTCGATTATGTTGCTGGAGACCACAGTCCCCCACCGGCGCCAAAACACACATCAGCTCCATCTAAGCCTAGGGCACCAAGGAAATCGGCTGCCGCAAATCGTGCCGCCGCTGCGGCCGCGGCTGCCGCAGCGGTAGCAGCTTCAGAGAGCCTGAAAGTTGTTCAACCTCAGCGCAGCATGGGTCCCCCAACCATTCCACAAGATCACTATGAAATGAATGCAGGGTTCGACGATAACGAGTCAATCGGGCACGCTACAATTGAATCATCATCAATGGTCGCAGACGAGGATATGCTTCAAATGTCACATGGCGGACGGAAGCGGAAGCGTGGAGTGGATGAGGCAACCGCTATGTCCATCAGCGAGCAAGAACACATAATCTACGGCGATCAGCTTCTAGACTATTTCATGACCGTGGGTGATGCACCAGAGGCAACACGCATTCCTCCTCCCGAACCCCCTGCTCATTTCCAAGTCGATCGAGCCATTGACGATTCGGGGAACACAGCACTCCACTGGGCATGTGCGATGGGTGACTTGGGCATTGTGCAAGATCTTCTGCACAAAGGGGCTAATGTCAAGGCACTTTCGGAGCATGAAGAGACACCACTCGTTCGAGCTGTTCTCTTTACCAATAATTACGAAAAGAGAACGTTTCCGACTCTCTTAGATATGCTTCTGGATACTGTCTCTTTCCGAGACTGGTTCGGCGCCACTATCTTCCATCACATTGCAGAGAATACTCGAAGCAAGGGAAAGTGGAAGAGCTCACGTTATTATTGCGAAATACTCCTCGATAAGTTGTGCAAGACATGCTCCCAAGATGAGATACAAATGTTGTTGTCATGTCAGGATCAGAATGGTGACACCGCTGTCTTGGTCGCTGCTCGCAATGGCGCGTTTCGTCTGGTGAACATCCTTCTTGTGCATTGCCACCGCGCTGGCGATCTGGTGAATAATAAAGGAGAAACCGCTAGCAGTATCACACAACGTTCTCAACATCATGACCATGACATCCCGCCGGCTCCATCTTCCGTCACCATGGCTAATGAACATATGGATGCTGAAGCAGCTGGTCTTGCGGGCACGGACCGACAGTCCGTTGCTCCAATCCCGGATGCCCCTGCGACCTCTGAGCTCCTCTCCAAGATTGGGGCAATCATGGCCGAGGCTAATAAAAAGCTTGCTGTGACCTATGGAAACTCAAAAATCAACCAGCAAGATTCCAATGATGTCGCCAATCCTGAAGCGTTACATGAGCAATTGGAATCCGACCGCCAGAAGATCCAGAAGCAACTCTCTGCATTGGCCGCTAAGGAGGCCGAGCATGAGCGCAATGACGACCAAGCTGGTCGATATGAAAAGCTGCGGGCAAGCTATGAGTCCCTTCTTGAGCAGATCCAGCATGCTCGGTTGGCCCAACAGTTTGCTATTACAGAGGTACCTAAACCTTCGGCGGCGTCCCTTGAGCAAGATGAATTAATGGCTCGGTATCGACTCGCTCAAGAGCTCTGCTCTGCGCAGAAGATACGTCGCAATGCTATTAAGGATTTAGCCCAACAAACAGCGGATGCGGGTGTGAGCACCAAATTCGATATGCACCGCAAGCTGGTGGCTTTGGCGACCGGACTCAAAGAAGAAGATCTGGACCCTATGGCTGCCGAGTTGGCTGAAACGTTGGAATTTGACCGAATGAACGGCAAGGGAACCACCCCGGAACTAGGTCATCGACGATTGCCATCCCAGAATGAGTCGGCCACTCACCCTGGACCCGGTGTCCCAGTGGATGCTTAAGTACCTCGAGGTCGCACCCATGGACTCCATGTTTGATTATATTTCATGACTCATTGATTTTCTTCCTCTGGCACACTATCTCAGCCAGCAGATACCCCACATCTTCATCATTCTTTTTTTCTTTGTATCCATTGTTTTATCTTTTCCTCATGTTCTCATGGCTCATCAACACCTCATCTAGTGGTGATTTGAGTCCCATTCTCCATCTGACTGGCATTCTGACCCACAAGCAGACAAAGCAACACAGGCTGTCTAACTCTTTTTCATGTGTGTCTGTACAGACCATAGGAGTGCTTGTACATTGTAGATACAACGTGGGGGACACCGGTTCCCGGACGGGTGAGATGCAAAATACGAAGCCAGGAGGGGCTGAGATGTACGTTATACATGTATGATATATTTAGGTTGACAAAAGGCGAGGTTAATACCAGCGTTTGCGTGAAATTCTGCAGTTGACAATCTAGATCTTCATGATCCGTCGTAGATGATAATCACGTAAGCCCCCATGCCACGATCTCACTGAACAGTTGCCTAGTCTGTGCAATTTCACGATCATAGCCTGGTGCCTTATCACCTTGTTCTATATATGATCCCTAAAAGACGCAACAGTGCAAGCCCATCATTATCATATTTCGTTGCAACCATGCATCCATGCCTTGGTTCATACGCCAACAGCGAGGTATCATCATCTTAATTAGCCGGGATCCAGCTCATCCAAGGTCTTCCACAAGATATTTGATGTGTCATTTGTTGCGGATGGGACTCATAACATCACATGATTACCATGTGCAAGGTAACAAACGGGAAAGCATGTGATGATAATTGTAGAGTCTATTTAAATTTCTACTCCATACCAACTTGGCAGACAATGTTCTACAAGTCCCCTGCGTTGGTTTTCCCGGCCTCTTTTGCCTTTTAGAGATCAAAAGCTGCCAAAATCACTTACAGTTCGAGAGGCAAATTTAAAATTCTACCCTCCTGATCATCTCACAGCACTAGATGGAGACCCAAGGCTATGAGGGAGCAAAGTCAGACAGGGAACATTATAGAAACACTATCAACATGCCCGGGAGTGCTAAAGAGCAGGAGAACGATGAACCCTGAGAAGACACGCTAAACTAGATTCCAGAATCAAAGGTTATACATAGAAAAGTCTCAAACACAAAGTATGCTTCCCCCTCTTTTTCTGCTGCCTAGCTAACAAACTGAGAAAGGGGGGACAATATCTATGAAAACAGACATCTGGAAAGACTGAGAGGAATCCGAAAAGACCACCAAAAAAGACATCTAAAGGACCATCTGAGAAGACTACCGAAAAAGGTTACCAAAAAAGACTCGACACGGCCGCATAAGCGGCCGACTATTCTTGTTTATCGTCATGGTAGAATACGATGAACAAGGTTGTAACAATGATCACAATGAGATCTGTTTTAGGTATGAGCTAGAAGCAAACAAGTCCAGGTAAACCCATTGGCTAGCGCTGGCAGCTTGGCATTAGCGACGAGCGGCTCCAGGGGCATTGTCAGGCGTGGATGGCAGCCACGTCGCGCCGCTAGTGACCAACAGCCAATGATTTGGCTTGGGATGTGATGGGGGGTCACTTCGTGTCTGGGTGTGTTGCTTATTGGCCGACAGGACGAGCCAGTTAGATCTCCCCAATGGGTGTTCTTCTGTGATACTGTCAGTGATGATCAGGCAGTCAGGCAAAAGAATAATAGAATATTTGCCTAGAGTATAGGTAAAGCTGTAAAAGGTTGAATTACCCCGATTTTTCCCAAACATGAGGAACAGAATCAAAGAAAATATCAAAGTGAGTGTTTGTTGATATTCCGTTGATATTCCCTCCCAAAGCAATTGTGCCTGGAGAAAAGACGCTAGTACCCTTTGGGCCCATTGTGTTCGGGTTGGTGCCTTGGATATCAGGCAACAATCCCCGCCTAGGCCATCCACCATCTTCATCAATCTCTCTCTTCTTCTCTCACTTCCCTCCATCTAATCTTCGATTCTTTCTTTTCCTTTTCCCCTCTGCATTCCTTCTTTCTTTGCAGCTCTTCTCGTTTCATGGAAAACACTCAAAAAAGTATTTATCCACTTTGCAAATAGTCCCGATTAGTTCCGCCCCCCCTGAGGAAAAACATTGTGTTTGGCCGAGACCCGAATTCACTGCATTTTCGATTGCCTCCAGTTCATCTCTTCGGCCGGTTCCCTGAACTTGTTTTTGCCTCGGTTATTCGCACAGCACTGGGTTGTTTGGTCGCGACCTTTGGTGTTTCAGCCTCCAAGTCTTCGATCTTCGGCATCGCGTGAACTACTCTCTTTTTTTCTATTCGGCTAGGATTTGCAGAGCATTTCCCCCAGACATCTTATCTTTTCTTCGTGGTCTTGCTTCGCGCGTGGCTTTTTCTCCTCAAAAATATCCTCTTAATTGTTTTTTTTTTTCTTTCTTGCGAGGTATCTGTCAACAAATCACCACCTCCTCGGCGTCCTCGAGACCTACCTATTCCTCGGGTCGCAGCTTTCAAACCCAGCAAGTCCTTGTACAGCTTGGTTCTTCTATCATCTGCCCATCTTTATTGCTAGCCACTCGCTCGCTTTCTTTGCATATCTTCACCTGTGATTGGTACGTGTTGTTGCATTTTGCCCCATCCGTTGGATCTTACTGACCAGTTTCTGGATATAGAAGCCCGACTCTCGCGTCCACGTTTTCTTTTTCGGTCGTTGAATCTCGATATTGCAGACTTATTTCAGCGCTCGTTCTTGCATAGACACCATAATTCCTTAATCGCCGGAAAGTGAGTTCAGCTTTGTGGTTGACCCCAAACGCTCACGTCGAATCCGGACGTCAAAAGATACCACTTGTCTCGCTCGCATTCTATTGCACATACCTACAATCCACCTCTACCGAACGAATATGAGTATGGACGCTGGCGGTCTTGCTCAAATGTCTTACAATTCTTCTTTCAATAATGGCAATTCCCTGGGCGTGCCGGGCTCTGGCTTTGCCTCGCGCGGCAAAGGCTCTCACATCAAACGCTTGAGTATGCCTCCCCAGGTTGCTACCATCGACGAGTCCCAGACATCGGCATCTGTCTCCACTCCGCGTACCAGTCGCTCTCATCTTTTGGCTGGACTGCGCACTGCTCCCAAGTCTGCGACAATCCCCTCTGAACATCAGCAGCGGAGTGGAATGGAAGGTGCACGATTTACTGGGTATTCCAACCGAGGGACCGACCGTGTCCCACAAACTGCGACCGGAACTGGATTCCCACAGCACAATTACACCACGAATCAGAACGTGAACTCGCACCGCAACAACTCGCACCATAACAACTCGCACCACAACAACCCGCACCACAACAACTCGCACCACAACCGCATGATGTACACTATGCCGGAGCAGGTACTTGCACCTCCGACGCTTGAAATGGCCGGTGGCGATATTCCAATCGATGAGAACATGTACGCGGAATTGATGTCAACCAACCTGTTCCTTGCTGCCCAGCAGCAACGCCTGCAACAGCAGTTAATCAGTGTCACCGCTGCAGCTCAGCAATTCCAAGGCCTCAACCTTGGGATGTCCCTTCCTCGGCAGCAACAGGTTCCTTCGCTCTCCATCCCTGGCATGGGATTTTATCAACAGCAGCTCCAGCAAGGTGTTCAGCCCATTGTACAGCCTGTTCCTGGTCAACCTGGAATGTTCTGCGTCTACAATCCTCTGACTGGCCAACAAAGCTACATCATGGACAACAACTCCCAGGAAGATCGCCAGCAACAGTTCTATCAAGATACTCAGTCCCATATTGGCCAGCAGGTTCCCCAGTTCCGTGCAGAGATTTCTCCTCCTGCGGACTCCACGCAATCCCCCATGCAATTCCCGCAGCCAATTTCCCCTCCGGTTGGCAGCCCCTCTCCGCCCCACGAATCGTCTGTGAATGCTCTCCGCCGAGGCCATCGCAAGAACCTTTCGTTTAACCCAAGTATCAAGACGAACATTGATACTGTCAAGGCCAATGTGGGACCCGGCCCTAGGTCTGCTGCCCTGCCGCCGACACCGGCCACTGGAACATTTGGACCCGGTCAAAGTCGTGCTGGTGAACATCCGATGCGCCAGCCCCGTGGTCCCCCTTCGCTTGAGGATCTCGTGGCCAAGCCCACCTCCAAGCACGAAGGTAGCAAGAACTTTGCGACCCGTCAGCGACGTCGTGCCGTTCACAATCTTGTTCGCGCAGGGATCGAGCGTCGTGGCGACACACGCAGTTTTGGATACCATAGCAGCGGAGGCACTAACACCCCTGCGAGTGAGAAAGAGTTTACCTTCTCGGATGGCGATGATGCCACCGTGCGCAGTGGCGGAAGCCTCTCCAGCAAGCCTAGTCTAGGCAGCCTGCGAGCAGTTGCTAATGGTGCCATTGGGTCCGAGAGAAGGGAGAAATCTGGCCGGGATCGCAAGTCCCCGGACAGTCCCTTCCACAGCGCCACCCCGACTAGCGAAGACGGTGGCTACTTTTACTCAAAGTTTGTTGATCCTCGCGGGGACTATGCCCCCTCGCCTAGTACCAGTGGCACCTCGTCACCCTCAGTGGCGGATGTTGTTGCTGGCCAGGGGCCGGCAGCCCAGGCACCAGAACGGCGCAAGACGCCGATGCTGGTGTTGTCCAGCGCTGAAAAACGCAAGACACCTTTCATGTAATGCCGAACACCACGTGACAGCGACGTATGACCTTTTGTTTCATGTTTTTCTTTTTGCCAAACGGGTTGACTTTTGTCTTTCTTTGCCTATCGAGTCCTGATTAAAGGGTCTCGACAGCGGCTGGCCCCCGACATTCCTTTTCTCATTACCACTCTATTGCTGGCAACTCATGCCAAGGTTTATGTTTTTGTGACGAAAGACCTTGATTGGTCTGAAATGACTTTATTCTTATTTGTTCTCTTTTTGCTTATCTTCATCCTTATCCACTACGTTCTATCCTTTTGCCACCTACCTTCATTACAGCCGAGGCTGGGCAGACCGGCTATATTTTCCCGGAAAAGACAGGATGAGCTTGAGACTGGAAGAGAGGCACCTGCTTTGGCAAGTTGTTTTCTCTTCTCCTCTCCATTTGGCTTCTGATGTACATCTGGTTATGTACAGACAAGTCTCCCAGGTGCATTCTTTGAGCTCAGATCACCCTGGTGAATACATATCTTAGCAAATGTCTGATCTTGTTTGAAGTATCTATCTTGTTTTGGCTATGTTGATCATACTCCATGAACGTCTCTAGTATCTAAGTAGTTTTTTGGTCGAACAAATCCAACGACTTATTCGGATTATGCCGATTTGTTTCTTAGATCCTACGATAATCCTGATGTTGTCCTACAATTACCCACGTGGACCATCTGGTTACTCGGTTTGTTAAAGAGTCCTAGGTAGGTATCGCTCGAAAGTTACGTGTGGAAAAGGCGTCCTCTATGATTGGTAACTCCTTTAGGTTTGGTATTTCGACCTGTGACTAGAAAGTAAGGCAAAAACATGGGTCAAAAGGTCATTACAAGGTACTTTAAAGAAAGGCCATCAGAATCCGAGGTCACCATGACTGCTTGTGAGATTGATATCAACATGCGAGACGAGGCAACATGTATCTCGCTAGACCACATTCAAAGGTCTGTGGTCTTCATGCAGCATGTACATCATGCTTAGTCTCATGGTTACAGAGTTACAGAGCCGGGTTGTATGCTGATGATTATGGAGGGTGGCTCTGAACTCGGAGTAGCTGCATAAATATTTCGGTTTCTATTTACACTTTTGTCAACAGGCAAAATAAAAGGTGGTTTATTATAAAATCCACTGCGATAGACTCACATCTTAAACCGCCGTTATCGGCGAGGACAGTGATGGGTTACCCCAAGACGAGGAGTTCAGTGAGGCGATTATTATAAAGTAAAGGATGCCAAGGTCGTACGGCGGACGGAAGTAAATGCTGCTAGCTGCTTGGTAGATCTTGGCTTCTGATCATATATGTAGTTTAATGTCCGTCCACACCATGAACAGGGTAATAATCACTTGGGCTGCAAAGTGAAGCCCCGTGAATAGTATTCCCCGTGGATGTAGATGGCATCTAGTTCTAATCTACTTGGCTGGTTGCCTTGCCTGCATCAAACAAACCTTGGTATTCTTGGGTGTCGAACCTGGAAGTTATGAGCCACTACCTAGGTATGCATTTACCTATACAGTTTTGCCTTTGAAGTACGTGAGAATCTCGGGGCATTGTATATCAAGAACCATGGTACGACCACGGCCTTAAAAAAAGGTTTGACACCAACCCTAAGTTGACAAGGTTTATACACAGGCACAAGTCAACCCATCAATGTCCACAATATAATCACAAGAAAAGATGTTAGAACATACGTAAAACAAGTATATGTTTTTGCCGATGGTAAGCATCTTGAGTCGAGGACTTAACCTTAGGAATGTAAATGGGATCTTCGTTTTCTTAACATGCGGAAAGTCTAATGTCACAATGGGTAACTGTAGAGGACAAAATATTTACCCCCAGGCCACGCAAGAATCCTGGAATCAAAGCTGCTTTATCTGTGTCTACTCGAGGACAGAGCAGCCGGACCTCCGTGGCACATGCGTCTCACATAGACAGTATAGTATTTATGTTAGCTCTGCAGTCCAAGCTTAAGTATTGGTCCCTGCGTCCCTACAGGTCACACCATTATCTTCGGTACGGCTGGTCGGGGAAGAGGGCCGTGTGACTGAGAGGGAAGGAGAGGGTGTCACGGATGGTTGTGCAGTCGCATTGTTGCATAAAAGAATGAGATAGAGGTGAAGCAAGACATGTTTAGTCAAGCCTCCTGAAGTCTACAGTTTTGATAGCGTAATATGTCAATCTAGTCCAGGAAAGGAAACAAATGGGAGATCATACCGAGGATAATTAACGTTTGATAACAAGCACCTCGGAAGAGACGATCCTGGTCCTATCTGATACCCCTTCAGAGGTTTTAGAAGTCATCTTGCACGGTACCCAATTGGAAGTACCGTTCGATTGCCACACCCGAGAAACAGGTTGGGCCCTGGTTGTCTCCCCCTGACTGATAACCATGACTAGCATGGATCCAGAACTAGTCAGCAGCCACATCTGTAAGCTTAAATCACCCAAGCTCCCTTGACGTAGGTTTTTGGGCAGCATATGTTGGGTAATGATCGTTGCCTAGATAAGCATCTCACATCATTAGGTGGCACAATGACGAGAGAGGAGCTCATGTTTTGGATATTGGATAGGTTATTGACCATGAAAAAGGGGGGGGAAGGGTTTCGAGCCCACTCAGGAGTGCATGTGTGCTTGTTAGAACTCTCCTATAGGCAATAGAAGCGGTTCTAGCACTAGGAAAAGCAGAGAGAGCAGATAATTCCCCCGGATATCAGTGCAACCTTCTCATCTGTGGTACCCTGTACATTGCCGGGACAGATTAAAAACCTTCAACATCCCCTCTGAGGATGGACATTGAGTCGGGTCTCGGAAGTGTTTCCGGGTGTCTTCCCGTGGTATGAGTACTCATATGCTTCTCGGTGAAGATCTCGGTCGGAAGGGAGGGAGATGCCCATCGATGCCGATGAGATTCTTCCCGATGGTGTGATAGGTATCTTCAGACCCTGAATATTGATATAGAATTATAGTATGCAGGTGGGTAATAAGATAGGCTGGAATCTCTATGTAGTTCTCGACTGGTCGGATCAATTAGAAACTAGTGAAAAGCAGGTATCTTGCAGGTATCATGCAGGTATCTTGCATGACGGAAATGTTTCGCCTGTCGGGTGATTTGTGATTTCCCATGATGTCAAAGACACACAAGGGATGGCTTGGACTAGTTCGTAATCGCATTTCATACGTCAATGTGGACGAATGTGGACGAAAACAGAAGTAGAAGGGGAGATAAGACCAGATATTACTCCTTAGTCAACATTGAGAAGGTAAATCCACGCTAAAAAAAAGAGTTGCTCCACTGATCTTCTTCAACCTCTGATCGTGAAGATCCTTCTTCGGCCAATCTCTCGATACCCACACACACACCCCCTTTGACCTGACGCGGCCATCAGATTCTTTTTTGACTCTGCGGATTTGTGGGACCTCATGGGCTTGTGAAACCCCTGGTCTCTTTGACAAGGAGCTCGGTCCCCTTCTCTCTCTCCCTTTTGGGGGATCTTCTGCTCGGCCAACGGTAGAGATTCGGTGAGGTTTGACGATATACGATCCAGAACGCCGGCTGTGATGACAATCCAACCCCTTTCAGGCTAGAGAACCGGGACTCGCTCAACTAGTCTGCCAATCTCCCGCAATACCCGCCAAGGGGGAATGTACCGTATCTATTCACCATTCTGGCTGTCAATTCCTTACCTCGGCCCATCCTCTACTCTTACCGTGGACCTTGCTAGCTGATTGACCATTGTGGCAAAATGGCAAAACCCGTGAGAAACTGGGCATGGGGATGGCGCCTCTACGGCTACACGGGGTCATCATGGCCCAAAAGAAATTCACCTCCAATGCAGTCTCATTGGGCCTCTGACTCTTCTTGATATGGTCCGTGTGCTGCCCAGCAAACCGGAAAGGTCTTTTTTTCTCTCTCTTTTTATTTAGTCCTGTCTTTAACCGAGAGGATCCTCGTAAATAGACGAACTCCTGCATCCAAACTTGGTGTCCACAGTCTCTTTTATATTGATCTGCCTTGCCTGATCTCTTTTCCTGCCCCTTCCTCCGAGGTTGCATATATCCTTATTTTCCGATACAATATCTATATCTAATTATGTACACATGACATAGTTGTCATTCCTGGTGGGACTTCCTCCGATCTCAACCCCCCTTCCCGATAAGCTCTAGACCTGGCGTACAGGTTCGTGCCAGTTCTTTTTTGTGTTGGCGTCAGTATCTCTTCCTCTTTTTTTATGCTTCTGCTTTGAACAAGGTGAGCTCACTATCTGTTTGGTTGTCGAAGCTCGCAAAGTCCCGGAAACAAGAGCTCTCCCCATGCTATCTCACATAGCTGACTGTTGCTGGGTTACAGTTGACCACCTGGGCAAATGAACCGCCCTACCCGTGCTTTATCTAAGAGCTCGGTCATCCAGGGGGTCTGTGAGCTCTACTGAGTAACCAAGAAGTAGATGCCAATTTAAGAGAAAGGATTACACCAAAATGGCGGGAGGTTATTTTGACCTTCCGATCTCCCGCAGCGCCTCTGATGAAGGATCGTCAAGTCTATCAAGGTCGCATTCCTTTACACCATCACTGCCCAGTGATAGCTTCCAAGGCCAGCCAGTGTCTCAGGTGCGAAGCTTCAGTGACGCTAGCGCACAGGACAAGTATCGGAATGCAGGCATTCTGAAAGGCACAAATCGTATCAAGCTTACGGCCAGCGAATCCGGGCTGAGAGAACAACACACTGGGTCCATGGTCGAATTCCGACTGGACCAAAGGGGCACCGAGCTGCCGCAAAGACCATTACCCACTGCCAACATTCCAGGTTTCCAGGAAAAAGTCTCCTCAAGCTCCCAACTTGCATCACAGGTGGAAGATGATCACTCTAGCGCGTCAGTGGATCTTACCGGTTTGACGATCAGCACCAGAGCTAGCTCACCAGGAACTTTAGGAGAGTATGAGCTTGGTCAGGGTACAAATGACAAGGGGCGGGCCATCTGCTTCGCACATGAAAGGGCCCACAAGCTCGCATCCCTTCTCAATTGCCCCCATAATTCTCCGAAGCAAAGCCCTCGGTGCAGTCTGGTGTCTGAGATTGGCTCCACCCCCGCTGATGTGCCGTACGAGACTGAAGATGGAGATAAATTTCCTGTGATAAGCTTCCCTGAGAAACAACAACTCTTCGACAACTTAATAGATGAATATGAAGCGGACTTCTTAGACGGGCGATCAACACCGCGCACCTCCGGAGCCCATTATATAGTGCATCAAATGTCACCTCGAGACCTCAGCTTTCTGACTCGCATTCGCCCTCCATCTCCCGGCTTGCACTCCAGTGACCAAGACACTGCCAGCGAGGACAGGAACTCATCCGAGTCTGCTGAACGAACCTCACATTACCGTGGAGGCATTCTTTCATCGCTGCTCAAGCTTTACGACCAGCCTCGTCATAACCACAACCACAACGAAGGTCGAGGACGTTATGGGCGCTCTCGACAGGGGAGCTCTTCCGAGTTCAGTGGACGCGGCCTATCCCTCGACTCTGTTTGGAAACCGCAAAGGAAGTGGTACAATAAATCAACCGCTCGTTCCAGCATTTCCATGGCGGGCTCGTCCCGCCGCTCTGGCTCTCCTTTTGCCATGCTCACGCGGTCCCGCAGCAGTGGTTCTGCCATCCCCAGCTTAGGCCGCTCACGTCCCAAGCCTCAGATTGAGGATGAAATTCATATCACTGTTCATATTGCAGAGCTTCTGTCTCGACAACGGTACTTGATCCGGCTTTGCCGTGCTTTGATGAAGTATGGAGCTCCAACTCATCGATTGGAGGAATATATGCGCATGACAGCTCGTGTAATCCAGATTGATGGCCAGTTTTTGTATATACCCGGTTGCATGATCATCTCCTTTGACGATGCTTCCACACACACAACAGAGGTCAAGGTCGTCCGGTCCAGTCAAGGTATTGACCTGGGTAAGCTGGCCGATGTGCATGAGATTTATAAGGAGGTGATTCATGATGTCATCGGGGTTGGAGAGGCAATACAGCGGCTCGATGAGGTTATGATGAAGCAGAGCAAATTCCACATTATGTTCCTCATCTTCGCCCATGGCTGTGCTAGCGCATCAGTTGGGCCCTTCGCCTTCAATGCCCGACCGGTTGATATCCCCGTGGCATTTCTACTGGGGTGTCTCCTCGGAGTATTACAATTGATCTTATCAACCAAATCGAGCTTATATTCGAATGTGTTTGAGATCTCTGCCGCAGTCCTCACGTCTTTCCTTGCGCGTGCCTTCGGAAGCATCAGATTCCATGGGGAACCTCTTTTCTGCTTTTCTGCCCTCGCACAATCGGCCATCGCCCTCATCCTGCCAGGATACACTGTATTATGTGCTAGTCTGGAGCTCCAGTCACGCAGTATAGTTGCAGGCTCTGTTCGCATGGTGTATGCGATCATATACTCGCTTTTCCTCGGGTTTGGAATTACCATTGGCACTGCCGTTTACGGGCTCCTCGACTCTCAAGCCTCAACAGAGTATACATGTCCCGCCAGTCCCATCCACAACGAGTACCTGCAGCGGTTTCCGTTCGTGATCATATTCACCGTGTGCCTGGCGATCGTCAACCGCGCGAAGTGGAAACAAATGCCGATTATGATAGTAATCTCTCTCGCTGGCTACGTGACCAACTACTTCAGCGCCAAGCGCTTCTATTCCAACACCCAGGTGTCCAATGCCCTGGGCGCCTTTGTCATTGGTGTAATGGGCAATTTCTATAGCCGGCTACGGCATGGGCTTGCCGCTGCGGCAATGCTGCCGGCGATCTTTGTCCTTGTTCCCTCCGGTCTTGCGGCTAGTGGGTCTCTGATATCGGGTATTACTTCTGCGGAGGAAATGACCCGGTCTCCATATGCGGTTGTGAACAATGGAACACAAGGATTTGTCGACGCGGCGAAGAAACTATCAACCGACGAGGCCAGAGACCAAAGCTATGGGGTCGTTTTCGATATCGGATATGGCATGGTCCAAGTTGCTATTGGCACGACGGTCGGTCTCTTCCTAGCCGCTTTGGTGGTTTATCCGCTAGGCAAGAAGCGAAGCGGACTGTTCAGCTTCTAGGCCGTGGAGCTCCGTGTCGACTCTCCCTCTATCCTCTATTGCATTTATCTTTCTTTTTGCTACGTGCATTGCTTTGTCGTCATGCTCGACTACCGAGTCTCTTGGATATTTCGCATACGTGAACCCCGAATTTGAGGAACGGGAATTCACTTGCTGTATTCTAATTGTTTTCCATTGTCTGAGACTGGCGAATGCAAAGACTATTGGCCTCTTTGCTGCGTCTTCTCGATCTTCCATTCCCTTTCTTGTCCTCGCCGATCAAGTCTACATTGACTCACTATGCCGACCCTCTCTGTCTGGACATTTATAGAAGCTACGATTTTCACGAGTCACGACTAAAATCATCGAGGCCCTCCTTTCGCTTGTGCCTGTCCTTTTATTCTCTTAATCCTTCATCTCGGGTGTAGCACATCCCCAAATATCAAATTTGGGATCTTCCCGTACCATCGAATGTTCCGCTATACAGGACCCGACCCGCAAGTTCGGCTTCCCCAAGGGCAGGCTAAAATGAGTTGACCAATATAAGACTTGATTAAATAATGTCGTGCATGCAACTCCTCTCTTGGTCCGTGTTGTTGAGTAGGTATCCATTTCCTGAGTCGGAAAGAATAGCCACAAGATTTTATCAAACTCAAGTGACTGCGAAACGTGTTGATTATACCGTAGATTGTAGCATGCAGGCAACTTATATCGATCAATGCTTTTATAGTCAGAATATCCTTCCACTCAACCATCACCCTTGGGGTTTTCGGTGACGGAGAGTACAATTTATCGCTAAGCAGTAATGGAAGAGCACGAATTTGACAATGTATATTGAAAGTCCTAAGTGGGATTTTCATTGTGTCTATTATGTGGGAAGTATACGAGCCCAGCCCAGCCTGAGCATTATCTGGCTTCTCTTGTTTTTTTCCTCCCCCTTTCTTTCAGTGGTAATATTGCATGCATTTAAAACTCTCCGGAGATTAGTAAATGAAAAAAAAAAGACAGAACTTAGCAGAAATGTACTGTAAATGGTTCGGGTTCTCTGCAAAAAAAAGGTGTCGGAAACTTAACGGTATGTCTCCGTGGTAATTTAGTTTAATTCAGGATTCACAGGGATTATATCATTGGTGTGAGAAGATTTCCAAAAATTTCCCCAGGGGTAAACCGTAGAACTAGTAAACTATTTAGCCAATAAACTCGTAGGGCCATCTAGCTTCGGCGACTTTAGTTAAACGCGGAGACTTCTTGGCCCACTACATAGATCCTTTGCGCTAAAGAGACATGCTTCTGTACTCTAATTACTATAGGATAGAATAGTGACATATGTCTTGCCATCTGGCCCATGCTGACAATTGGTACTGGTCTAGATGCCCTCACTTATCTCATGCTTGCTCATGCTTGTTTATGCCGGATATAAAAAGGATCGAGACTGACTATTCTCCTACCTCTACGAACTCATTGAACTCATTGAAACATCATAAACTTGTCTGGTCGGTTAAAACATATTGAACTCTTCAATACAAAGATGTCGCCACATTCAGACGACGAACCCAACTTGAAGCTCGAGGCTGATGGCCGGTCTCTCAGCCCGACCCCAGAGCCCGAGTCAAATCCAATGGACAATATCGAATTTCCCTCGGGGATGGCCTTGACTGTGATCATGGCTGGCTTGGTAGCTGCAATCTTTTTGATCTCCCTGGACACCACCATTATCTCGACTGCTATCCCTCGCATCACGGATGAATTTCACACAGTGACGGACATTGGATGGTACGGATCGGCTTTCTTCCTCACCCTCGCTTCTTTCCAGGGCACATGGGGCAAGATATACCGCTACTTCCCACTCAAAATGAGCTTCGTGGCATCCATGGCTCTGTTTGAGGTGGGCTCATTGATCTGTGCTGTCGCGAAGAACTCTGTGACACTGATTGTTGGTCGCGCTATCGCCGGCGTGGGCGCCGCAGGTATCTCCTCTGGATCCTACACCATTCTAGCCTTCTCGGTTCGTCCTGAAAAGCGTGCCGCCATGACAGGTGCCATCGGAGCTAGTTTTGCCGTCGCCAGTGTCGCCGGTCCTCTCATCGGTGGAGCCTTCACAGAGAAGTCAACCTGGCGATGGTGTTTCTGGGTCAATCTACCCATTGGTGGCCTTGCAGCTGGGTTGGTCATTCTGTTCTTCAAAGCTCCCCCGCAATCCCAGGTGAAGAATGCCTCGTGGAAGGAAATCATGCTTCAAATGGACTTTTCTGGAATCTTACTCCTGCTCGGCGCGATCCTTTGTTTCCTGCTCGCCCTGCAATGGGGTGGGTCGGCCAAATCTTGGAAGAATGCAGACGTGATTGGGACGTTGATCGGCTTTGGGTTGCTCATTGTGCTTTTCTGTGTCAACGAGGTCATGTTGAAAGATAAAGCCATGATCCCACCCCGGTTAATGAAGCACACTACTGTTCTTTTCAGCTCAGCCTACACTTTCTTTTTCTGCGGCTCTTTCTACCTGTTGCTTTACTACCTCCCAATCTACTTTCAGTCCGCCAAAGGCAGCTCAGCCGCGAACTCGGGCGTTCGTATGCTGCCACTGGTGTTAGGAAATGGGCTGTTTGCCACCCTTTCCGGTGTCATTCTGGGTATGATCGGATACTACATGCCTCTGCTGACGGTGGCGAGCGTATTGACCACCGTCGCAAGTGGCTTACTCTATACCCTTGATTTAAACTCTGGGCCCAACAAGTGGATCGGGTATCAAGCCATGGCAGGTATCGGCATTGGACTAGGAATTCAGGTGCCCATGATGGCGAGTCAGGCTGCTGTGGAGGTGCAAGATTTATCCACTGTTTCCGCCCTCATCCTCTTCTTCCAGTGCATAGGGGGTGCTATTTTTGTGCAGGCAGCCCAGGCTGCTTTTAGCAACAAGTTAGTGCAGGAGGTGCATCGGCATCTACCAGATCTTAGCACGGCTCTCATATCTGGAGCTGGTGCGACCGAACTGAAAGAGATTTTCACCACTGACCAGCTTGCCGTGGTTTTGGATGGCTACATGGCCGGATTGAAGGACTGTTTCATCCTATCCATCGTCCTTGCGGCGATTGCTATCTTGCTATCTTTCTGTTTTGGGCGGAGGAACTCGAAAAGCAAAGAGACACCTGTGGCCGATCGTACAGGAGAAGCCTGATTATGTTTCTTTTCGGTCATCCTGTTTTAACCTCTTGGAAGGCTTGCCATCACTGATGCTTTGCTTACTATGATCTCGATATATTTCCAAGGTCGCACAGAGATATTGCATACTTTACAGTTTATTGTCACATCTGGTTTGACCTTTGGGTCCTATTTTCTCCTATTCTATTTCTTTATTCTGTTGTCTCTAATCAATTATATCAATCCTATCAAAATACACACCTATTACCGTGATTCACCCTTTAGTCATTGTGTTTGGCCAACTTGTCTTCAATCCCCTAAATAGTATTGCTTATAATTCAATGATCTTATATTATTTTTCCCTTTTGTTCTCAAATATTCGAAGTATTTGTGATCTTTTTCGAAAACAACGTGAGATTTGGTACTAAATCATTTATCTTTGACCTTACGTGATGTGATGCCTTCAAACCATAGCAGCATCAACGACGTTGTATTATTGAGTTTACGGGAGCTTCCCAAGTACTAGCCAGAGTGATAAAGTTGTTATTTGACTACTTCGAATATCAACATGTTTCGTATAGTTGAAAATGCTGTTTGTGACTCTCGATCTTTGGTCTGCATCCCGGCATCATTGTTAAGGACGTCTTGGATGGGGAGATCTAGGAATAGTTGCTCCACGGGCTTGGTCTCTGGAAGATTTGTACCCATAGCTTCGGGCAGTCATTGGCTTGGAAAATATGAAATAGTAACGCTTATGTATAGGACGTGATAAATAACTTTCGGGCTATTGTAATATGAATGGAGAAGAATATGGGGATGTTGGCAGTGGAGAGAGGTCGGGTTTATGAAAGCATTACAGACTCGGGAATTGATGGGGCAAGCTTCCTTTGTCGCAGTATCTGCGAAGGCGTATAACTACACCTTCGCAGTGATCCCATTCACTGAGACTGTAGAAAGTTTTAATGTACAACATAGAAGAAAAGAAAAATGAGCAGTTACTTATGGCCATTATCAAATGCACTTTCTCGAGATATCCTCTCTATCTGGGGGAGTCTACCATATGCCTTCCTCTCCCCGATTTATACTATGAAGCAGCCCGACGTAAGAGAAAAACAGAATGCCTAGACGAGTAAGCAAAGGATTTCTACAGTTCCCCATCACTTCCAAACTCCACTACGGGTTGCGCCTGGAGCTGAGCAACCAGCCCCCCAGCAGCGAGAGATCCCATTGCAGTCGCAAGGCTGACTACCTTGATGGGAGTGGCACAGTCTCCTACTGCGAATACACCAGGAACACTGGTCTCGTGGAATGGCTGGGATGTTTGAAGATCGCCCCCTTCTGTTAAGGCCAAAGAAAGCTGGTCGGCAAAAGGTCCGTTTATCTCTGTCTTTGGGTTGTAGACCTGTAAGTGCACAGTCAGTACTCCGTAATGTCCCCCAAAATATGTTGAAGCAAATGCGTACCAGGAAGCCCTCTTCTTTGCTATCTGCCTGATCCTTGAAATGAACAATGACTGTTTTGTCCACCTGTCCCTTTTCGAATCGAGCGATCGGTCGCGACTGTATTTGGAGCCAGGATGCGGTTTCAGGCGCCGCTTCCTGAATCTCGGTGACAAGAGGTTGATTGCCATCGGTGTAAATAGTCACAGACTTGGAAAGCCGATGAGCCATGCGAGCAAGGTGTAGGGCTCTCTGCACGTTGGCGACGAGACCTAAAGCGATGACTCCGACGGTCTCCTGGCCCCGTTCTTCGTAACCATCACAGAACAAACAGTGGTAACTGGGAATTGTTAGTACATACTATATGTCACCAATGAAGATTCGAACTAACATTCCATTTGCCCAGCACTCCGAATATCCCTCGATTTCCAAAGGAATGTCCCGGACACCAGTAGCGAGGACTACCTTTCGACCATACCATTGTTTACCATGTGCATCTCGGGCTTCAAAGATTTGTTTATCGTCCAGTCTCCAGATTGTCTCAATGGATGTGTTTTGAAACTGAATGGTCGAATATCGGTTGGATAGATCGGCCCGACCCGCAGCTCGCAGGTCTGTGGGGTTGCGGTGATCCCAACCCAGGACATTATGCATATGATTTGTCTTTGCATTGCGATAGACTCCAGAGTCGAATACTACTGCCGTGTGTAATTGACGAGCGAGACCGGTGGCAGCCGACAAGCCCGATGGACCAGCGCCAATGATGAGGACATCAAACAACAAGGCCCCGTTGGCCAGGAGCTTTCCGATGGTCATGTTGATTTGAATTTTTGGGAATTGAGATAATAATTGTTTAAAGATGCAGACCCAAAGGTTGAAATTGGTACATATTTATAACTTTGAAATTCTTATTATACAACATGTATGACATGATGTCGGAGACTTTCTTTGTCGAGAAAATGCAAATGTCTCCGGGGAACCAAACACGGATATAATACCTAGGTATACTCAGTATTTAATAGTAATACTAATAATACTTGTCGTATAGAGGAGTCCAGAGAACAATTGAGCACATTAAATCTACCGTATGTTGTAGTATCCAGTAGAAGTCCCATTCCACAATAGGCAATTCCGGAAGCCATGGAGTACATATCACCGGATTTTAGGCCACAAGGCATGGCTTTCCCTTTCCACTTTAGTGCTCACCCCTCGCCGCTTTTTGCTCACTGGGTAAAACCGAGCACCCGTGGACGCCCCTGTGTGTTATATAAGTATAAAACCCGCTCACCCCCGGAGCCACCATCACCTTACCAGTATAAGCTGAACGAGAGGTCGCTCACTGTGATCTCACTAGTCTTGTCGATGATGAAGGTGATGATGACCACGCTTGTGCTGGTTCAGATGGGTTGTATGTCCTGGGATCTGGATTGTCTGTTAGGAAGAAATCTCCAAAGATAGACTCGTGTCAGCATACGGGAAGGTCTTACGTTGGATGGGGAGGACTGGGCAGTCTGTGAACCAGGTACCGTAGAAGAGGAGGAAGCTGGTAGAGGCACTTTTGATGTCGATTCAGTCGCTCGAGTGCCATTTGTATCACACGATCCCATAATGAAACCTGCACTCTTTGCCTGCGCCACAGGAGCTGAACGATAGAACTGGCATTCCTTCGCATTGACGATAAAAAGCCATGCTTGGCAGGTGCTCATGCTGTCGCATTCATTAGCACATTCAGATGGCGATAAATGAGTGTATCCATAGGCCAGAGGTGCTTTACTGAAGAACCCAATGGTTTCATTCTGGGCGCTGGGGAAGCAAGAGGCGGATACAGAGGAAATGAACCCCTCTATAGCCAGGAGAAAGGTGAAAATGAGGACTGAAGTTGGTTGCATGGTTTATGGCAGCTCTGGATGTTCGCTTGATAGTGGAATTGCAAGTTAAGGCGAAGTATTCCATCCGACACTTTTTATAGGGGTAAGTATGGAATGCTCAAAGATGGATGTGATGATGGCGTTTTGTCGGCCAATTTCCGAGTTCATTTCCCCTTGATGCCACTATGAAGGATCGTGATCAATTTCCGGAACTCCGTGGGTGGTGAAGCAATAGTGTACATATGTGTGGTCGGAATCGAGCTAAATAAGCCATAGATAAGCTTAGCGCCCGCGCTAAGACCCGGAGATCCCGAGGGTCCTGTACACGCCCTGTCAACGCCCTGTATCAAAATTACCACTCGCTTGGCCCACTCGATCCTAGTCAACGTCTCGGAATCTTACAGCTCTCTCTCTCTCTCTCTCTCTCTCTCTCATTTTTGCCGCTTCTCACCTCTCATGGCAGCATCCTCAAATTGATACCTATCGCCCTTTCTCAATGGCTAACATCCTCCAACGGCTTCACTTTCATTCCCGACTACTTGGTCGCGCTAGAACGACCCCAATCCCCTTCTCTTCATCTCGCTGCTACTCGGGGATGATAAGGATGGACCCTTCACCTATTAAGTTGGACAACAGCGGCACCGCCCCCTTGCGAGTCCCTGGTTTCAATGGTGTACCCCTGTTCTATGAGCAGCCAAAAGACAATCGTTTTGCACATGGAATTGCCGATTGGAGACAAATTCCCCAGTTGTTTCTACGAGAGCTTTCCATGCTGCAGTTCATGTCGTATGTCACAGAGCAGCCAGACTGGGAAAACAAGTCCGAAGACCCGCAGAAACTGGAAGAATGGCATCAGCACGCCGATTCGGTCTTTGATCTCGATGAGCTCTCATGGCAGTGGTGTGTAAAGGAGTTGCGAGACAAAGCGTCTGATTTCAAACGCACGGGCTATGTTGCTGTGTTTGATGCCGACTCACGAGTTATCAAATCTCAAGTTCATGACGATCTTCTCAAAGAGCTTCGCGAATCCATGTCGCCGCTTTTTTCAGAATCGAGATCCGCTTCATCATCTGCCTCTGATGATACTCCTAGGAGTGGTTCTGAGAGTCCGGTTCGACATGTGGTTGACCCCTTTATGTATCCTCTCGTTTATGGTCGCACTCGAGTCCTTACCGACGGGGGCAAAGTTGATCTGGAGAGACCTGAGTCATGGAGACCATCACAGTCCCAGATTGCTCCGATTCCCGAGAAACCATCCGACAGACACGAAGAGATGCATTTCGAAGAGAGAAAGGAAAGAGACTTAAGGGATTCTCGGCATCATAGAAAGCGAAAATACTGGTCCAATGCCTTTCAATGTCTTCCCTGTGAGGTTGCTTTAAACGAGCACGGAGGAGTTAAAATTACCTCATATGTCAATGGTGTGCATTCAAAGGAAAGGGGCATATACAGAGCGCTCGAAGGGCTCATTTCGGCCGCCATACAACCGTGGAATGAAATGCTTATCCTTGGAGATCAAGGTCGGACGCCCATTCGAATCAGGACTTATGACTTCCAAGTGGAAGGCATTGATTGGCATCCCAAGTTATATTATTACCTGAACAACGCGAGGGAGGGACGCACACCACCCATCACAGAAGAAGAATGGCCTGACGTTCGATCACGAATAAGAGAATATCTTAATCTCCCTGAGCCCGAGAAGCGATACCGCATATGGCCTGACTCTGGGTACCATGATCTTCTCGTTAGTATGCAGCCATGGCAATGGAATTCTTCCGAAGAACTGGAAGAATTGATCCTCGCAAAGAATAAGCGGTTGTACGCTGTGAGAGGCGTTGAGCCGGGGATCTCCTTCGCATATGATGAATGGAAGACTGGTGAAAATACAGGCCGCGCGATCATGCCCAAATGGAGTGAACCTGATGAAACTCCCCCAATACCCGATCCAGATCACCAGTACTACTCTATATCTCTCCAAGATCAATTTGAGGGCCTGCAGATTATAGTTCGAGTGTCAACTATTGAACTCACCCCAGAAAAGCCGCTGTATAGTGGTGATCCCCATCACAACGTTGCTGGTATCCTCAATGAGCATATCGTTTCTACAGCCACATGCTACTTCGATATGCACAACATCAAAGATGCAAGGGTTTCATTCCAACAGGAGACGAAGATCGATAGCTATGATTTCAATATTGCAGAGTTTTTGGCTATGGACCGACTTTTTGATGTTCCTGAGTGGCCATACGACAGCGATGATCCTTGTTCCCCGGATGCTCTACAGACCATGGGGTCTATCCCGATTTCAAGGAATGGACAGTTTCTTGCTTGGCCAAATACACTGCGGTCCAAGGCCGAGCCTTTCAGTCTCGCAGATCCATTGCGGCCGGGGTACCTTCGATTTGCGACTTTGTGGTTGGTAGACCCGCATTATCGAATCTGCTCAACCCAAAACGTGCCTCCCCAGGACCCAATCTGGGTTGACACATCACAATCAATGGAGAACACACGGAAGGATGATTTAATGACATTTGTGCAGGCGGTTGAGGTTCGAAACCGAATGAGGCAGGAGAGAGACAAAATAAGCGAGGCTTTTCTTGAAGGCGGACATATGCGGCACACATATTCGGAAGATCACCTTGTTTGAATACAGTCGAACTCAAGAGATTGATGCCAGCAGCTAAAACACGCAGTGGTTACTACGCAGGAACTACATATGTATAAAACAATATACCAATCCTTTTTGAGTAGTAGACAAGTTCCAATCATCCATATATCCCAAAGACACCAACATTTGGGCTGCCATCCAACACCTATCCCGTCTGCAAGACCTTCTAATCACAACTATCCAAGCTGTCCAACTCAGTCAAGCTCCGACCAATCGTGGTAGTGATCTTTTGATGGTTCATGTAAGACCGCGCACCGGGATCTTTGCTGTTCCGAAGACCAACATACCAGGTTTTGTACTCCTGAGCTGTAGATACTTGACCGCCATTGGCCGTCAAAGTCAATCCCCAGTTCTCGCGATCGTATGAAACGTCTGTGTCCATTACAGGAAATGACGAAGACTGCAGAGTCTTTCCGAGATATTTGTTCTCAAACAATGGCTTCAGTCCGACTGAGAACATCTCACTTAGCCGCGCCCCTTGGGTACCTGCTAAAGCCCGCTTGAACTCGGGGAGATGGGTTTTCCATGCGTCTGAGAAGCCCGGCGCGGTACTACCTCGGGTCGATTTAACGATATCACTGAGCCGCTCGAGGATAACCTTATGCGACTTCGGCAAAAGTTTCCCCTCTCGTAGCAGATATTGTGTGTCGTAGTAGGGTTTCTTTCCCAAGAATTTATTGATTTGGCCCAATGTATCTTTGCTGTATTCTGGGGTTTGGCTCAAGAAAACCCCATTTCGGGGAAACTTTGCCCTCGTATAGATGTGCGACACAAAGGTTCCAAAGTCAACCAAGGCCTTACTGTCAAGGCTCGGTCCCAGAGTACGTGTTGCTCCGTTCTTGAGAAAGTCCAAAACATATGCGTTGTACATGGCGAGCATCTCGCTGGGGGCAGCGAGCTTGGATCCTTGTCCAAGATTGAAAAGTGACAGGAATATGAAGAGGAGAAGCTTGAATGCCTTCATGTTGACGGAGCAAAGAGTGAACTTCGAAAAAATGACGGGAAAAGAAATGATGAAATCCGAGGCTAAGTCCACAGCAATAAGGTATATGATGGCACTGCAAATAAAGTAGGTATATAATGATGTATACCTAGCAGTACATTGAGCTGGAATGGATGACCGGCAAAGGAGTGCCTATCAAATTTGAATGAGTCGGAGGAGAAAGGAAAGCGACGCTGAGAAATTATAATTATTTGAATATATCAAATATAACTAGCAAAAGGATTGTATATGGTGCTCGTTCGGAGTGATATGAATATTACACAGAGGCGTAACGAGTCGGTATTTGGATTTCTATACTAAAAGACGCACTAAGCTTTAGCCTCATTTAAATTTGAGACAGGGCTGCTATCTAGTTCAGCCCAATCACACCCTATACAGGGGCTCACTAGCCAGCTCAACGCCCACCTATTCTAGTCCCATGAGCTACTGTACCTCGGAAATTGGACCTCTTTATGGGAATATCTCTGAACGCAAATGGAAAACATTGGCGAGGCTTAGGGCTAGTTACGGCAGGATTGACTTTTATATGCGATCTAGGAGATCCAATGAACAGTGAAATAGAATTCATTGACCCGTAGTATGCTTGCTTATTTTGCACTGAATATTCTATTGTATAGAGGTTTATGCAGCTGGACAGGGGGAAAAATCCCTCATTAAGAAGTATTATCGCATCGGGATCACGGCAGAGTCATCAAAGACACTAGGTAGCTGATACCTGGGCCCATTGGGAGATTATGCTGAAGGGGAACTAGTCCAGCAAAGGGCTTGGGGCCGCCACTGCCGCTAATGAAATGGCAATAAAGGCCAAAAATTGACAAGTATCTATATGTTAATGAAAAGAGAAAAGATAGCATTTAAAGCATGCTCTCCGAGTTAGTTACTTTCCTTTTTCTTCTTTAACACCTTCTCTATAAGCCAGAATCATTCCTGAAAACATTCTTTTCTTTCGCCTTCCGATTTGGACTCGTTCCATACTTCAGCAAAATGTCTTCCTCATTTCTATGGTGGCGCTACATGCTGCTACTGTCATTCCTGTTCTACACCCAGGTGTATTCCCGTGCTGTGTTCGCTCATTTCATGGTCTCGAATACGGCCGGATATGCAGTCTCAGACTGGGAACATGAGATCCAGCTCGCGCAGGATGCTCATATTGACGCATTCGCTTTGAACATCGCAAACGGAGAAGACACCACCTCGAATTCCATGCCCAATGCCTTTTTAGCGGCTCAAAAGCTCAAATTCTCTCTTTTCTTCTCGTTCGACTATGCAGGGAATGGAGCCTGGGATAAAGACGACGTACTGAATCTCTTGAAGCAATACGTTTCCAGTGGCGCCTATTACCTCCACGGTAAAACTCCATTGGTCTCGACATTTGAAGGACCTGGCAATGCTGATGACTGGGTGTATCTCAAATCAAAGATGTCGCTCTTCTTTGTTCCAGATTGGTCGTCAGTTGGGGCCAAGTCTGCCATGGCTTTGGGAGATGGTGTTGCAGACGGGCTGTTTAGCTGGGCTGCGTGGCCAAATGGACCGAACGATATGAACACCTATGTTGACGCTTCTTACATGCAATACCTGGGCAAGAAGCCCTACATGATGCCGATTTCGCCGTGGTTTTTCACAAACATGCCTGGATATGATAAGAACTGGCTGTGGCGTGGTGATGATCTCTGGTATACGCGGTGGGAGCAAGCGCTCTACCTGGCCCCGGAATTCATCGAGATCATCTCTTGGAACGACTTTGGTGAGAGTCACTACATCGGTCCCACTGTTGACTACCACAACCGACTGGCCCATTCAATGTATGCGGCATTCGAAACTGGGAATGCCCCTTACAACTATGTCGAAAGTTTGGATCATAGCGGCTGGAGACAATTCTTGCCCTACCTGATTGACCTCTATAAATTTAACCACACTACCTCAGGAAAGGAGGGCCTTGTGGCATGGTATCGTCTGAATGCAGCCGGTGCGTGCGCTGATGGTGGCACAACTGCGAATACCGTCTCGCAGCTGCAGCTGGAGTATTGGCCCAAGGATGTGATGCAAGATAAGATCTTCTATTCAGCACTATTGTCACAGCCTGGAGATATCTCTGTGACTATAGATGGCGTGAACCTAGGCGCAACCTGGACCAACACCCCCAGTGGCAATGTTGGTATCTACCATGGAAGTGTCTCTTTTGCCGGCCATTCTGGAGGCGTGATATTGAGTGTGACTACTCCGAGTGGCTTGCTCGAAGTTGATGGCAAGGATATCAGCAGTGGATGTGATATGGGCGACCTAGTCGAAAATTGGAATGCATGGGTGGGCTACACCATTGGAAACTCCCTCAGTGGAACCTCCCCTGACCTTGACAAGGAAGTCTGTGTCGAGGGATGGGGGATGGGGGATTTCAATGGGCTTTGTAGATTTGCCTGCAGCTTGGGATATTGTCCTTTTGGGGCGTGCGTGTGCACCAAGCTGGGACCTCATCCAACATTACCCAAACCTACAGGCGTCGTGGGCTATCCAGCTGCAGGCAAAAACGCCAATTATGCCGGTCTGTGTTCGTTCACCTGTGAATATGGCTATTGCCCGTCAACTGCCTGCGGAACTGTGTCGGTCCCATTAACGATTCCCACAGTCTCCCCGTTCACCCCTGACACATGTGTCGGTGGTACTGGAGAGGGTGAATTGGCTGGTCTGTGCAGCTTTGGCTGTAACTATGGCTATTGCCCCGTTTACAACTGTACCTGTACCGCAACGGGTCCCTTGAACATTCCTCCTGCCCAAAACACCTCTATCGTCGGCTGGGCACCAGATACCGAGGATAACGGTCTTTGCAGCTTTGCTTGTACTAGAGACTATTGTCCTTCGCCGGTATGCCTAGACACGGTCCCCGACGATGATCCTTGTGGAAATGTGGACGATGACAGTGAGGAGTGCGCCGGCACTTTCCCTTGCGATTTCAGCATCAACTACTCCTCTCTCGATGACCTGGAAGCAGACATTGGCAAATTGGATCCCTACTGTGTCGACTTCTATGTGCTGGGTTCATTATATGGGGAGCTGGAGGTTGCTTTGGCCAACTATACAAACATTGCCCATACAACCAACTACGACGACGACTTCAAAGAGTACTCGAAATACATGAAAGCGCAGGTTCAACCTCAGCTCATGTACTTCATGAACATCAGCGAGGTTATTGGTAAACCCAATGGCTTGGGCAATCAGTATTTCGAATGTACGTATAACACGCTAGGCAGAAATGGCTCAAGGACCGCCTGTCCGGATGAGTATATTGGGTCGCAAGACCAGACCCATATCGTCTACTACGATATCGTGGACCGAGAAGGCTTCTTTGGCAATCTTACTGCAAACGTTGGCGTGGAGCCGGACTGGGTAACACTCGATGGTGGCTTGTTCCTTGGCACCGACCAGAAGCCTTACTATGGTAACATGCCTGACTGCAATGTGACTCCGAGTTGGGGATACAGATGCGCTTGGTGGCAGGGATTTCCCATTCCAGCCAAGGAAATCAGTATCACTGACCCTCGGGATATCATGAGAAAGGCTTTGCCAAATATCCCCAACCTCCAACTGTCGATCTCTCTTACCCAGCTTAGCATCGCATCTGGAGGCTTTGACGGCGTGATAGACGATGTTGTTCAGACCATATCTACCGCTGTCTTTACGCTAAGTGAGCTAGTCGATCGCATCTACAACGTTGTCGATATCGGTGAGAAGGTTGCCGCTGAAGATAAGAAAGAAAGAATATTGAAGATCATTGGTGGTGTGTTTTTGGCTCTTCCTTTCCTTGGCCCGCTTTCGGGACTTGGAGATGTCATCGAAGGCTTTGATGCATTACTCGCTTTGGCGGGGACCGTCGCAAATGAAGGCTACGATATCTACAGTATGGTACAGAACCCTGACAGTGCTCCGGTGGCGATTCTTAGCATGCTGTTGGGCTTTGACGCTGGTTCGGCAGTTGGCGAAATCAGTGATGAATCATTGGGAGCCGTTAAATACGATTCTCTCGCTGCCTCTCGGCGCGGCATGAAAAGCGCTGAGATAAAGGGGTTTGGACATGTATTTGAAGATAAGATGAATCAAGTTGATTCCATTGTCAGCAAATGCTTGAGACGTTGAGCGTCAAAATCACGCAGGTACTAATTGTACCAACATGATAGATAGACAAAGAAGCAATGAAATCCGATTGATTTAACATTACTCTTTTCGTTGGCTAGATAGTAATGACGCTAGCCTTTCATTAAGGGGATAACTAACTAGTTAGTTAGTTATATACTGCTACATACATGTACCTTGCGGACAGCCACGCTCGCTATCCTCACTGTTCTTGGCATTGGTCTTCCTGCTCAATCATACACAATTCTATGGGGTTTTGCTAGCTTGTGCTAGGCACTATAATCGAAATGAGGCAGAAATCGTGTAATTGGTGTGTTCTTCCACATATTGTTCTAAAGAAATCTTAGACTATAAATCCATGGACAAGCAGAACCATATCTCGCTATATAATATTTGTTTCAAGAGCTCACCAACAGATAAATTAGGGCATCTTACCATGGATAACAGAAAGCAGTGATCAATGATTGATGGCATGTATTAGGTACTGGACTACCTATTTACTCCATCTCAAATCTTTGCACCTTATGGAGCACCAGATATCTCAGAATTGCAATCCCAAACCCCAAACCCCGAGCTTGTCAAACGATGGAAACGCCACCGTAAATGCGCCTTTCCCTATCCCATGATATTGGGGTGGGGCTTTCGTCAAGATCATCGCTATCAATCAATTCATTCATGGTGAATCCCCGCAGGAAACAGAAAAGGGAAGAAAGGAAAACGAATGGGGAAGCGCCAGAAAACAGATTATTGAGAATATACGTAGGAGGAACCTCCCGTGAAAAGCGGATGGATAGTATTTTCTATCGTCTCTCCACCCGACTAAGTGCTCCCAGAATGAGACCCAGATCTTCCTTGATTCTCGTTGGTGGTGGGTGTTCGTCATCGTTGCCTTCCATTGCGAGGCGACGTTGCGTATTCTGCGCATCGCGCTCTTCTAGTCGCTGTGCACAGATGCGTAATATTCGGGATGAAACGGTATCTGCAGAGGCGCGGTATAGTTCGATGTCATGTACACCAGCTGCAAAGGCATCGAGCGTCGGTGCCAGCCCAGATGTGATGCGTGATAATTGAGCAGAGACGGCAGATGGGGTGATAGGTGGTCGGGTTGAAGATGGGGTAGTGGATTCTCCTTCTGATGGCTGATTCGAGGGATTGAGAGATTCCAGTATGGCTTGTTGTGAGGGGTCGAGGAGAGAGGGGTCGACTTCTTCGCGCTGTGGTTTATGTGAAGATTGCTTATCTTTTTGTTGGTTGTCGGATTGTGGTTTAGCCTTGACGGTTGGGATCGCTGGCTGTCGAAGAAGCGCATTGAGAGATTGCCTTTCTTTGTGTAATCTGGGAATTCGTTAGTCCTATACATTTGTGACAGCTCTCGATGATATACACTTACTTCTGTATATGCTCCTCCAATTCCTTGATCTTGTCTGTATTCTGTAGGTTTCGCGGGTTCGGCTTTTTGATAACAACGGCTGGAGGATTCAAATCTTCGCGGCCGAGCCAGTTGGAAAGCTCCGAGTTGCTCGAGAAATCTTGAAGAAGCTCCTCTTGAATCACACGCGCTGGAAAAGGTCAGATCAACGATCCCTCTCACACGTTAACGGTTTCCACGTACCTGCTAAGCGCGCACTTTGATCGTCCGAATTTGAGCCTCCTGAGGGCTTTTCCCCTATTGCGCGCGTCGCACACCAAATCAATAATTGCCGCATCCTTCGCGGCTCCGGGATTCCGTCATCGGCGATATGCTTGTAGAAATCCGCTGTACCAACTTCTCGATGGGGTAACGCTGTACGGGAAAAGAGGCAAAAAAATCAGCATTCGGCCATATAGAGCCCATCTCAGAGAAACCTACCATTTGATGTTCCTGAGTCGATTAAAAAACTGGCCCTTCGTCCGCGCATACTCAAGCTGCTTCGCCGTCGCCCTTTATCGCTTTTATCACCCTTCCCGCCTCTGAACTCTTTATTGCGCTGAATCACCGGAGTATCGGCCACCGGCAGTGCCACCTTTGTGCCCTCTGGCGGTTGCTCTGGAGAATTATATCCATTTGACTCAGACACTTGCGCATGCTGTTTGGCTTTTGGTGGTCGTCCTGCTTTCCTCGGCTTCTTTGCCTCAGGTTGGTGTTCTGGACTGTCGCGGGTCCGTGATGAGCGGATCGCGTTTGTCGGATGAGATTCAGGTTCTGTATGTGTAGTCTTTGCAGCCCCCCTCGTGGGCCTCCTATTTGGAAGCTCCACGCTTTTCCCCTTTGCCGGCACTGCGCTTGAAGTGGTCTCGTCGCCCGTTGGCTTTTTCCGTGGCCGTCCTCTTTTCGGTGTTGACTTGGGAGGCGCATTTTCCACGTCTGAATGGGGATTTTCTGGAACCGCTTCGACTGACGGCCTGGGCTTCTTTGATGGTAGTAGTGAGAACTGAAACCCTTCTGCATCCTCCTCGTATGCCACTAAAGAGACAAATTAGAACATTTCTTTCAACCCTCGCTCAACGACTTTCACCCCCCAGCAAATTACTCACCAGCTGGCCGCTTCCCTAGCTTGTTTGTGGTCTGCTCCAGTTCTTGTGTACTTGCGCTGAGTCGCGTAGTCCTCCGTTCCTTGGCTTTCCCAGTCCCGCCGGACGCGGTCGCAGAGCGCGATTGTGTCTTCGGAGCGGCCATTGCGATCGTCCCCAGCGGTTCGCGACGCTTTGTCTTGGTCGTTGTGGTCGCCAGGACCGCGACTGTCATGTCAGGAGGGGTTCACGCGGGGTGGTTGTGATCGGGAATAAACACAGGGATGGCGAAACAAACACCCCCGTTCTGGTGTCGACTCGTCGCTTCGCGGTGTCCTGTTCTCCAGTCAAATACCCCTGGTTGAAGAGGCTTCCTGGAGAAACAACAAGCGCGACTCCCGTGTGCGTATGAATTCCGGACTCGAGTTAATTTCCCCTAAACAGCTTATCGACCTCGATACGGTGTTGTCAAATCAGACGGATTGCTGATCAATGGGTACTTGGTGTGTGTATAGGGTTGTGGCACGGTCGATTTGAAGTCGGGTCAGTCGGCTCGCGGAATGTTAGGCGCAGGTCGCGTCCCAATTCAGAACTGCAGCTGAAGAGCAGTAGATTAAGCGACTTATTCAATTCAATCGCGAAAAAGACACGCAAGGGAGCGGCAGGTTGGGGTGTGAGTGGTGGGTTGGATTCTCGCACGCGGTTGTTTTGGTCGGGCGCGTGGGGACCGCGCTAGTCTGTTTTGGGACCAACCGTTATACTTCAACGTTGCTCTTCTACTTTGACTGCTTTGACTACTTTGAACTACTTTACTGCTTTACTGCTTTACTATTTACTACTTTATTCATATGATTGGAATATATTGAAGCGCTGTTAATGTATGACTGGCTCTAAAATGCAACTCTCTCTCTCATCTCTTCTACCCCCAATCCTCGCAATGCGCAGATGCTGCTAGATAAACGCTATGATGTTTTCACCAGAATACAAATAACACCCCGACACCGATGTTGAAAAACAATATGTTCAGTGAGAAAGAGCAGTGGGAGTTGAGCCCTGTCCACTCGAGAGAAATAAAAGAAAGACAGATCATTGAATCGACTTGAGTAAGGTGGATGGCTTGCTTGTTGGTGCCAGACTGCCCTCAATGCGTCGCTTGGCTTCTTGCATCTCCTCGGCAGTGATATTCTCCGACTTCTTGGGCATGTCAGGTACATACTGAGGAATATCAGGGGTGTGTCCGACCGACATGCCAACTCGGATCTGAATGAGACAAGAGTGTTAGTTTACAATTGATCAAGTATGAACAGAGAAAGGGTTCGCCTCTTACCAAAGTTTCCAGAGCACCCTTGGAGTTGTCCGCTAGGTCCCTGTCGAAATTGACCCTGCCATCTTCAAAGAGCACTAAAAGGGTGCTGCCACCGAATTTGAAGTAGCCCAGTTCTTCAGCTCGCGAAACCTTCTCGCCGGCTTTCCGGGTGATGACTGTGCTGCCGACCATCATGGCGCCAACGCAGACAACCATAACTCGGCCATGCTCAACAGAGTCAATGGGGACGAGGATGCGGACATTTTCGCCGTAGACGTCCAAGGCGGATCGGATCGCCATAGGATTCACCGTATAGTACTCGCCCTCGATGGTCTTGGGTTCACCCATGATTCCATCTACGGGGATGTGGAAGCGGTGGTAATCTTGAGGTGCCAGACGGAACACTCCGACACCACCGTTTCGGTACCGAGCAGCATCCTCTGGGTAAGCATCGCCCAATAATCTTTCAACTGAGAACTCACGTCCCTTGACCCAGATGCTGGTTGCATCGCTCAAGCGGTCAAAGACCACTGAGCGACAGTCGGCGGGAGACACAACAATCTTAGGCTCATCAGGAGCGGAGCACGGACGTGCCTCAGGCTTGAGAGCACGGTAGAAGAATTCGTTGAAATTGCGGAACTTTTCTAGGGGCATTAGGACTTCGGACATGTCCAGCTGATGGAAATTGATAAAGTCCTTGATCTGAGATGCCGAGGCTGGGTCGTCATATTTACGACCCTGCTTGACACTCAAAGAGCGCAGCACACGGCGGACTGGTAAAAATTTGTTAGCAAATATATCTTTGAATCAAACATATACACTTGAGCTCCAACGGTTGCATACTTCGCTTCTTTTCCATATCACGACTTTTGATGCCCTTATACAGCAGCCGGATTCCGAGTCGCACATAGACACTCATGCGTTCCTCGTTGATCTGACCCGTGATGCGATCTTGTACAAGGATATTGGCCGAGTTCGCTCCGAGTTTATATCCGCCGTATGAAATCTTTGTGATGACTTTGGAGTACCACTTGCGCTGTGCCTGGCTGGAGGTCACAAAGCCACCCATAACTAAGTTGTCAACCTGGCGCCAATCCTGACTTGCGCACGTGGCAATGTGCGTGATGATATCCGCATCAGAGCGTTTCGCAAGACGTGGCTGGTGGCAAAGTGGGCACTCGCGGATTTCGACGACGTGCTCCTCACCCCTCTCGTCTGCGAGATCATCGGGCTGGAGGTACTCATCAGCGCTAGATTGTTCTTCGCTGGACAGGGTTGGAATAGATGTTTTCTGCGGATCGGTATTGGAAGCAGCAGCGATGTTGGTTTCCAAAACGTGCTCGTCGCTGCTAGATTGCTCACTATCTTGACTTCCAGCAATTGACAGAGGAAGCGAAGTCGCTCTGGGAGCAGCCATTGAATTTCTCTTCTGCAGGGTTTGAAGCGTGTCCTCGAGACAAACCACTGCCTGATCAAACGTCAGATCATCGGTTTCATTAGATTCATTCTCTGCGCTGAAGCGTTCGAAGAAGCTGTCAATTGTCGACTCCTTTAGCGTTGAACCAAGAGTGTCAAGCATTGTCGTCATCTCCACCTTGTCAATGCGACCACTATCGTCAGCGTCATATTGCTTAAGCATCAACCTCCAGAACTGCTGTCGGAGAGCACTGTACGGCAGGTACTTTGCCTTGACATGCAGCTCTGGCGAATGTTTGTCTTCCCACCGCTCTCTATTCTTGAGCATGAGGGGAATAGTATAAGATCTGAAGCCGTCCTGGTCAGGTGGCGGAGCTGACTCGCCATCATACATGTTCAGCGTGGAGGAAAGCTGCAATGAGCTAGCACTATCCGTCTCTGGAATTCCTTCTTCTGGGAGAGAAGAGGGTGCAAGGAGAGTCGGGCCTGGGGCTTCGAGCATTGATTGGCTTGAGACTGAATTGGCGGAGTGACGGGTCTTTATTATAGGCCGAGCCATTTTGGAGAGACTTGGTGAAGAGTGCGATGGGGTGACTCCAGATCGCGAGGGACTAACACCAGATCGCGTACCAAACTTGGCAGCTGTAGTGGGATCAGCTTCCTCCAGATCCTCTACAAAATGATATAATCCCGTCTCGGGATCTGCTTCTGGGCCGGACTGGACGAGATTCTGCAAAGGGAAACCCGCAGAGGCAACAAAGTCATTCCCGGAGAACTTGTCTCGATCTATCACATTGAAGCTGATGGTATAAGACTGTTCGTGCCGCATCACCTGGAACACCATTTTCTCATGATACACCGGGTTCAGGTTATGGCGGATGACAGGGGTTCTCAAGGTCTTCCTTCCTAGAGAGGTCACGACAAAAGGATCCATATCGAACGATGTCCGCGTTACTAGAAAATCAATTAACATCTAGCGGTTTGCATGCAGGAGGATAGTCCATACCATTTCGTTCAGGAGGCAGATCGGTCACCCGAACAATTTCCATGAAAACGATACCCTGCACTCCAGTCCCCGAGCCTGAGAATTGGTATGCACGAGCTGCCAGGGACTTGCGTCTCAAGCGAGCCAGCCGAAGTCGCCGACGGCGTTTTTCTCCCACTTCTGGACCACCTGCCAGGTCATCGGCCTCGTCAGAGGTCTCATCGTCCCGGTCCAAGTCATCAAAATCGGCGGGAGGGATCTGAGGGATCTGGTCATCCTCATCACCCGAGTATACCAATTTCTTGAACTTGCCGAATATGTCCGGCGGCGTGGCAGCGGGGTTCGCAGAATCGGCGAGCGAGAACTGCAGCAGGATCTCGCCCGACACAGTGCTGTCCTTCCTTTTGGACGTCTTCCGCTTGGAATTCAAAGTGTACCATTTGGGCTATGGGTCAAGTCAGCGCGAGCCCCCAATTGTCCGAGCAACGTGTCCCTTCACCCACCTGTTGGTTCACCTGGCCATCGGCAAAGATATCCTCCAATGCAATATCAAACTCGCCCAGGTAATCCTTGCCGAACCGATCATGATCCCAGCATATAGCTTCCAACAACGGTACACCCATCACGGGCATCTCGAATGAGACGTTCCATTCCGGGTTCAGGGTCTTGAATATGGTCGGTGTCGACTGCCTCGCATCTCCTAATGTGACCACCAAATACTGTACAACATGTAAGCGGTCTCGGTTCGAATTGTCTTTGTTGGAAGGGTGCTGCTCACTGGGTCGCTCGTGCCACCCCGATCTTTGGCTGCGAGGTTGCGTCCCTAATGGAACCATTGAAATCAGCCAGGGAGTCCATGAGAATACAAAAGGGTTACACAATTCCTCAGTACTTACCCGAATCACTGAAACCTTGAGTAGCAGATGTTTGGTTTCCGAAGATCGCAGAGGACTGGTGCTTCTGCTCTGCCCGGGAGTCGACGACGCGCTCCTCGCGGAAAGGTGCGAGCTCAACCGTTGGGGTAGTGCCAACCGGACCATTGCGGATGTACACAAAATGAGAAGAAAGAAAAGAAGGAAAAAGAAAGAAGGAAAAAAAGTGTTGGGCGGGTGGCTTGCCCCCTGGTCAACACAATTGACGTTTAAGAGACCCCGGAGTTGATCGACGATCCGCTGGTTGTGCTCCGGGTCGATCACAGGCCAAGAAATGGACTTACCCACTGTAATTTCCAAGTTGTTTCCGTTTTCAAAAACAGGGATTGGTTCAAACGTCAAAGGGAGGACATCTGGATATATGTAGATCTCAACGGAAATGTAGAGAAACTTGAGGGGAAAAGTGGGAGAAACACTGCGAATTGGGGGCAACTGGGGTATCAAAAAAAAACTCCACACCGCAAGTTATTACAGGGTGGAAAATGGAAAATGGATGCCTATTGTGTACTTGGAGATCCCCTGAACATAGTTATGTATCTCTTTGGTTTTTTAAAAAAAAACATATACAATGTTGTATGCAATGTATCCCTAAAGGTATGCAGTACCCCGCATCCCATACAAATATTGAGTCCTATGATGTATATTGTAGCCGAGGAAGTAATCTGGAAATTATAGTACTATGGATGTTGTAGAAAAGGACAAATTCTAAATTCAGTCTTGTCGTCGGTCTGTTCGTTCCCAAACCTCGTCGGCATTAGCTTTACCTTTGGTTTCCGGCACATATTGATAGATGAAGACCCCGAGCAACCCGGCCATAGCTGCAAACACCCAGTATACCTGTCCACGACCACCGAGAGCATCATCGAGCACCGGGAAGAATTGTGCCACCACAAAGGTTGCGATCCAGTTGGCGCCCAGCGCCCAGCTTTGTGCCGCGCCAACAGCTTCGGGCCCAACAAGCTCGGAGGCCAGGATGAAGGGGACCGGGCCCAGTCCGATCGCAAAACATGCCACAAAAAGTAAGGCAGCGATCGCCGTCAAGATCTTAGCATTTATGTAAATACTTATCGCGAGAAGTATAGAACTGCTGCCCATACCGCAGATGCTTAGCATTAAGCACAACTTCCGGCCAATGCGATCGGGCAGTGGAGAGCACGCCACCGTGATCACGAGATTGACCGCAGATATCATTACCGTGAGTAGCCCAGCGGTCGTTGGTAAGATGCTTTGTAGTAAGGAGACGCTGTACATAACAATGCTGTTCATCCCTGTGAGTTGCTGGGCGACCATCACGCCAACCACAGCAATAATAGCTGGGCGGTAGTAGGGATCCTTGACAACCTGCATAAACGTGACTGCAGGCTTGTTAGGCGGCCTGTCGCCGGATGGAGAGAGCAAGGATTCTTCCTCGCCAGATGAAGGGGCATCTGAGGTCCTCCAGCTCGCAATCTCCGCTTCAATATCGGCATCTCGACCGCGGATCCGCTGCAGGACCCGGCGTGCCTGACTGATCTTTTGGTGCTCCGCGAGCCATGAAGGACTTTCTGGTACCAAGAACAGCCCCAAAAGTTCCAGAGCACCGATAATTCCAGCAACAGCCAGTATGAGTCTCCAGAGGCTTGCTTCGCTCCAGAAGTATCCCAGGGATTGTGTCAATAGAATACCGACATTGGTCATAATCTGGGTGAAGGCACCGAAGAGGCCTCGGGCAGTGGGAGGAGCGATTTCCGAAATGTAGATAGGACCAACCACAATTGCAGCACCAGAGCCAATTCCAGAGAGGAATCTACCAAGACTCAAGAGGGAAATCGCCGGCGCAAGTGTCTCCGCCACAGGCCCCAGAATAAAGAACACTGTGGTCGCTCTTAATGCAAACAGACGTCCGTATTTGGTCGCGATGGGTCCTGCCAGCAGGGCTCCAAGTAAGCCACCGAGCGTGTAGATCGAAGAGACGAGGCCGAATTGCGATGGGGTCATAGGGAAGCATTGTGGTAGACCATGAAAGGTGATTCCCAAAGAATGAATTCCTCGACGTTCGCATGTTATCACGGCTTTGGGGGCATTGAGCTCTGCCTGGGTAATCCACGTATCAGTAATGTTCAGTAAACATGGAGGGGGGGCTATCGTACCAGATGGAAGCCAAATTGAAGCGGACCAAGCGTAACAACAAATACGAGATATATCAAGTATGGTGTAACCCCCGACCGGGTTGATGCGCCCAAAACCATCGTGAGACAATTCTATGTTGATTGAACGACCCCGGGACAGGTTGAAGGTACGTTAAGAGGAGGGCCGGAGCTTAAGATGACGTTTGCCGATCGTAGAGATAAGATGATCTAAGGTCAAGTTGGTCAGACGAGAAAGGTCTGCCTAGGTCGAATGTCACATTGAATCACATAGAGTCTTTCACAATTCAGAAATGACTTGAACCAGTTGAGTTGAAGAGTAAGCTACAACCTTCCAAGGTTCTAAGGAAGCACCCGTGGACGGTCGACATGTGATCTGACTAAGCGTTGACTCGGCTGAACTCATCGCATTGTACAATTCAGACAATACCTTAGAATATCTCTCTCGGTCTTTCAAATCCTTTTTTATATTCAAAGAACTGGAAACCGTGGAGAAGGTATCTCTCCACCAATGGAGTGACAGCATCACCGGCCCCCTTCTGATCCACAAATGAGTCTGACAAACCCGCCGTCTTCCTCCGGCTCTCTCTCTCGAACCAGAGTCGGTAACTTGAAACGGAATCTCCAGGCTACTGTCGATGGTAATTATATATCTTCCTTGAATCTGATTATTCTTGATTCCTTGGTGTAACGGCTTGTGCCTTTCTGTCTTTCCATCATGTTTGGAAAGGGTTTCCCTTTCTTGAATTCTGGAGGATTCTATTCTCGTGGTAACTCTTTCCCTTTGATTCTTTGTGATGATTTTGTCTTTGTGGTGCAAGTTTGCAAATTGGAAGGGATCCTCGCCAACGCATTCGATTAATCCGGCAACTGGAATATGCTAACCGGGGGTTTATACAGATACCATTGAATCAAGAAGACCCGGTGGGTACACCAGCAAAGTCCGGGTCCGAGATCGGTATAATATAGTAGGCTTCATCAGCAGCGGTACCTATGGCCGAGTTTACAAGGCCGTTGGCAAAAATGGCAAGAAAGGGGAGTTTGCAATCAAGAAGTACAAGGTCTCCCAGCAATTGATTTCTTCCTCATTCTAACCTGATCCAGATTCAAGCCTGACAAGGAAGGCGAAACGATCCAGTACACGGGTCTGTCACAGTCGGCTATCCGTGAAATGGCATTGTGCACTGAACTCTCACATGCCAATGTTGTCCAACTAGAAGAGATTATTCTGGAGGACAAATGCATCTTCATGGTATTTGAATATACAGAGCATGATTTGCTCCAGATCATTCATCATCACACTCAGCCTCAGCGACATGCTATTCCGGCGACAATGGTCCGGTCTATCATGTTCCAGTTGTTGAACGGACTGCTCTATCTTCATACCAACTGGGTTCTGCACCGTGATTTGAAACCAGCCAATATCCTCGTCACCTCAAGCGGTGCTATTCGCATCGGCGACTTGGGGCTAGCACGTCTGTTCTACAAGCCACTCAACTCCCTGTTCTCGGGCGACAAAGTCGTCGTCACAATCTGGTATCGTGCACCAGAGCTGCTCATGGGGAGCCGGCACTATACTCCTGCCGTCGATATGTGGGCAATAGGATGCATCTTCGCCGAACTACTCTCGCTAAGGCCAATCTTCAAAGGCGAAGAAGCCAAAATGGACAGCAAGAAAACAGTCCCCTTCCAACGCAACCAAATGATGAAGATTGTCGAAATCCTCGGTCTTCCCCGCAAAGAATCCTGGCCGGGTCTAGCCTCCATGCCCGAATATTCCCAACTCCAGTCCCTGGTGCTCCACCGCCAACCTTCACATTTCCATCGCGGCTCTAATCTTGAAGGCTGGTACCAGAGCTGTTTAAAAAACGGTGGATACACGTCCACCTCCAGTGCTGGCACTCCCGGTGCAGATGGATTCGATCTTCTGTCGCGTATGCTTGAATATGACCCGGCAAAGCGGATCACCGCCGAGCAAGCCCTTGAGCACCCGTACTTTACCAATGGCGGCCCTATCAGTGGTAACTGCTTCGAGGGTATCGAGGGCAAATACCCACACCGTCGGGTCACCCAAGATGACAATGATATTCGCACGGGCAGTCTCCCTGGCACCAAACGGAGCGGACTGCCAGATGATTCGTTGATGAGGGCTTCCAAGCGTCTCAAGGAGTAATCTTTACATTTGCTTGCTGCATATCTGTGTTGATCATATTTTGCGGCACGTGGACAGGCTGGCCATGATATCCACCCACATCATACATTAATTCGATGTTAGCGTTACAATAACTAGCGAAATTGCATCATGATGATTTACGCAGGATTTGATCTTGGCCATTCAGCCCTGGAGGCAATAAGGCCACTATGTATTTTGTATCATGAATGCGGATTGATTCCCAATTGAGGGAGCCATTCGAGCTAAGCTAGATAGTAATCATTTCAACTGCATACAATGCGCCATTTGTACTCATACCTCCCATCATTGCCCATTTCCCAATCCCATACCCACAAAATATCGTACATGTTGAAACCACTCCCCAAGACCCCAAGATAGCACCCGGTGATAATAACGCCGAAAAGATGAAAGGGATTGCGTAAAAGATAATCAGTACCCTGCGATCAAATCGAAGAGTCAGTGAACATTGTCGGAAATTCAGACAAGGGATTGATAGTCACTTACCATTCGGTTCGTGTCGCTTGCCTTCGCCTGTATCATCCTTGCCGTCACCACCCACAGTGGAAGCGTGATTAGCGGCATCTTTGATGCCCTGCTCATCACCACGCAGCGCCTCAAAGTAGCCCTTGATATCTTCCGCACTGACAGCCTGTCCACTCTCAGCAAAGGGCTGCAGGAACACCTTAAGTTTATCACGCAGATGGTTGTATGCCATTGCGCCCTCGATGGCGCGCACCCGATCCATGTTGTTGAGTGCTGCCTCGCCGCGATCGTAGATGCTGCCCGTACCGACACTTGCGGCACCATTAGCCTGCCCGTCGTCAGACATGGGAGGCTCATAGGTATCTTCTTCTTCGCGAAGCTGGGGGTGGGGAACAAGCTTGGGGAAGCACTCTGCGCAGCGGCACAGCTGACCATGGAAATTATCCAAGGCAAAAAGAGAGAATGATTCCACTGGAGTGGACTTGGGGAGCTCGGTGTGCTTGGGGGTGGAGGGCTTTGTAGGAGTGTCGATTTCTTCCTTGGTAGGCTCCTCTTCCTTCATGACCTTCGATGGCTGTTCCTCGACAGAAGCTTCTTCTTTAGTTCGCTTGGTGACAGGCTCTCCTTCAGTGAGCCCCTCGTCATCTGCCTTGCGCTTCTTTGAGTGTCCAGTCTTCTCCTGGTCCTTGTGTTCAATCTCCTTGGGCTCAGTGGCGGGTACGGAGAGGTCCTCAGTCACATTTGGCTCAGTCACATTTGAGATCTTCTTGAGTCCACCTTCCCGGAAAACTGGAGGCAAGAATCCAGGAGTGCCCGCATAGGGCTTGATCCAAGGGTTAGAGTCGACGCATTTGAAGCAGATCAGATGGTCGAAATCATTCTCTGCGGGAAACCCGGGTGGGAGCAAATCTTCTTCATCCTCCACTGAAGCGTCATTGGTGGCATCACCGACACCGAGTCCACTGACCTTGGGGGCAGCCTTGTTCCAATCACGCGACAAGCCGATGAGACACTCCGGGTGCCACCAGTCCTCGCCACAGCCTCCGGTCTCGACGGTGCCAAGTCCTAGGCACTGGTACATTGTCCCCTTTTCTGAATACGCATCGTACTGTTCGCCGCAGCCGCAGAACTTATTGCGAAAGTTATGATTGTATGTGTTGCCTGCTGCAGCCTCTTGGGAATGCACACCCTTCTTGCCGGTTGCGTCTTCACGAAGCGTGCAGCAAGAAGATGATGGCAAACGGGTGGTTCCACAGTCGCAGACAAAGTTGCGCTTGTTGAAGAGCTCGACTAGAGTATGCTCGCCGTGACAAGCTATCGAGCACGAGTAACAGACCGCAGCGGCAGTGTAGGATTCGGCAGAGTCTGTAGGAGGAGGATTGCAGGTGAGGCATGCAAAGAGGACCTGTCGCAATGGTCCGAGGTCATATGTGCAAGAGTCAAAGGCCTAAAGTCAATATGTCAGCCGTGGAACAAGTCGCGCGCCACCTGCTTTGTCGAGGTACTCACGTAAGGTAGAGCCTCGCGCGCATCTGCCTCTAGTTGGAGCTGGGACTCGATAAACCTAAAATGCGTTAGTATGACCACTCATTTCCTTAATGTGGGGGAGAGTATTGGGGAAATGCGTCATACTCTTTCGCGGTCTGGGAATTCTGGGAGCCCATGGTCTCACTGCGAGCATCCTCGGTGAGCTGGGCAACAGCCGAGTGTGGGGCGTCCATTGTTGGGATATTTATCTGCGTCCTTATCGTAGGAATTGGCAAACAACGAAAGGCCCAAGATTCAAGAGTGTCGAGGTGATGTGTTTGATAAAGACGCGACGTGATGGACTCGCGACATAACTTAAAGTTTCTGCCAGCAGAACCAAACAAAAGAAGGGCGGTCTAGATACACGTGGTATTTTTCCCATATCACCTCAACATTTCCAACTTTAGAAGGTCCTCAATCATTTAGTAATAAATGTAAATTAAATGTAAATTTAATGTACGATTATGGTGACGGTAAAGTGAGGCCAAAGGGACATTGTTATCAGTCGAGCTACATCATCCCTACAAGTTGCTTCATGATACTTACCGCCCTACACCGCCCGCGGGCTCACGACGACCATCACACAACAGTTTTCGGGGTTAGATACTGGATCATTGCGGGGAAAATCATGCCCCCTGTACTCGTTCCCGTGGCAGCGGCCGTGATGGCAAAGACTCGGTAGCGCACAAAGTATGTCGAGATCAATGTCACAGTGGGCAGCCACATGAGACCCTGGCCGATGCCAATACAAAGTCCCTGAGCCAGAAAGATCTGCCAGTACTCCACGGCCAGACTCGTCATAAAGGTCCCGATAACCAACAGCAGCCCACCCAGAGCTACCACCGGCCTTGCCAATCCAGCATCTGTTGCGCGGCCAGAGAGCGTCGAGATGAACAAAAAGACAGAATATCTGGAAGCCACCGATCCACGAGATATCAGATGGGGTTTGTGGTAGCGTAGATTCATAGTAGTTTTGGAATACGCCGAAACTGGAGGCATAGCCCCAAGTCAGGGCTACTACCAAGTGTCCCGCAACGACTTGAGCCCAGGCATGAAATCCGCCATCTGGGGGTGGTGGCAGTGGTGTATTTGACGTATCTCTCACGGGCGCATCGGTCGTCTGGGTATTGTTCTCTTTCTCTTCGTCAGTCGCAATTGTCCCGGACTCATAGGCGGGCATCTTTTCCGGTAATTGTTAGCAAGCCACCGAGGGATTGCTCTCAGCGAGAAGAAGAAAAGAACACCCTTAAGAAGGGAGATTGAGTTTCCATTAGTAACTTGGAAGGAGGTTTTCTGCCCAGGTGTGCTGTTGATTCCATATATCTCAGTGAGCAGGAAGTCAAGTGGCCCTTAACTAAATACATAACCAACTAACTATACAGTACATACTACCGAAATCGACAGAAAATGTTTGCCCTGACGAATCGTGCTTGTCATCAAACTTTCACCCCAACGATCGACTGGCCAAGTGGTTAAGGCGTCTGTCTTACATTTCATATGTTGGAGCTTCACAGAAGGTCGCAGGTTCGATCCCTGCGTCGATCATTGACTTTTTGCAATTTCAATTTTTGCTATAGTTTTTGGTCAATTTTTATTTCAACTTTTGTTATATTTCCAGAGTATTAAATTGTGATACCGATCGGAGTAAGAAAATAAACCAGGAAGGTGTCGGTTGTGAAATGTAGGAAACTGTGGAAGGCCCACCTTCCCAATCGGGGCTTAATTGAAACGCGTCGCGTCCAACACGCGACTCGCTGCACAACTCGACTTTGCCGCCCCTTCTCCCTCCCTTCATTCTATCAACCACGCTACCACACATTCGAGAAAAAAACCCCGAAACATACACACCACTTATTCATATTCATAATTTCCTGGCCATTGCCCTTTTTTTTCTTTAAATTCCCCAGTTGAAGCACCCACACAATGGAGTGAGTGTGCCTCCTGAGAATTTTCTGCGCTCAAAAGCTAATGCATTACAGTCCGCTCCGAGCCAGCGACTCGGCCGCAAACCGTGGCCGAGGGGCCAACACTCGTAAGAGAGACAGAGAGGATGACATGTCCTCCCCGGCACCATTGCCCCCTTCCAGTCGTATGTTTGCTTCTTTGTCCAGGTTGCGTCGATTTGAGACTGACAATGTTCATGTGCAGCCACCGCTTTGGGCTCATCCCCTCCCCCGATCCCCTTTGACATGGGAGATGAAGATGAGGACGAGGATAGAGGTCTTGTGCAAGATATTGATGATATTGATGAATTGGCTGAAGACGAGGATGGCATTGATCTGTTCGGTGACAACTTCGAGCGTGATTATCGCGATGCAGCGCAAGATCGCTATGAAAATGAAGGGTACATCGATGATGATGACGACCATGATGAAATCGATGCCGCAACTCGTCGGCAGCTGGATGCTCGCCTGAACCAGAGAGATCGTGAACTGGCACGTCGGCGCCGCATGCCTGCCGCCTTTTTACAAGATGATGACGATATGGAATTGGACCTCTCGCGCCAACCTCGACGACGCAGACACCATTATGACGAGGACCGCGAAGATATTGACATGGCCGACGAGGGGATGGAAGAGCTGTCATTGGAGGAACTGGCAGATGTGAAGGCAGCCAACATTACGGACTGGGTGACCCAGCCCCAGGTCCTTCGCTCCATCTACCGTGAATTCAAGGCATTCCTGACCGAGTTCATTGACCCCACCGGCCAGTCTGTTTACGGCAACCGAATCAAGACACTGGGTGAGGTGAACTCCGCTTCACTCGAAGTGTCCTACGCCCACCTCAGCGAGACCAAGGCAGCTCTGTCATACTTCCTCGCCAACGAACCCACTGAAGTCCTGAAGGTATTTGATCAGGTTGCACTCGACGTTACTCTATTCCACTACCCACAATATCACGATATTCACAACGAGATCCATGTCCGCATCACAGATGTGCCGATCATTTACACCCTGCGCCAGCTGCGCCAGTCGCATCTCAACTGCCTGATCCGTGTCGGTGGTGTCGTTACCCGTCGAACTGGTGTCTTCCCGCAGTTGAAGTATGTCATGTTCCTCTGCCAGAAGTGCGGTATCACCTTGGGTCCGTTCCAGCAGGAAGCTAGTGCGGAGGTGAAGATCTCGTTCTGTCAGAACTGCCAGTCGCGTGGTCCTTTCACTGTGAATTCTGAAAAGACAGTCTACCGCAACTACCAGAAGTTGACTTTGCAGGAGTCGCCCGGCTCGGTTCCCGCAGGTCGTCTGCCGCGGCAGCGTGAGGTTGTTTTGCTTGCCGATCTGATCGACAGTGCCAAACCCGGTGATGAGATTGAGATTACCGGCGTCTACCGCAACAGCTACGATGCCCAACTGAACAACAAAAATGGCTTCCCGGTTTTCGCCACCGTAATTGAGGCCAACCATGTGGTCAAGGCACACGACCAGCTGGCTGGTTTCAACCTGACAGAAGAGGATGAGCGTGAAATCCGGGCTCTCTCCCGTGACCCCGATATTGTGGACAAGATTGTTCGCTCCATGGCGCCCAGTATTTACGGCCACCAGGACGTCAAGACTGCTGTTGCGCTTTCGCTCTTTGGTGGTGTTAGCAAGCAGGCCCAGGGTAAGATGAACATTCGTGGTGATATCAACGTCCTTCTTCTTGGTGACCCCGGTACCGCCAAGTCTCAGGTGCTCAAGTTCGTCGAGAAGACCGCCCACCGCGCCGTGTTTGCCACTGGTCAGGGTGCTAGTGCCGTCGGTCTTACGGCCAGTGTTCGCCGCGATCCTCTCACTAGCGAATGGACGTTGGAAGGTGGTGCGCTTGTGTTGGCCGATCGGGGTGTTTGTCTTATCGATGAGTTCGACAAAATGAACGACCAGGATCGGACATCTATTCACGAAGCCATGGAACAGCAAACCATTTCCATCTCCAAGGCCGGTATTGTGACAACATTGCAGGCTCGCTGTGCTGTCGTGTCCGCCGCTAACCCCAAGGGTGGTCGGTACAACAGCTCCATCCCCTTCTCGGAGAATGTCGATTTGACGGACCCTATCTTGTCTCGTTTCGATATTCTCTGTGTGGTACGTGATCTGGTTGATCCTGCCGAAGATGAGCGCTTGGCCAATTTCGTGATTGAGTCGCACCACCGTTCCAACCCGGCCCGTCCCCTCCGGAACGAAAAGGGCGACTTGGTTGATACCGACGGCCACCTCATTGACATCGAGGGTTACCGCATCAACAGAGATGGCCAGAGACTTCCTCCATCACAGGAGGAGGTCGCCAAACGCGCCGCAGAGAAACAAAGAGCCGAAGAGGAAAAGGAGGGCGAGATCCCGCAGGAGCTCCTGCGGAAGTACATTATGTATGCCCGAGAGCGCTGCCAACCCAAGCTTTACCAGATCGACCAGGACAAGGTTGCCCGTCTCTTCGCAGACATGCGCCGAGAGTCCCTAGCTACTGGAGCGTATCCCATCACAGTAAGTTATTTCTCCACTTTCCATACATTGACCATTTTCTTACTCCATATTTCCAGGTTCGTCACCTTGAAGCCATCATGCGTATTGCCGAATCTTTCTGCAAGATGCGCCTGTCAGAATACTGCTCCTCGCTGGATATTGACCGTGCCATCGCTGTTACTGTGGATTCGTTCATCGGCAGCCAAAAGGTCAGCTGCAAGAAGGCACTCTCGCGTGCATTTGCCAAGTATGTTTCTTTCAATCCTTGAATCTAGTGGAATCCTGTACTAATATCTACCTCTCAGATATACACTCTCCAGACCCAAGCCCCAATCCAAGCGCCGTGCGGGTATCCCCGTCTCAAACCCTCACCTGCCGCGGGCTCAGTCTACCGCGCATTGAACAGCCTTCTAAAAGGAAGGTTGGGGTGCCTCGGTTGCATTATTTCTTTCGTGTCTTATACCATCTTGTTTGCATTTTATGTGTGTGGCGTTTATGACAGGGGTTCCGTTCTCGAATTGGGCCATGATACGGTAATGAATGGAAAACCAATGAATGATCTTTCGAGTTTATATATTTGATGTCTACTTGGATTGTAAGGTAGAAGGCTGCACTGTCCAACATCAGCTCTCCGTGGTTTCTTGAAAGCACATGCTGGTTTGAACTCGCTTCTCACCACTTTGGAACACGGCATTGTAAGTAGTGATAACTCTTATATTGACAAGCCTATAGATACCTGATGCGTAATAGCACCCAAATCTTACTTTACTTTCTTGCGGTATATATAAACTCTTATATATATACCATGCCTGCATGTGGTTTATAGACTAAAATCTCTCCATCCACATCCGGGTATAACCCGAGAGGCTGCGGGTGTAACACAGCACTACAGCATGGTATTCCGATACCGGTCTATTAAGGTGGTCCCTAGGCTTAGATCTGACGTGATCACGGTCACATTGAGATATCCCATTGAGGGAGCTAGGGCTTCCAAGGTTGAACGGTCTAATTTACCATCCAATCCGAACAATATAGTTGCTAGCTAGTTCGTCTGTGGGGGTTCAATGATATGCTTTGTTCAAATCATGACCTCATTTGAGATCGCATTCCAAGCCGAGGAATGTTCGATATTTACGGAGTAGGGAGTACGGAGTACTTCTCCGCATACGAGATGCCAGCTAGTCTGTCTGGGGAGGTTGGCATAAAATTCGAAATTCGAGGTGTTCTATGCACATAGAGTGAACTATCATTTGAATTGGCCATATCCAGGCCGCCCCGGTAATAGATCATGACCAACCTTCTGTCGGTATCCACGGGAACTGCTGGCACTTCATGTATTCGGAGGACTGTATCCTTCTCCCTCGGCAGATGGGCCACTCCGGATCTCTCTGGACCGTGTGGGATTTGGAGATATCGAAACTAACAGAAGATATCATTGTACACATTCCAGGAATAGAAGATGACATCAATATGGAATGCCCACGTCATTCCGGGAGTGGGCTATTTTTGGCAACCGAGGAATCTTTTTCAATCCCTTTATGAAGGTGCCTGATTAGCTTGGATGTCTCTAGATGTCCATTTGAAGAGACTGTACATGGCAGTTAGTACCTTTGAACTGCCATAGTAACTATGTCAAAGTGGAACCTTGTGATTTGGCATTGGCCCCCTCCCCCCCCTTAGGCTATATATTAAAGTCAGTCTGGGGATTCTTCAAAGAAAAAAAAAGGTAGATCACAAGCCATAACAGCATAGCATAAACAGCACATGTAAAACAAAAGAAAGAAAGAAGATCGGCAGGGCCAGGTACCGTGTATTTGTAGAAGAAGAATATTTCCCCCAAGGAGACGATCGCTGGGCATTTTACGTATGCCTCTCCCGTGTTCCTTAATCCCCTTGCCCCCCTCCTTTCTCTCCTCCCCTAGACTTCTTTTCTTTTTCTTTCTATCTCTTTGATTTTGTTACTCTGGATTATTGTTGAACTGTGATCGTCTATAACTGTTTTACCCCCTGATTATCACTGTTTCAGCAACACCTCCTGCCACTTTCTTCCGCATTCGTGCGACACCTAACGCGGCATCTCATTGAACGCAAACAGCCTCTCCACCCACACCTTGTTTCAGAGGTGAAATATCCTTCACAATGAATGCCACTCCAGCGCTTGGATATGCGCCTGGCGTCTCGCTGGCCCCGCAACGTACGTAACCTGAAGCACAACCTCCCCTGATCACTGGATATCATGCGTTACTGCTGGGGATAGGTTGAACCGCCCCTGATCCTTAAAATGACACCTTCCTTCGACTTTCTGGTCCAAATTCTACCTTTTTCAGACCTGTGGCTGATTTAAAGCGTCTCTGCGAGTAACAGAACACCAAGCTTCTCCAACAGCAGCCAGTTTTGGTTCCAATAACCCCTTCCGAAACCGCGCTCTTTCGCCCTCAGTTGCTGGATCTATTTCATCGAACAACCGTCCGGAACGCCCACGCTCTACAAACCCATTCTTAGATGACACGGAGGCGATGTCTCCGCAGTCAGCCCCTGGCATGTCAACTGGTGTCAGCATGATCTCTCCGATTGAGAAGAATGATATGTCGAGCAACACTCGGGAGCTCTTTGTATGTTTGGGAATATTGAACCTACGTGTTAAAATCAGGTCTAACCTCTTGACAGGAGTCCCTCTCTCTCAAGCCTGCTCCACAGCCAAATCGTCCTCGGCCCGCGGCATCTGATGCCACTCAACGCGCTCCCTCGAATCGCAACAGACCCCCAAGGGAGCGCCCGGAGCGCCCACCAGGACGATCGGCAGCGTCGAAAGAGAAAGATCCGCTTGACATATTCGCCGATCCCCCTACTTCGTCCCAAACTGCCAAGGACAAGGCGCCCCGTCGTCCCCGGCGGAACTCGGAGTCTTCCGTAATGGACCGAGGCTCGAAGTTGTTGGATGTTGATGACGACGAGAAGCGCCGACGCGAACGGCGTCATCGCGACCGAGAGGGTCGTAGCAAAGATGGCAAATCGCGCTCGGGCCGCAAGGACCGACGACTTGATATCATTGATAAGTTGGATGTGACGAGTATCTACGGTACTGGAAGTAAGTATCTCGGCTTTTTATTTTCTCTTTCTGATTTACGAGTATACTCATATGCTAACTATAATCATAGTGTTCCACCACGATGGTCCGTTTGATGCCTGCAACCCCCATCGCAATCGCCGTGGCGTGCGTACCGCGCCAATGCAAGCCTTCCCCAAAGGTTCCACCAACATGGCTCTGGGCGGCACAGGCCCCAACAACTCTAACATCGATCTCAATCTTTTCCATGGCACAATGGAGGAAGGCCACAACGACTTCTCCACCGCTGCTCGCCGCAATGCTGAGACGGGCGTCATAGATCCTACTGCCCGAGTGGACCCGATTCATGGACCCCAGACTATGGGACTGGGAACCAGCACCTTCCTCGATGGAGCTCCGGCTAGTCGATCTGCCATGGCACGCCGTCAAAGCGAGAATGAAGGCAGTCTGGCACCGAATGGTGGTGGCCTTGCACGAAAGAAGAGTTTGGCTCAGCGACTACGTGGACGAGGTGCTGGACCTGGCCGCATTGCTTCTCCAACCGACAATTTTGCCCCCGCTGCGCCACAGGTGGGCTCCAGTCATTCTGGATCCGCCCGTGCCAATGAGAGAAACCCCTACTTCCAAGAAGAGGAATACGAGGAAGAGTGGGACAAGAAGGGATCGAGTATCGAAGCTCGCCTTGAGGGCGGCCGAGTTCGATCGTCTAGCAGCCCCAAGCAAATGGAGCGCAAGACCACCAACGACCGACCTTACGAAGAGTCGAAGCTTAACCCTGGTGGTGGTGGCGGGTTCTTGAACCGGATGAAGAGTCTGCGCAAACCCAAGCCGGAAAGACGGACCAGCGACTGAGTCACCTAGCAATCACACGTTGAGCCTGTCCTGGAAATATATCGATGTAGCAAGCGGGCCTTTCTCACTCGGGTGCACCTCCGGGATGTGTCAATCTCATGATTCCCTCACCATTTCACCATCTAACTCCTCAATGAGGAGGGATGGTTCCACGCGTTAATACCCAGCATCGAGCACCAATGAACACACGGTGCTCAACATGGCGTTCGTATATTTCGGAATAGAATGCTTCAAACTGCTTCTGATTCCAGACCGCCATGAAACACAATGCCCTGATCTTGAGGTCTTAAGATCATGGCTATGATTCGGAGTTTTCCAAGGTTTATTCTCTTCTTGTATTTCAACTTCAGCCTTGCTTTCAGAAACATGTATTTTTTTTCACCAATTGCTGTTCCCCATATCAGTATCTTTGAATAGGATATGAATAATTGAACTAGTTGGTTCCAACACGGTTTCACCCCTGATCTATCTGTTGGTAAGAGTGCTGGACAGCCATATCTCAGACATGGCATTTGATGACTGTGCCACGCCCTTATTGTGAAATTCTGTAAATTTCATGATACCGGGTCATGTGTGATATCATCACCCTGTGGCCTATGGCTCCAACATGAGAATCGATGACCATGCCCTTATTGTTGGATTTTATACATTTCATGGCAATGAAACGTTCAAATGTGGAGTTTTCTTATGCGCACTGACCGTCAAGCTAAGCGCCGTGCATATAAGTTTCATGCAGTATAAGAATTAGCCTCGATCCACCATTAGAAGACAATATATTGTTCTCTGTGGATGCTATCTCAAACGAGGCCTCGTTTCTAGGCCTCTATCGGGAGCCCACGACCTTTTGGACCGCTCACAATGGAAACCGAGTAGCTGTGGCGTTGTATATGCGAAGATTTTGCTTTAGATCTATGATGATTCTCAAGATATTTAAGAAGCAACATCTGCCGTGCAGATCTGTCTCTATCATTTCCAAGTCTATCCATCATTGGGAACTCCATCCTTCCAAAATCGCAGGCATATATTATCACCATGGGCCAATCTTCGTCGAAAACCCTCGATGTATACATTGTATACACCCCGTCCGGCCTCGAACAAGCCTACTCAAATCTCTTCGTTCAATTCAATAAGAAAAATGGTGGAATACAAGGCAACCTCCACTCTTTCGTTGCCAACAACAACACCTCATCGGGCGTGCTTGACCGGCATTCAAAAGCAAGTTACAATCCTCGGGAACTGAACTTCATTGGGACTACTCTTTTTCAGGGCTATCCTGGAAATTGTATCTCTCATCGATGTAGAGAGGAGCCAATTGGGGAAGTCTAATTCTAAGAAGGTTTTAACCCAGTTGAGAAGCGAGGTTATTCTGACGCTCTCCTCCTAAATGGAAGAGTGGCTTAAGCGATTGAACTAGTAAGACTGGTCTGTTGGTTCTGTTGGCTCTGTTGTTTTGTTGTGTATATAGTCTGTGTTATTGAATCTATAGGTATTTATAGGCATATGGGCTGGTTTCTATAGATAGAGTAATATTGAAGCCTTAGTATTGACTTCGGAGACTGAAACAGATCTCAAACAATGGAGAGGCGCTTCTGTGATTTCTTTGAGAAAGAGAAACAGAAATAGATATAAGAATAGAACAAGAGACAAAGGGTATTTAAGAGCGAACGTTCTCCATGTAAACCTATCTCCATATAATCTCCAAGGTTACTGATCATCGAGCTCTCTATCTCTTTACCTCTCCGTTCTACAAAAAAAGCCTGGAAGCGAGTCGTTATACTTGACCAACACCAGCAATACCATGGAGAACATCACCGACACCATGGTGAACGCCACGTTGACGGAGCCCCAAAGACTCAAAGTCTACATTGTCAAATACAACTTCGACTCCTCTCCCCCGGAAGGCGACTCGGCCATCTTCGTTAAAACCAATGAAGACGCGGGCTACATTCACTTCATTACCTCTAAAGATGCCGGCGCCCACCTGTACTACGACCGTGAGATCATCAGGGCTCATGAAGTCATGGAGATAGGAGAAAGCCTAATGCTAATAGGCACTACCCTTACCAAGAACTATCCTGGTAGTTGGGATGAGGCGCTGCGGACGACACCTGCAACTTCCTTGGCTTTGTCAGGCACAACTCAAGCTGAGTTGAGGCGGTTGAAGGTCTCTCGCTGGACCCAGGAGTGCGCTAGGCCCATGTTGGAGAAGGCTGGGCTTTTGGAGAAGATAATTGCCCATTGAAATGAGCTCGAAGGAGATTGAGAAGCAAGTGGGAAGGAGGAGGGTATATAGTTTGAGGATATTGATCGAGGGTAAACGAGGAGAAGAAGTTCTAAGTTGTTAGTTTTGTGGAAATAGAGATTTTATGAGAGCTGAAGGCGAAAAGTAAACATAAGAAGTATCAAATCCCAAATAACTATCTATTCTACATGTATACTTCGATGTTTGTACATTTATTTTTAACATCAATGGACGCTATCGTCAACCGTAGAACATCACCTTTGAAGCTCTCACCAGCTTCTGCCATTTCAATCCAAAGGGTTCTCTACATCACCACCATGGAGGATCGACCAACCCTGACCAACCCGCGCTTTACTCTCGAACTTGAATTCGTCTCATCTCTCGCCAACCCTTACTATCTGTCACACCTGGCAGTCACCTATCCCAATCTCCTGGGTATCTCTCGTGCCGACGATGACGATGATTCCTCCTCGCCAGACGCTGAGGCATTTGCAGCCTACCTAGCCTACCTCTACTCCTACTGGAAGACACCCGAGTACTCTCAGTTCCTCACCCACCCTGGCCCCACACTGCGAGCGCTTCGACTGCTCCAAGAGGATACCTTCCGCCGTGACATTATTCTACCCCAGGTCATTGAAGGTCTGGCAGGGGTCAGTGTCCCTGAACCAGCTCAGGCCGAGACCGACACGGCAGATGAAAAGCAGGAAGATGGTCAAAATGGAAAGACATGATGGGCTTGAATTCCGAACCTAACCTCGATGCGACCGAGATGTGCTTGTTTCCTGGGTGCAAAACAGACGAACACCCCGCTCCCTGGCAGATCTACGTTGAACATGACATTTACACTCTGGTGATTTCATTTCCACCGAGCTCGGCTTTTGACAAAGTTGAGCATGGGAGGTGCGTGAACGCGCTTCATGTGCGACCGAGGATCCCCAGACTTCCGAGGCTCCGGAGTTGTCAATCGAACACCCAGCGAACCCCCCGATTTCTCAAGGGTTCCCCATTTGCTCTGACGACAGTGGCAGAGAATTGCGGGGGAAAAGGACCAAGCGGTATTGAGAGAGTTCTCTCCTGTTCTATTGTACCTACAATATAGCCCCAGCCCTGGAGGGCCTCTTGATGACGATGTCATTTTGGGGTTGCCACATTCTCCTGGGCATACAAGGAAGGTGACCGTGGCAATTACAATTATCATTATTATCTCAATTTTGAGCAATTCTTCTGAAATCCTATGAAATATAAAAGAGACAAACCCTAAAAGACCTATATATGTAAACGTAAGACCAGACAAGATGGACAAGTACAATATATAGAATACGCCCGAAGATCCCGGCCCAATCTTGTTTTATTTTTTTTTCCCTTCTATCATCTCCCCTTTTCAATTCCCATTTCCTTTTATTCAGTACATTTTGAGGATTCCTGTGTCTTTTCAGACTCTTACCACAGAGCCCCACCCCCTGGTGATCGGCCCTGAACTACTCCGTCCACGGGTACCTCATCAACGTTGTCATCTCGCGCCGGTTCGGGACATCCCAACGTCTTTCCCATGGCCCTCAACTAGTCCTTCCTCAAGCACCCCGGCTTGTCTCCAATTAATCTGCTACCTCACATACTACGAAGTCGCGCTTTTTCGTGGAAACCCCGCCACCTGGAACTGCATGTGGCACTACGTTTCCAATGGAGTCCGTTCGCCAGTCTTGTCGGCCAAAGCACCAGGTCCTGACCTTGAAATGTTATCCGAAATACCAGAAGGGGGTGTCGGAGGTCCGGCCGAATCCTAGTGAACTCTCCTATTTGCTGTACTATACGAGCACGCGCCGCAGCAAGCTGACCAAGGTCGGCGGTTTCCTGGAGAAGAGAGTTGCCCGAGATGTCTGGAGACGCAGAATAGGGTGAGCGCAGACTCCGATCGCCCGAATCATCGGATTCGAGAAGACGAATGACTGACCGATCTCATTGCACAGGAATGTTCAGGTGGCGCTGCATATCATGGCTGCGCTCATCGAAAAAGTTCCTCGCGACCTTCCTATCTACGCCCGATCCGTCATGACAGTAATCGATACCGTTCTGCGATCCAATGACATAAATATGGTGGAGGAATCGATTGTGACCTTCGAAATGTTCTGCCGGCATCAGGACATTGCGGCCATTGCGGCTGACCAGGGCCTCGCACAGCAATACCGAGAAGTCGTGCGAACTTACACCAGCCTTGCCGACCCGGAATTCACATCCAACTCCAACGCAAATCTCAGCCCGCAGGTGGCCATCCGATGGAGAAATGCGGGACTGCGAGCTATCAGAGCTGTGGTCAGCTCAGAGACCTTGGCCGCAGATGGAGGAATATCGCTGAAGCTCTGCTTGCCAGTTATTCTGAAGAACCTCTATTCTGACGATGAGGATCTTCTTACGACACTGAAGGCCAAGCTGACCGAATCTGACCCGAATGAACGTGAAGGGCCCAAACCCCGCCGAATGAGTGTCAACACGGTGCACACAGTCGACACGGCAGAGGGTGACCCCGAGCTGGCAGCGCAGTCAGCCGCTGACGCGGATCGAAAGGCGGAAATGGGCGCTCGGCTCTTGGCCCTGCGCTGTCTCGAGCAAACCATCGTCTCGGGGAGTAATCGGGGCCAGATCCGTATTGCAGTAACGGTGATTCTACAGTTCATCTCAAGCAAGGGCTTCCCACAGAGCGAAAAGCGTGCCCGGATCATCGAGGGTAAAAGTGGCAACTGGGCAACATCTCTGATCGAACTCATTGCGAACTGGTGTCCGGTGCAAGTTCGTTTTATCATCTTGATCACAGCTATGGAGATTCTCCACAATACAAGCCCCAAGGAGGATGCTTTAGAGTCATCATTCACCATTCTCTCTGTGGTGGATTGGCTTCTCAGATCTTCCGTGAACATGATTGGACTCAGCGTCATGGACATCCTCTTTGGACTTATGCACTACGCTTCTGATATACTCTCACCGCCAGAGCGTACTGGGTCTGCAGAATCAGAGAAGAAATCAAATCGAGCTGAATTCGTGGTTCAAATCTCCCCCCGACGACAGGATCTTCTTACGCTTCTGGAGCAGTGTATTGGAGATCTTGCAACGCACATCTACTACGGAGACCAGGTCGCAGACATGATGCGGGCTATTCTCAGGCGTTTCAAGCCTAATATCCACCAAGATAGTTCCGCGCCATCCACATTGGCAACCGTTCACGAATCCGGAGTGGCGCATGAGGGGTCGACAAATTCCGGATCTGAGACAAATGGAGAGAAAGCAAGCACAGAAACCTTCTCTCATGCTGCCGCTAAACTGACTGCTCTCCGAGCCGTCAAGGCCATCTTGGTTGTGGCTAATTCAAAAACGCCAGCCACCATGTCTGGCGCAGAATATAGACAACCGGTCGGCATCCATGTGTGGGAAGGAACCCAAGTACTTCTTCGTGATGCGGATCGTGATATTCGCTATGCCTATACCGATGCATTCCTATCATGGCTGCAGATTGAGACCAATGGGGGCGATCTCAAGGTGCGATTAGATTCACCCAAGTACATCAAGACAACCCCCAAGAAAGACTCCGAGGAGATGGATAGGCCGACTCGACGAGCTACCTCGGCTCCTGGGAACCAGAGGGACAAAGTGGCGCAAGTGGCACAGTCGAACTTCCTCCGTCTTCTGCACTTGGCTATCTATGATGCTGCACTCGAGGCAGCTGCTGAGGACGCCGAGATTCTCCTGCTGCACCTACTTCTTGCAAATCTTGTCGAGAACCTCGGGGTGAATGCCGCTCAATTCGGTGTTCCTATGGTTCTTAAATTGCAAGACGACTTGTTTACATCTATGGATCTGAGTTCCTTCGCAGCTCGCGTTAACATTGGAAGCTTGATACATGGATACCTTCTTGCGCTGTCTGAGCATTTCGACATGCAGTCCTCCCCCGTGGGTCTTGAGATAAGTAATGAGATTCAACAGCGACAGGGCAACGGATATTGGCTTTTTAAAATCCGCCTGCCCCCAGTCGATCTCTATGCCATTGTTTTTGACAGTGAGAAGAGGTCTGACAATGACTCCACCTCCCCACCTCCATTGACACCCTTCCGTAATGTCGACGGACTTGTCTATATGATTGACGAGTCTTATCGCAAATTGGTATCGTCTCCTCCACAAAGCCCCTCGACTTCTTCTCCAGCACGAGGATTCACATTCCCGGTACTTGGGCACCCCGCAACAGCAGTGAAATCCCAGGTTGAGGGCGGTCTCCCGCCCGCCGTGAAAGAACAGATGTTGTCTCCGTGGTCTCGCGAGGCATGCCTGGCAGCTGTCGATAAGGAAAGCAATGGAGCATCATCGATAAATGGCTCTCGGGCTACTCAGAATGCTCGCAACAACCAAACCAACGGGGCTACAAATGGCTCACCCGCCGGTTCCCAATATCCCCGCCGCATGAGCATTCCGGAGATAACAGGCTCGTCATCCCAAGGCTCGAGCAGAGGCTCGCCTGTTCGCGTCAATGAGCTTCGACGCGTGCTTTCGATTACTAACGACTCCCATGCTCGACGCCTCAGTCCATTGCGTGGACGACTTGACGCATCGAATGCCAGTATCATTTCTTCCGGGAGCGATAGCATGATCAGCGGCAACTTCTCTGTTTCCGAGATAGATGGAGATGCTACCTCAATTCGACCAGAGAGCCAACAAACACCCGATGAAGATGGAACAGAGACACCCCGCGCTTCGGCCGCTGCATTTGTCCTATCAGGCGATAAAGCCCCAACCGACGAATCCCCGAATCCACCATCCCTGAATCGGGTTGATTCAGACGCAGAAATCCCTCCCGTTCCACCGATCCCGGTCGGCTTGTCGATCCCAGGTGGTTTCCCGAACGACCCACAGCGCTCGCTGACCTCATATGATCGCCCATCCACCGCACCGGGCCCCTCAGGACAGTCTCTGGTGAGAGACAGGGCTGAAGCTAGTGCCTTAAATCACAAACCTCTAAACCGCAACAAGAGCCGGTCCAATCATAGCCTTGCCACAGCTGGAATCCCCGAACTCTTAACCGACTATGAGTCCAGTGCCCTGGATGGTAACCACCAAGATCAACTGAGGAAGCTCTTGGATGGGTTCCTCTCGCCCGGCGAGACCGCGCTGGCGAATGGAAACCGCCCGGCAACTGCCAAACCTGCTTCCAAGGCTCCGCTGAGCGGATCTAACAGCAGACGACAGGTCAGCGGAGGCCTTGGTCGGCCACCCTATTGATTTTTTTTTGTTTGATTTGCACATTTGCATCATTCTCTACGCATCTTTGCAGCCATTTCAATTCCTTGGCTCTTCATATGTTTATATAATTTTCTTTCTGTTATATGACCTTTCTTTTTCGTTTTTATCCGCCCTGCCCTGCCTTGAATGGATATCGTCTTCGCTCATGTTGAATGCTGAGTTGCTGGCTGGTAAAACCCCAGCCTGTTCGAGATACGCCTGTCCTTTCTGTTTTGTCGGTATTCCCCACCCCATCCATTGTGTGGCTATCCTTGTTATCCTTTTCTTTTCCACTTGCATATTTTATCTTGAAAGCTCGGGCTCTTGTTTGTCTGTCAGCACTCACATTGTTATTTGTTCGCTTGCGATGGGTAATCGCAGCGTGGTGTATCTAGCTACATTGTCGGTAGACATAAAATAGACGGTGCTAAAACGAACATGGCAAGATATCGTAGTTTTATAAACCTGTAACCAACCAGCCATATGTGGCATTGGATCGGACTTCAATTTGATGCTAATATCTAAAAGATGAAGCACACGCAGTTGGGATATCATAGGATAAAAGAAAACGCCCAAGAGAAGAGAGAACGATCAAAGGCCGCGCTGCACAAGGAGACCTGCTGCCGAAGGACGCGACTTCTCCAGCGGAGCAAAGTACTGACTAAAAGCCTTGCGCAGGGTCTTTTCAGACAGGTGCATATGCTGTCCTGGGGCAGTATTGAAGTCCAGCTTCCCCTGCTCATCAAGCTGCTTTAGCCCCAACCAATCCTCCTTGTAGATCGGTCTCTCGTGCAGAGGCGTCACCTCGCCACTAGTGGTATTAACCTCGGAGAACAAAGCACTCTGCTTAGGAACAGCAACAGTATCCTCCTCAAACATGAACATCGCAAACCGGTTCAGCGACGCCAGATTCTTCTTGTACGTCTCATTCTTGACCGCGCGCTCATTGTTGATATCCGCCAGGAAATTGCTGTGCTCGAGGTACGAATCCAGCTCTTCCGGGTCGCGGAAGTACTGCGCCGGCACGACGCGCGACTGCGCAAAGCTCGTCCACCGTCCCGATCGTAGTAGTTGCTCGGCCCCTTTACAGAACCAGTTGTCGAAGGCGCACGACTCAAACGCCGAGATGCCGTTGTGCTGGCTGCCGAATGTGACGAGGTTGTGGACGGGTGGGGAGTTGCAGCGCTCGATGTACCCGCGTAGGAATTGGCCACCCTGCGAGAAGCCTAGCGCGTTGATGGCGGGCGCCGTGCTGAGGATTGGGTCCGCGGCGAGTTGCTCGCAGACTTGGGCGATTTGCTCCGTTACGTTGCCGAAGAAGGTTGCGGAGCGGTCTCCGCTGCCATCGTTGGCCAGTCGGATGAGGTGCACGTATGTGCCGGGGTTGGTGGATTCGGCTAGTTTGGCAACTTGAGTGAGCCCTTCGCGTTCGAAGTCATCGCCCAGACCATGCCAGATCACAAGAGGGAGCTGGGTTCCGCTGGTTGCATCTGTGGCGGATTGCCACGGGAGCGCGATTGAGAGAGCGTTGGTGGCTAGTGCGGCCAAAAGTGTGATAGAACGCATGATTGAACGATGGAACTGACAAGGGATCTTCGAGAAGTCAGCGCCGTTGATAATTGGAGATGGGGTTGTGGAGACGGAAATGACGTTGCTTCGGAAGGCAGGTACCAATCATGTGATGACCGAATGCGGTAATTTAGATCTATAGGAACAGAAAACAGGTACAATATACGATGTACAGGAGCATGAAAAATTGCAACGTACATGTAGAATAGCCTAGGCAATGTATTTGGTTGGATTAAGGGATATTTGTGGTCTATTCAGTTGTTGGTTGGTATGGTGGACTGATCGTTTTCCTTCCAGGTGCCTCAGGGCACTGCCATGCTACTGTCGGTCTACGATGTAACTAGCAGGCCGCCCCAGGGAAGGCAGGTTCCACACAGAGTGAGAGATACCTTCCCCGCAGATACTCATATGATATATGGACTCCGAGAACATGTGCCATTCATCTGATTTCATGTGACTCTCTGAATGAAAATGAGCGCTCAACATTATACACTGCTGGGTCATAACCCCGCGCTGGTCATTGCGAACGGGGAAACAGATTGGTAATCCAGGTAGCTGTCAGGTTCTCTTTCCCCAGGTCCTGTTCCACAATAGGAGATCCTTCATGGTCAAGTAGCATTGACTGTGATGACATGCTGTTCATGACCACCCCCGAGCTGTCATTGGATCGCGCCACTGGTCGTCCGTTGATCTTATACTGGATATCTTCTTCAATAGTATCGATCACCGAGGATGAATTTCTGCCTCTTTTTGGGGGTCTAAGTCGCTCAAAAAACGTAGACCCATTGTTGTTAGCTGCTACCAGCCGTTTTCTGTCCTCGTCATTTAGCTTTCGTCGCTTCCCAAACCGCTCGACTTCCTCCACAGATGTAAATGAAAGCTCGAGTGGACGTGTGGCAGACACGGCTGCCCAATCAGGTTCTTTCAGCAGTTGGCGCTTGACCTCGGTCAAGTCATTGCCACTATGAGAGGAGCGACCACCAGTCAAATGTGAGGCCGGCTCTTCCGTAACTCTTGAATCAGCACGATCATGAGTTAGTACGAGGACACCCACACGGATTGGCGGAAGCAAAGTCGAAGCAGTCTCAACAGTTCTTGACTGACTGATTTCCATTTGTCTCTGCCTCCTCATCCTTGTCCCTAGTGCTCGAGCCCTTGAATCCAATATCAGGGAAGTTTCGGAATGGCGAAGGCGGGGGAATGACCGTGCCCTTTTGGAGTCTCGACCTGGCGAAATTCTGCTTCTGAGCTTTGGTCAATAGGCCTGAGCGATTGTGATGACGCTGCAGCTGGCCGCCTGTCCAATTCATTATGCCAAGGAATGAAGAGTGGAGAGTGGATAAGGCCTCCGACGTCAGTTGAGGAGGTGTTTGCTCAAAATGGAAACAAACAGTGTAAACAATACAAATGTATGTAAATCACGTGACCTCAACAAGTACAAAAAATTATTTTCACCTCTTTCTTCTTCCTTTTCTCCGTCAATCATATTCCAGACTGCCATCACAGCCTCGAATATGACAGTTGTTTCATGACAACTCATCCCTTGTCTTCCGACAATTCCCGCTAACAGGTAAGCCCATTATTTTTGTTTCTGATTTACAATTCTTTCATTGTTTCCCAAGGGCATTCGCCTTTTGTGATGAACAACCAATATTTAAAGCATAGTTCACCTGAGATCTTCGGATTGCTGAACGAAAACATATTCCATTTTACATTTTTCTGATCCTGTCAACCTTGATGTTATTTTTTTTCATACACCACTTCTTTTGAACTTGGCTAACTGGAAAAAAAAGACCCGAAAATAGGAGAAATGCCTGCATTGCTGCCCAACGTGGGTCTGGCTCTCTGGCTCGCCCCGTCCCGTTGTCCAGTAATCTTAGTTATATTGATTTCTGTTTTGGATAATTTACATTTACAATCACATTTACCATTTATATTATTTATTCTATTCTTGCTTCACTATATTATGTTTTCGAGTCTTAACGCCGTACAAGGTGACCTCATGCTGCAGGTATACTTCCCGTGGCACTCCGACGTGGGATTATCTCCTCCATACGATACTTTGCCCAGATGCAACCAAGTTGTACATCTCATCGAACATGCGAATGCACCTGTCGATCGTCCAATTCGGACATCATCCTACAGCGTCAGCCTGTCTCAAATCACCAATCATACATCTCGCCAAGCACTCAAAGCGCCGAGCCCGTCTCACCGCTAGTATATATCCCTCCACTCAGTCAAACGAACCCCCCCCCCTAATCTGCAGATGCCATCACCGCCAGTCTGCAGCACTGGCTCTCAGGGTGCCAACAGGGCACTCGTCTCCTGCACGATGCGAGACTGGCACACGCCATGTTTGATGGCCCACAGACCCTCCAAAGTCCGAGCTTTCATTTTTTTTTGTGTGCTAAAAGGCCGCTGATCCCCCTCCTTCATTCTAATTCTTCTTTTTCTTTCTTCCTTAACTCTGGATACCCCTTTTTCTGCAACCAATACCTTGTGTATCACTTTTTATATATACTCCTTTTCAACACATACAACAACTCAAGTCCCTGGACCAAGGACAACTTCTTTCTTAACCCAAGACTCCCTGGTTTTTGATACAATCACTGCCACAAGGATTTCTCTCTGCCACATACTTCCCGGACAGGATTTGTTTTCTTGTTATCTCCCAGGCTTCTCTTTAGTCTGTCCACACATTTCGACAAACACAATAGGTAGCTCCCGTCACATTTTCTTTACAATTGGTTCTCCTATGCGTTGTTATTTCTTTCCTTTGTCTTCTGGACCTGTACCACTGCCACTGTCAACTGTGCTTGCCAAGGATATCGACAACCTATTGCCCAGGACCCCAGGACCTTAGACCTACTCCCATACCCGGACTTTTTGGCCAATTTTGGCGACCATGAATAAGGAACCACTGCCGAGGATAACTTGCCTTCAGCACCTGCTGAGTGAATCTCTTTGAGATGTGTTTAATGTTGCACACTCAAAATCGCCTGACTTCCACTGCCACTGGACTACTGCCATGGATGTTTCTTCTGTTCACATTGCCTCTGCTCTAAGACCGGAGTTTTGAGTGCGGATTTTGATATACCCTTGGACCCCCACTGCCTCTGGAAACAACGCCCCTGGAATGAACCACATGAACCACTTCAGGACTTGATATTATGACTCTTTGCCTGGAAATCTGATGCTACTATGGCCACTTTCTCTCTCAACAATAATGGATCCATTTGACCCCAAGGAATCAACCGAGGAATCTTTCAAGCTAATGTGCTTGCTCCCTGTCAATTATGGCCTTTTGAAGCATCCGCTTTCAACTCTTGCTTAGGCCATTGCTTTATGGAACCTGGCCATTGTGTACCTACCTGATCTGGCCACAAAAATGAACCGACTTTCTTTTACTTACCTGGACTCACCTGGATGATGATGCTTCAACCAAATAGTAAATCTGGCCATGATGACACTGTTTCTCCTCGCCCTGGCACCACTTAGCACTCCCTTGGATTGACAACAGACCTGGACCCGAACATAGACACGACAAATTTGACCAGGACCTTACGATAATCCCTGGTCGGCCAAGGAACTTTCAATCCAACAAAAGCCACTTTGGTGCGTATAACTAAATCGTGACGCGACCCTTGGTCTCATTACTGACTCTCACTAGGTCTTCAATTACTTCTGGACCATGGAGCTCTTGTTTTCTTTCTTTTTGCTTTTTTCTTTTTGCTTTTCTTCATTGTTCGATGACGAGTAGTAGATACTAACTCTTGGTTTACAGTGTTTATTTTTTTATCATACAACCACACACAATGTCTCCAAGGACCACAAGCGACTCTGATCGAGTCTCTATCTCACAGTCCATGCATACCTCCATGGTTTCAGGAATCTCAAATATGGCCTCAAGATCAATCCAGGATGATGAAATGTCGAGCCATGACAACTCCTCGTTGTGCTCAAGTATCCGTACAGCCCATGGAAATCCACAGGACATGAAAGACTGGACAATGAACCACCAAGAATCCCTTGACCAGGCCATCTCAAAACCAGACTCATCCGAGGTGCACATGCTTTCTTTCTCGCTGTCTCAGCAGCTGATGACCCCCACGGTCGGACCAAATGATGTTATGTACCCAGGCATGGACTTCCCAGCAGTCCCTGACATGAATGACCATGAAATGTCCCGGGATCTTTATAACTCCTTCCTGGATTTCTCTTCTGTTGAAAATGATGTCTGTGTCGGAAATGGCACGCCAGATGATGCTCTTTCCATCGGACACAGCTCTCACAGTACCGAGGACGGCCACTATATCACAGGCCCAGAGTCGTGGACCCCAATGATGCATGATGCCCATTACCCAGGAACCACCATGGAACAATTCTCGTCGGGTCTTTTCCAGACAGCCCCGGTCTCTCCACCACTGACCGACGCTAGCAATGATATGTCTGTTACTTCTTCTTGCTCACACGCGGGATACACTTCATTCATGGGCCCCGATGATGTACTCCTCGGAGACTTCACCACATCGCCCCTTGGAACGACCCATGGACTCAACCCAGCGGAGCCCTTGTTCCCCAGCTCTTCTCTTAACGACAGGGATCTCAACAGGTGAGTGTCGGAAAGACTGATACACTAGAAGACAAAAACATTGGATCAGAAACCTAACCACAATATCGTAGGACCATCAGACCCTCAAAGCAATCCCGCCGTTCAGCATTGCCAGCTGTTTCTCAGCACCAAGGAAAGACTGATCCCGATTTCTTCCCAACCCTCCCAGTCAGAGAGCCAACCCGCCAGAGATCCAAGGAAGGTGTTGAGGCTCGCAACCCGCGAGAGCACCAGTATTATTCCATGTCCACCCACAGCGATGGAAAATATTACTGCCCATATGCCACTGGAGAGAAACCCTGCAACCACCCACCCACCACGCAAAAATGCGCTTACCAGCAAGTCCTCCCGTGATGAAATCTTTGGTGTAATCTGAACCCCAGCTAACCGATATCAACTAACAGCAAGTACCTGGATTCCCACCTGAAGCCATACCGCTGCAAGGTCCCCGCCTGCATTGATGCCCAGCTGCGCTTCTCTTCCAACGCCTGTCTGTTCCGCCACGAGCGTGAAGCCCACGGATTACATGGCCATGGAGATAACCCTCACCTCTGCCTGTGGGAGGGTTGTGAACGCGCTGTTCCAGGAAATGGATTCCCAAGGAGATGGAACCTTTACGACCACATGCGTCGTGTGCATGACTATGCCACCTCCGAGCGCCACAGCTCGCCCGAGACCTCGCCTGGCGCTGGTCAGATCAAGAAGAAGGAACCCACTGGCCGCAAGAGAAGAGTCACCGGTGCCACTCCGGCTCCCACCATGAAGCGCACTCGCTCCGTCCACTCCCAGGCTAGCTCCATTAAGGCCACCCAGACCTCCGCCAGCCTTGGCCAGCGCCTCCAGAGTGCCGAGCAGAACTTCTTCAAGTGCCGGTCGCGTCTGCTCGAGGAGCTGGGTAACATTTCCCCCAGGATACTATCATGCACGAGAAGGTCAACGCCAGTTTCCAGGAACTGTTCACCTTGGGTATGAACTACCGCCAAATTGAGGCCAGCCAGGCTGTTTCCCACATGCCCAACGGATTGCCTTGAAGGGTTAAGGAGCTGTAGGCCTCCGTCCTGGAGGAGAACAGCGGTTTTCTTTTTAAACGATACGAACAAACTTCACGGAGGACTTTTTCTTGATTTCCTTTTTACTCCGCGGCTAGACCGTGCTGCTTGCTGGCCAGGCACTTTCAATACATGGAGAACCCAGTGCGATCGCTCGCGAGTACACAAGTGGACTTCGGCCCAAGGATTGTCTCAGCCTGATCTCATGATCGGACAGACAATCCGATTCCAAAAAATGGATATTACGGCCAGGAACTGGATAGGACCAGCGTGGAACCCCACCCCACGCTTGAGAGCTTGTTGATCTACCCCCAATCGCAAGCTGCTCACCACATGGGGATCTGGATTCAGTACCAAGGGCTTTTGAGATTCTTGGGCTGCACTCCAGATCCATGGATAAAAACCATCCCAATGACACAAAAGACCCGAAACTTATGCGGAGGAAACAGCAAAGCGGGATACTGTGTCCCAAAAGGGGAAGAAGAATGACAGGAAAGAGAGAGATATAGCCATGTATTGTCCAACAATTGGTTGGATTTTGATTTGTTGATATTGATAGATAGTCTTGCGTTCTTGTATTTTGTTTCAAATGACTTTTTTTTTACTTTGCAATTCTTAAAACACATATAGCCGGTCAAAAAAAGGGGACATGTAGAAGTCATAACCTCGTTATCTCATAACTACCAACAGACTTTTTCTAGTACTGAAAAAGACATCTAATATATTTGATCCTACTCAATTGCAAAGCACCTATTCTTCTGCAGCCTCCGTAACCACACCCGAGAACTCGGCATTGAGGAACCGCACAAACGCATCTCCAATCTGATCAGCCGCCAGCGCGCCTCCTCCAGCACCATGACCCCGACCAATATATGACCTGTGCAAGCTAATCCACTGCCTGCGCAGCCTCTGCAGCCGCGGCAAAGCCAGAATCCCACCAGCAGCGGCGAGTTCATCTGTCGTTCCAGCCATGGCGACATGGGACGGAACCAGGATGGGAATAGTTGTCTCCGGGACGTCAATGGCGATTTCATCCGCACGACTGCTCTGCGCAAGTGCTACTTCCGCGGACGGGTAGGTCTGCGTGAAATTGCGGATTGCAGTCACAACTGCCGACGTCCGCTTTTCCATTGCGTACATTGCGTTCGAGTCTGTTGCAGCTGCTTGGACGGTGGCTTGGTGCGGGATGATTCGGGCGCGTGTTGAGAGCCCGCTGCGGCCGCCCCCGCCTCGAGTGCCGGTTGCTGTGCTGGCGACGTCTGAGATCGTGGTGGATGCGAGGGAGTCCATTAGGCTTGGGATGGCTGTTTCGGTGGGAGCTTCGGTTGATGGGAGGACTACGCCTGTCAAGGCTTCGAAGATGTCTGCTACCGGGGGTTCTGGATCCGCCCAGGGAACTGTGAACAGGGGCTTATCCCAGCGGCTGTGGGTACTTGGTTCCTCGTAGCGGAAGATGAGGTTGTTGAGCAGGTCAGGTGGGTAGGCCTCCTCGGTGTCCTCGGTAGACTCTACGGAGTCGGGTGCGGGGGTATCTTGGGTTTCGGAGGTCTGCGCATCCAATGTCTTTGGGTCTGTTTCCTTTCTGGCGTCTCGGCGCAGTCGAGCGTCATTGTTGGCGACACACTGGTCGACGGGTGTCCCGACGTGAACCTAGGGCAGACTTGTCAGCCATTGGGTGTCGCAATTCATTTTGCACATTCCGATCTCATACCACACAGCACGTCGTTTGCGCAGCTTTCGCCTCGCACCACAGCTGGTACCTCCATCCTTTGATATAATTCATTCCGTCGAGGATGACGATGCTGTCCCGCTTGAGCACACGCTTGGCTCTCGCGTAGGCGACGCCGCGCGCCTCCTTCTCGGTGCGGGCATGGTCGTAGACAATCCGTGGATGAGAGGAATCGTGCGAAGCGACCACATGGACCTTGTATCGAGACTTCAAGGAGACCTGCGCGCCTGCTTCGGCTGCTGCGAATACTTCATCTTGATGTTTCTCAAACAGAGATGCTAGTTGATTGGCGCGATGGGTAAGACCGGAGCACGGATATCCTGTTAAAACGACGAGCTGAATGTATATCTGTTAGATTGGATTGCAGAATGTAAGAGGTTTCTCGACGTACCGGCATCGTTGGTTTGTCGCGGTGTTTGTTCAGGCGGACTTTTTTTTCTTTGCGGGGGTTGTGCCATGTGACCCGACCCGCATCTACATCCACGATCCATCTATATGCTCTGCCATTTAAAATTTTAGTTGTTTTTTTTGATTGACATGATCGTTGTACTCGATACTATCTACCCATATGGATACAGGATGAGAGAGAAAAGCAAGGGTGGAAGGCTGCTGTATAACTAGTGAAATTGAGGCCTGAAGTATGAGGCAGAGATATTTATTTCAGGTGCCTTAACTATATGTATAGAGATGGTAAATGTATTTCGATTTTCTAGAACAGATCTTCGATCTCAATGTATATAAATTCTATCGAACTTTTGTCATGTAATCATGTCATCGTTCCAAGGAGGCCGGGGGTATCAAATCAACGGCTCAAACAGCTTTGGATGAATCCTCCAATTGATCCTGCGCCCATCTGATCTCATATCCAAATACGGTTCTTCGGAGTCTTTCATCCTGTAAAGAGTCAGCACCATGGCCATAATCCAAAGGAAAATTCTCAAAATGTAGACTTACGCCAGGGTCTTCCTCAAACAGCACCGCATCCATCACCTTCTCAAAGATCTTGGTGACGGTGAAACCGCTCGCCTCCGCCAACGGGAAGAATTGCTCGGTCTTGGGCAACAACCAGGGCTGGTAGGGGGTGAAAATAACCAGAGCAACAGAGTTTGGGTCCTTCTTCATGGTCTGCTGCATGGTTTTGATCAGATTCGGGTGCTCGCGGTGACTGTATACCACATCCGCCATGATCAAGACGTCAAACAAGGATGGAGAGCCATCGGCAGCAGGGGGCAGATACGCCCGCAGCGGGCTCACATCGCTGCCCCATTTGTAGCCATCGACGTGGAGGCGGGGCTTTCCGTCCTCCCTCGCGGGAATGGCACTGGCCGCTAACTCTGCGTTATGCTTCATGTTTTCAACTAGATCTGGATCCGGATAGTCGGTCAACACCACTGTCCGGGCGCCCTGAATGGCGCTCACGATGCTGGGAACGCCTGCTGCAGCACCAATCTCTAGGACATCCTTGTTCCGGATGAGATCCTCGGTGTGCTCCTCAATGTAATGAGAGCTGGTTCGGCCAGCATTCCATAGCAGATTTCCCTGTCAAGGTTCTATAAGTAGGCACTCGGCTGGTCATGTCAATTGATATCATACATAGAGGGGGTGGCTGCCCACAAGACGGACGCGCACTTTCTGGCCCGATAGCATGGAGTGCTCAGCAAATGTGGGGGGCTCATCTTCAGGATAGTACCCTTCTGGGTCCTGGAATAGATTCCCCGAATCAAATTCGTCGGCCATGGTAATATATGACTTCAATGCTTTGGAGGGAAAAAATATCAGTATCAGTTATCAATTTCTTATCGGCCATGTTCCAACCTCGGTAGTGGCCTCAGGCATCAATTATACCTAGGTATGTAGGTAGTATACATATGTAGTGGGCTGATTGCCGGATCCCTCGGCTTCGGTATTGGAGATTCGGGCATTTTCACAGATGTACACAATTAGACAATGTCCTTTAGATTGCCTGACATTCTAACACACCCTACAACTTCAGGGAAAGCTATGATTATCGTGACTATTGACTGTTACATTATACGTCACGTGCATAATACTACCTCTCTACCTTTGTACCTCTGTATGTAAAATTGTGTGGAGAAAAGCGTGGAGATACGGTCACAATACCATTCAATACCATTCAATCCGGGCAAATCTCGGGATCAAAGGGAAAAACTGCGGTTTGCCTTCAAATGTCATATGCACCCCTGAGAGATCATATGTAAAATCTCTGACGTCCAAAGATTTAGACTGCAATCTTCCTCTTTTCATCACTTCTCTCTCTGCCATTTGGTCATTCGTCCCCGGGGCCAGCGTCACTGCTTAGTGGAAATTACCTCCGGCTAAATTCGTCTTCAGTCTCTTGCAATTTGCATCCTCGAGCGGCTTCAATTTCCTTGCCACTCTGCTTTCTTTTCCACTCTTGATCCCCCATCGCATCTTTTGTCCATAGCAACAAACCCTCTCCCCGTTCTACCCATCTACCCATCTACCCAAGTCCACGTTCACTGCGACCTATTCTTTTTGCATCTTGAAGATCGGACCGCTATAGTCACGTCATGGAGTCAACCCTGCGGACTGCCTACAACCCCCAAGCACCTCTCGTCCAACCCACCACCTCCTTCCATCCCACCTCCTCAACCCTCAACACTTCAACCGGCCAGTCCACCATGGCAGCCCAGGCTCAAAGTACCCTAGAAGTCGCATCGAATGCGAGCAGGCAGGTGTTCTCTTCACCCTCGCTACAATCTGCCTGTTCCCCGCAGACCTCCGCCCCTCCCATGCAACCTTTGTCACAGGCATTCGGCAACACATCCAACCCGAGTACCCTTCCCATCGCCCCCGCAGCCAACACCCATGCATTATTACCTGTCAATGCCGCCCCCGCTCCGGCGCCCACATCCGATGCCTATCCCCACCAGATAAATGGTCTCGGGGGTCCAACTGCCACAGCGCCCTTTCTGCAGGATTTCAATCTCGTCGCCGAGGCAGCCAAACGCGCTCAGATGGGTATTGTCATGCGTGATCTTGAGAGCGTGACTCTTTGATTTGAGGGTTTACAGCTAGATAGGGCAGGACCCGGGTCGGGGATGGAGATGCCGTGCCGGTTGCACGTGCATCTCCGGGCTGCATGGACTGGTTCCATGTTCTAGACACGTTGGGGTTGGGATTACTATGGCGTATTATATGTGGCCTTTCGATTTTGGGATTATTTTCGAATTTTTGCCGACGCACCTTCTTGTTATCAGAAGGTTGCTACGTTTGAACTTGCATTCCGTCTCATTCGGATGCTTTGCAAGTTAATTTTGGAGTTGTTTTCAGACGGTGTTTCTCTGGTGCTTAAATTTTCCTTCATGGCTTCTAGCCCCTATACCATCTACTCACGAGACATGCAATATCATCCATTAAGAATGTACTTTCGCAATTGATATCAAGGATTAGGAGTCAGAGGCGTAGTATTCGGAACTATCACACTTGGCCTAGAAATATAGAGGCTCTGCATGCACAAGAAGTGGCTTCACTTATTATCTATATCTCTTTCAGTTCGACTTGGCCTGCATATATGTGCTTTTCCTGGTATTTGAACAGCAATTTTCCCGTGTTTCTTTTGAGGAATTATAATCGCAATTCTAGCATTTGGTTTATGTTCATTATTCTCCTCAGTTAGAAGGTGTAATATGTCAAAGGGATGCCTTTAGAGTGCTTCTGAAAATGATGTTGAAGATGCCAATTACAGGCTAGTTAACCCAATCTTAGCCCTGAAGATGGATATTTGGATATCCCTATTGGAGTCTATAGAAGCGAAGGCAATTATAACCGATGATTTACTCATTTCCAATGTCACAATCAGATAGCCCCTCAGCTGACCAGTGACGCAAGGACCTCGATTATCCTTCCTTGAATCTGAGTGAATCCAATCTGCTAGATGCGGTATCAAAGTAAGGTGATCAAGTCCTCTGGGTTACCATTTTGGGTTAATGGCCTTATTCCAAAGGTTGTCGTGGAACCTCCAAGGTTTCCCCCACATTCCCCCCCCAGACTTCGGTGCGGAGCCGACCTCGGGAGATCATTCCCCGGAGTTTGAGCAAATCCCTTGCATATATCTATGAGATTGTCTATTAAGGCTACTTCTAGACTGGTATATAAGGGATGAGGTCTCACTTATACGTGGGTACGGTGTGGAGATTTCATTTCTTTGATTTACTCTTGTTCCGATATGACTACCGTCTCACGGAAGAAAAAGCCCTACTTCGGGTTAACAGGTGGATGGTTGACCTTCTGGATTACGGTATGACTAGAAATGTAGTGTTTGATTGGGATCAATTGACATGTTTTGTCTTAGGTGGCATGCGCAACCGATATGACCTTATTTGGTTACGACCAAGGAGTGTTCAGTGAGTACTCTGGGAACTATGCAATCTCGAATTGACCTAATTCAATCTAGGTGGTGTCGTGATTACACAAGATTTTCTTGAAATCCACGATCTGGTCGGACCTACGAAGACAACGACCCTATCCACAGTGACTGCGATATATGATATTGGTTGTTTCTTCGGGGCCCTTGTCGCCTTCACCGTTGGTGAGCGTCTGGGGCGAAAGAAAGCTATCCTGCTGGGAACTACGATTATGGCAGTAGGGGCTATTCTTCAGACGAGTTCGTTTAGTTTGGCGCAGATGTTCGTTGGTCGTATCGTGTTAGGGTAAGTGACCTTCTTCTCAAACCACTTTATCATATTCTAACATCCTTTAGTGTTGGAAACGGTAAACAAGTTCATTGGACCCAACCAAAATACAATACTCTAACAGGCAATAGGCATTAACACTGCTACAGCCCCAATCTGGCAGACCGAAACATCCCAAACGAAATGGCGTGGAAAACTAGTAATCCTAGATATGATGATGAACATCGCCGGCTTCTGTCTCGTCAACTGGATCAACTATGGCCTATCATTTGCAGGCGGGTCTGTAGCCTGGAGATTCCCACTTGCATTTCAATTTTTCTTCTTCTTCATTCTGTGGGGTACAACGCCCTGGCTGCCGGAATCTCCTCGGTAAGCATATACGCCAATCCCTTCATTGATGATGATCTCACCTAACGATACACTGAAAGTTGGCTCCTCGCCCACGGCAAAGAAGAGGAGGCGATCGAAGTCCTCAGCTGCCTCGAAGCAAAGCCGATCGACGACCCCGTGGTCATAACCCAGCGCAACGAAATCGCATTTAGCATTCAATATGAGCGCCAGAATGCTATGCGCTGGCGCGACCTCCTCAAGAAAGACAAGAAAAATGATACCAAGACACTGCGCAGAGTCCTCCTTGGTGTGGGCAGTCAGTTCATGCAACAGTTCGGTGGTATTAACATCATGTCTTATTACATGCCCACGGTATTGACAAAATCGGTTGGTTTGCCGGAGAAAATGGCTCGATTGCTGTCGGCTTGCAACGCCGTCTCGTACCTAGTTTTCTCGGGTATAGCCGTGCTTCTGATTGAGCGTATGGGTCGCCGTGGTCTGATGCTTCTATCGACGTTTGGGCAGTTCGTGTGCTTCCTCGTTATTACTGTTCTGCTTCGTTATTCCGAGACTAGTGACAATGGTAGCGTATACGGCAATGCCTCGGTCGCATTTTTCTTCCTTTATTATGGAGCTTTCGGAATTGGCATGCTGGGGGTGCCTTGGTTGTATCCCACTGAGATCAACTCCCTGCCGATGCGGACAAAGGGTGCTGCGGCTGCAACGGCTACCGACTGGTACGTATCCGAATTGTGGGTGTACCTCATTGGCTGTTTTTGACGAAGTATAGGATCACGAACTTCATCGTCGTGGAGATCACCCCGATCGGAATTCAGAGTATTGGATGGAAGTTTTGGATCGTCTGGACGGTGTCCAATGCTGTTTTCCTACCTATCCTCTACTTCTTCTACCCAGAGACAGGTATTTTCAGATGATGTCCCTTGTTGTTTCCCTCTTACTCACTGTCATTGTAGCCAACCGGAGTCTCGAGGATCTTGATGCCTATTACCGCACCAACCCATCGTTGATTGTGACTGGAGACCCGGATGCCATCTGCCGAAAGCGCCCGCAGAAATACATTGAGCGAGAAGATGAAGAGTTCGAGAGAACAGCTGTTGGCAAGGGAATTATGCCTGTCGAGGCAGCAGAACATGTGGAATGGACCGAGGCAGAGAGACAGACGTGACTATTAGACTGTGGTTGATGATAGACATTTTAAAGCCATGAGTATAGTATACAGGGGAGAAAGGAGGACTTGAGATGTGCAAGTACGCAGATACGACACGCTACTACTAAATACATTCCTATTATTAGCGTTAGCTATAGCTCGTAGAACTGGATATAGGGTCCCTAGTTATAGATAGTCACTATAGAATGTTGCTAGGGAATAATAGACAATTACCAGGCGGAGAGAATAGCGGAGATCAGGTAGCACTAGGAGATTAAGAGTTTAAGAAATATCAAGAGGAATTTCGGCGAACATATGTTTGCAAGTCCAAGAACAATAGTGAGTCAATCGAAGTCGTAGCTCTCGAGGGCTGAATGTGTTTCCCTTTCCTATAAGCCCTACCTAGGTCTATAATATAATATTTCAAACTAGTAGTGTAGTAATATTAAAATTACTTCATACGCACTGTGCATGTGAACGTTGAAATATATTAATCTATAGACATAAGACCCATGGACAGTAAGAGACATCCTTTGTCTCGCGCTGCGCCGAATGTAGATTAGGGTTGGTTTTGAATCACAACTTCGATTTAGGGCTAGGTGTAGTTATGTTGTATTTCTCTAAAGCTTTCAATAAAAACAAATCAACTCCGAGAGCCTAGCGGTTTAGGATCTGTAGCACCGGTAAGTTAGTGGTAGAATGCCTGAATTGCAAATCAGGTTGTCGTGTTCCACACTCGGTGCTATTTTTGCTTCATTCCGTCCCATCTCACCGGAAGGGACGAGGCTATAACGAGATATTCCGTTAATCTAGGGTCAAGAAGCAGCACCTAACGTCCTGGCGACTAAGCACCGAAGGGGTGCCGGTAGATATCTCTAGAACACAACCCCGGTTCCTTCCTAGTCGAGATATTTTCTTTTCTCTTATTCATGTTCAGATAGACTTATACAAGATATCTCTTTTTTTCTTTGAGCTTGATAGGGGTGTACGGGCTTCTGTTGGCCTGCTTTCATAGCCTCATATTGGTGAGGTTTAAGTCTTAGAAACTTAGGGAACTTTGGTGGGGTTGAACCCCGCCGATATGGCTTCATTCCAGAGAGAGAACTTCCATAGATCCCAACTTATCCACCGGCTTCCTTCTGTTAAGGTCCACGTGTTTGGAGTAATTATAGCCCACTTGTATGACAATTTCCTCAAGTGGTGAAGTATCAACACACCCGTTCTGAAGAAGCCCGAATGCTCTAGATCTTCAGCTTTCGATTTTTTCCCCATTAATTTTAAGACCATCTTGGCTCTGAAGCCATTCAATCAATTTAGGTAGGAGAAGTCAGGAAGAGTCATCGAGAAGCGAGCAATCGGGGTATGACTCGGGATGTGAATTCTCATTAAGAGCTTGGCAAACATCAAAGACTTCGCGAGGTCGCGAGATCTAGATTTGGCGGCTTCGCCAGAGCTCCTATGGTTTATAGTTGCCTGTTTTTGATTTTCGAAATTCTTCTACTCAGATTTTCATGATCGTCTATTTTATCAGTGTCTTTTCCTCTGGATTCTATCTTGGACCCTAGCTTGTATTGTTCAAGAACACCATTTGTTCTTGTATGTAGGTAATTATTCCTCGACTGCTGATCCTAGTATATTCTTGCAGGATCCCTATTGTCCAATCCCTAGTAATTTCGTATCATTAGGTCCATTCTCCTGTTTTAGCGATTCCCAAATGACAAGGACCATTCCAAACACGGATGATTTACCTTCCTAGGTCATTCTTCCCACCTTGGCATTTCCGGACGGGTACATACTTGAGAGTTCAAGGCATTTATCCTGTTTCATATCGATATATTGAGCGGTCGCATTTAAAATGCGTAATCTCGGACGTTTTCAGCCTTTATTTTTAGGCATTGGCTAACGGGCTGGCGTTAGCCGGCAATTGCTTAGCTTGGAGTGAAATGCCGACTGCATGGTGGCGCAGTTAGCGTTCTATTTCTTGAACTCGAGAGTAATGCAGTCTTTTCAAGGGGTTCTGTATATGATATATTATTCTGATATGTCAAGAGAAAAGAAAAGGCAATATTCCAGATGATCCAAAATCCCAAACACCGAGCTATGTGCAAGTTAAGCAGAGAGAAGTAGGAACAACGAAATCTCAAAACCTGAACTAGCGATTAATAAAATGAAAATGATCGCTGTCCACCCCAAAAAATTGATGGATATATCAGGCGCAGAAAAGAAAAAAAAGTGCAAACGAGAATGATTATACCGGAACACCCCTTGCGCATATATGTATGAATAGCCGTGTATTGCACGACGATTCGAGCGTCGATCCCATAATCATAGATGGGTTGTGGATATGCTTTCTTTTTTTTTTTAATGATCGTTCCATATGATATTTTCGGTCATTAAATGAACGAAGCTTGGCTCCTGTTTCCGTAATGAGTCGATGAACCGATCAAATTTGGCGAAGATATGCTGCCGCTCTTGGAACTGGTAGGCTTGCCCCGGGAAGAGAAAACCGACAAGCGGCGGGAGAGTCGCTGGCTCATTCCTCGTGTGGGAGAAGACCAGTTATCGAAGGAGATGATGGACATTGGCCGCGACCGCGGGGGTCCGTGGGATGTCATCGGAGCTTCTGAGCGAGACGGGGGAGCACTGAAATTGGGCCCGTCGTAGAATATGGTTGAGCGACGCTTGAGCTTTTCGGTCGTTTGGCGAGCGTCCATTGAGAAGTCTTCTCGGATATCGCCTAGGACATGCGAGACTCGGCGGAGCAGTTTGGGAGGTTTGCCGTATATGGAGGGTTCTCGCTGCTCTAGGCCGTAGACTTGTAGAGGTGTTGAGTCGGTTTCCTGGTCCATGGGGGACGAGTAAAACCGAGGATACTTGACACCCATCGGGGTTCGGCGGGAGTTCAGTGAAAGTGTGGATGTGGGGGGATGTTGGTATGGAGAAAGGTGAAGCTCAGATGAGACACTGGAGGAATAGAAACTGTTTGTTGCAGATGAAATCAACATGGCTTCCAAAGGCTGTGAGCTTGCAGAAAGGGAAACGAAGAGAAGAGGGAAAAGCCCGTAAAAGGGTATTTTGATGGAATTCCGAAAAAGACCAAAAGTGGATCAGAGAGACATCAACATTTTAGTCCCGTAACACTTAGATGACTTGTAATTTTTTGGTTTTCTTTTTTCTCTTATACAATTATTATAGTGCTTTAGAGACTTGAGCTATTCTACATGTTGCCTTGACTATTACTACGTACATATGTAGTATGATCTGCTGTATAAACAGTACAAGTCAGAAGATTGTCCATATTGTCCATGTGGAAAAACACCCGTGGGGTGATCAGATTGTGTCTCAAAGATCTGACACGATGTTTCGATCCAATGACGCGGCAGAACAAAGCCACGATCTTCATCTACTGTAATGCTACTCCGTACATTCTTTACGTAGAAGCATTCCAATGCTCTGTCCTCCACGTCCCCCTCATACGCAACAGCGAAAAATAGCCAGCCGTGTTTGCGACATTTCCCAAGGGGCGAAGACAGTGTATCCACGGTTTCTCACTGGGAACTGTGGATTCCAGATTGCTGATTGGTCCGATTCCCGCTCAGGGGGGAATGGCGCCATGGTTCTATACTTTTTTTTATAGAAACATTTGAACCTTCCAAGGTTAGAATGAAACAGATCAAAGAACATCAAAGAACATCCGAGACATTTACTATTAAACAGGTAATGGTCTTGGAAAGGATACGTGTACGGAGTAGTTATAGAGTTATGTATTGATATATTCCTAAGAAAAACTACTTTCCCATTGAGTTTTGCCGAGAGATCCACTAAAGCACAGGAGAGAACCACAGCCACAAACGAGCCCACAAGTTTGGGAGATGCGGCATCGTATTCCGTACTATTATTGAACTATATTATACAAATGTGGTTCTATTATTCTATTATTTTCTATGGTATTTATGTTGTACATATTAGCCATATTACAGTATTATTACGACTGTAACCTACTCTTCCCCGCACTGGTAATTCGGGAGTCGGAAGTCATATCAGGTGATTCATTTGCTACATTTCGATCGTGCCTGTCATAAGTGCCCAGGTGCCCAGCTAAAAACTCTCCGATTACATCACAAAGCGGAGGTTGGTATCTGTCGATCTCGAGTCAGCTGGGGGCGCTGGGGTCACACCGCTGAGAGAAATTGACTTACCAAGGGGATGGCTGCAGCTCAGCTGCGGCTTCTGCGAGTATTTGCCCTCGAGCTCATTTCGGATCGTGTTCAGCAACTGCAGGTAACTCTGCTGGGGCCACTGTTGCAGTGATTTTATAAATGCCCAACTCAATGCACCACGCGCCTGTCCGTCCTGGAATGTATCGGCCCTGTTTCGGGGTTAGTTTGGATTCTTATTTATTGCTTTTAAATTTTGAAGCTACGCCACTTACGAGGTCTGTGTGTCCTTGGACCCTGAAAACATCACAACATCGGCCGGAGAGGTCTTGGTCATGATTGTGCGCTCACGGGCCGACTCACCGTTGACAGCCTTTTTGAAGAACCCAATGGCCGTTGAGGCGACGCTGGAGAGATCGCCTTGTCCATACGAAGTGAATGCACTGAACAAGTCCTGAGCTGCCTCCTTGGCCAAATTGGGCTCCTTGAGAACACCCTGCGTCGAGTAGACGTACGGCAGATCCAATGCAGTGCCCGAGTGGCATGAATCAAAGATCGCCGTCAATCGCACTCCGGGCCGCAGTGGACGCACCATGATGGCATGCATATCATCGTCGACAATGTGACCGGCGACGCGGTAGTCCAGTGGGTATATGACATCGTCGAATCCATCGTCCTCGTCTCCATCCAGATCGGGAGTACGACCTCCATGGCCAGAGAAGTGGATGAATAAGGAATCGTTAGGTTGGGCATCCTTGACAAGCCACTGCATGGCGCGTAGAATGTTGGCCTTGGTGGGGAGGCTCATCGGGTTCTGTTGGTCGTCGGTGAGAATGACCATGTCCTCCCGCTTGTACCCGAATCTCTGGGTCAGGAAGTTGGACATATTAGTGACATCGTTGATACAGCCTTTTAGTGCATTGGGCTGTCCTGCATAGTTGATTCCGATCAACAAAGCCCTGCGGCGACCGGTACAAGCCGAATACTGGAACCTGTAGTTTGAGGGAGCACCTCCACCGAATTGCTGAAAATTCTGGGGTGGGGATGGGGGCAGATTCGGGGAATCACGAGGAAATCCTGTTTGATGGTTAGTGATGCCGTTGCAAAACTTTCTTGGCATATAGAACTTTACCATTCTGAGGGCCACTCAGATTGTGCTGGTGGGAGGGGGGACGTGGTGGTGGAGTGTGGCCGTATGGCGGGGTAGGAGAGTGAGGAGGATATTGAGGATACTGAGGATACTGGGGCTGAGGATAAGGTGATGGCGGGTAGGGGGAATGGCTAGGACCTGGATAAGATGATTGGGGTCGATGATGACCGTAGGGCTGAGGGGGATAGGGCTGAGGCGGAGGTTGCCATTGGGGAGGTTGTTGATATCCTCCCCATGGGGGCGACCCTTGTCCTGGAGGGGGGCCCTGAGGTGGATAATACATCTTTTTGACGATGGAAGAGAGAAAAGAAGGTGAAGCAGAAGTTGAACAGTTTAAAAAGTAATTCGGCTGACTGGGTGTGCCCAGGTGGGTCACGCAAATGGGACCTTTACACTTTCCCTTTGGGACAAGTGTTGGGCAATTTCATGTAGTATATAAGGTACTCCGTACACGTCTGGAGATTGGGGGATATTGGGATCCACCGTTAGGGCTGCAGGTGAATCACTTTAATTCAGGTATTTCATTCAATGACTCCAATAATATGGTAGCTACTCCATGTGTTGTAATCTAATATGTAATGATGAAACAAAGGAAAAGCCTGTAAGTTAGGCAGCGACTTTTCGGTCATCATGTGACTAGGCGCGTCACCTAATTATTTTTCAAGGACATTAGTCAAGAAAGTACGGAGTAATCTTACCTAGGTAGAAAGTAGTAAGAACTAGAGAACCAAGAATAGACCTGGGCAACCTGGCATGCATAAAAGTGCGTACGTGAGACTAGTTTTTTTTTTGCCTCTGAGGCGGTGGCTTGGAAGAGACAACTCAATGCGGCTCTGTACAATGACATAGACTGTTCTCATGATGTTTAATGGAGTAAAAGTTACAGTAAGCACTTATAAAAGTCCATATTGCTAGTACTCTTAGCATGAATTAATAGTAGATCTTTTTATTCACGCTATGTACCACCCCAGGGGCCACACATGCACCGAAGATCCGATAGGACCCAGGACTGGAAGGATCTTGGATAACCTGCGGACCCCACCTAATCCGTGTCACGAGAGAGATCGTGGACATGTGTTAGTCCTAATGGAGACGGATGAGCCGCATTGTTTCGGAGATGTTGGTAATCCGAAACAAAAAAACATTTAAGAGCCTCAGAAGCATCTGAGCCCCTGCCAATTGCGTGATTCATGATCTGGGGAGATCGGCTCTTACTTGCTTACTCGTAACAGAGCCCTGGGATACCTACCTAGGTAGGTGGTTTTTTCGAGGAAGGTTCCAAGGTTCCAATTGGGACATCAATCCATTTTCGGTCTAGTTGAGGCTCTTTTGGCTTTTGTACGAAGGGGGTTCCATGGTTTTCATGTGGAACTATTCCTCTTTGCGACATTTGGCACAGTCCACTTGAGCCTCACCTCCTCTTTCCTATCTTCTTCTTTCCAACATAAATCTCGTTCTTTCCTTATGAATTTTGAGATATGGATTTGGTTTTGTTTCTTTCCCGTGGCAGTTGCCCTTTTGTCTGAGACACTCCCTTGAGACCATTTGAATCAACAGACTATTTGGCCACTTTTTCATAGCCATGACGGCTGTACAGAGTCTGGAAACTCTCCCATTTGATGTATTTTACCAGATCGCGACCTCGCTGGACGACCGTGATTTTGTGAACCTCAGTCGCACCAGTCGTGCTCTCTATTCTCTATCGCAAAGCGAACAGATTGCCCGCAAAACCATCGAGGTAGGCCAAGTCAGCCCTTCGCTTGAATTACAAGGCTGATCCCAGTTCACAGAATGTTTTACGCCACAGCAAAGAAGGTCAGGCTGCCCTGGCGGCCCAGTCCGGTTTTCGCAAGGCCGTCGGGCACCGGCTTGCTATCCACGAGGCTGTCGCCACGGCAGATCCGTACTCAGTGGTCTGCGTAGGCTATGGGGCCGAATTTCTCTACAACCAGGGTTACTTATGTTACCGTTCTGACCATTGGATTCGTTTGCTGTACGTGCATGGTACTGCGTTCAGGGAGCGTGTAATGGACCTTCGCGATGCGATCCCTCGATTGCTGGAAACCGGTCCCATGGAGCCGGGTGTAGAAGATCGGGTTACGCTCTTGAGCTACAGCGATGATATTCTCGTGCTCCGAGTGGCCGAAGTAAACGCGACCGAGGACGCATTACTCGTGGTCAACATGGCGTGGCGGGAAACCCACCAGGGACGGAGACGTTTCCTACTCCATGAGGAAATCCCAGCATCCGCACCAATTTTTGTGCGACACAGCGGATCCTATCTTTGGTATGGCACATTTACCGCCGCCGATGGTTCGGATAGTGTGTGGTCTATCACTGGTGTGGATCTTCAATCATATAACTATATTAACTTCGAGCTCGAGCGAGTGGTCGATGGCGATCTTGGCCAAACACTGTGTTTTGAGATGCACGAGGAACATCTTTATGCAGTTTCGACGCAGGTCGCCGCAGATGACGATGAAGTACACTCCTCTTTCTACCATTGGTTTTGTCAAGCCCCTCGCGATGAAGACCGCAAATGGAGCGGTCGCTTGTGGCGCCGAGAGCATCAAGAAGGCCCCATCAATGAGATGTGGACTGATCTTTCAATTCGTAAGGATGAGAAGACTGGTCGGCCAGTCATACTTGAATGCCGCCGTGAGTGGCGTGATGGCAAGAGCGAAAACCACCGTACATACTACACACAGCGACTTCCCACCCCAGAAGAAGCTCTAGCGCCTCTTTCAGGAGGCACCATCGAAACTCCATCCTGGCTGTCTATGGATGATAACCTTGAGAGCGACTACCCCTACGATGAGCGACCTGCAAAGAGGTTGCGGCGGAATTACCATGCCGAGTACGAATCTGGCTCCACCAAGCGGCAGGAGTTCATCGCAGCTCGCACTAAACACAGGAGCTACCATCTCGGTGCATCCACCTTTGTCGACATTGTTAACGACCCTGCCGGTGATAATCTACGGTCTCGAGATCGGATCCGGTTGCGTACGGTGTCGCGCAAGCGCAAATGTCCCATTGACGAGGAAGGAATTGAGGGACCTCGCAACCGACTGTTCCAGCCCACTCAGGTGGACCAAGATGGCTGTCCTGTTGAAGGTTCCGAAGAACGATTCGAGTGTCGTGGCGTGCGTATGTGGCCTCCAGACGACGCCCCGCCTGCATTACAACAATTGCTATGTCCAGGACCGCGCACTGGATCTGTGAAAAGTACTGCAGACGAACGCTCCATCATCTATTCGATTGACGCCCCTGGTCTTCCCCCTAATCAACAAGCTCTTATCCTCATTAGCTTTGATCCTCATTTTCAAATTCCTATTACGACGCCTCTTCCCACTCCTACCTCTCCTGCAGATCACCAGGCTCCTGGGGAACTGTTTCCAAAGACACTGAAGCCACCACCTCCATATTTCCCTTCACCCAACTTGGTGGAAGAAGCACCGCCCTTCTACATGGGTGTCAAACGCGGGTACTATCTGCGTGGGATAAGGGATCGATTTTGGAAGGGGCTCGTTGCATAATTCAATCCAGACAGGGTCAGATACGATTAGCTGTCACAAGACGATAGGTCATTGCCAACAGTTAATGTTAATACAAAAACAAGTTAAAATTTAAATCAGTACAGAGTAAACTTAGTATACGAGGTCGTGCATGCTTCCATTTCAGCACTAAACAAGACAAAGTGTCGACTCGGGCATCCAGGAGGCCTCGGGCAGCAACCTCATTTCGGATTTACCATTGAATATTGCTGTTCAATTAAACACGACCATGTATGCATATGCTCCATTCTATCACAATTGCCGAAACTGGAAGCCCAACAGTCGTCTAATGTTGACATCTACAGAATGGACTCTGAATTTCCTTTCTTGATATTTAAATTCCTATCAATCAACTACCCAATTAAAAGATAGGAGCTGTTGGAACAGGTCATCTTGACAAAGATCAACCCATTTGGACATGAACCTGCTCTTTATCAAGTGCTTTTGTCAAGCTGACAATCCATTGAAGTGAAACAATATGCAAGCCTACAAACTATACAAGGACCAGACCTATTCATATCATCATATAATTGTTAATTTATGCATTATCATCTGCACCGACTCAAACCCGGACCGACAGGCAACCATGTATACAGAAAGTACACTAGCCCATGCACTGCCTCAGGAATGGAGTCGACAGGAAAAACAAGAACATTAAGACCTATCTTTATCCCTAAAGATAGAAAGACAGCAGCACATTCCCACAACGCCATCCAAAAAAAGAAAGACCACTGCCACAACCCAAAGGGGAATCAAGTATCGTCTAGGCATCAGCGAGCATCTCGCAATCATGTACACAGAACCCAGAACCCAGAGACCATTATCGACAAGAAAAGGAAACGTAAATGCAAAAAAAGAGAAATGCAAAGTGAAATGGGATCGGCATTTCACAGCTTCTTATACATCCCAGCCAGCGAGTTGATGATTAAGTCCCGTTTGACCGGGTTCGTGCCGCGGAACATGTCGCGCACTGCAATATTTGTCTTCATCTTGGATGCGAGCGAGGAGGTGTCGCTGTCACCATCGCCGCTCGTGAGGTTGCCTAGCAGCTTGCTCGTGCCGCCTGCTCCATTGAGAATGTCTTTGATGGTTTCATTGCCGCTGAGCAGGTTGTGAATAGTGTTCTTAACCAGGTCAGCGATTGGCACATTGGCCGTCAGCGTTAGCTGCTTCATCACATTGGTGTAGTATGGCACCAATGTGCCGTTCCAGGTGACGCTTCGGGTTACCGTGTCCAGGGCTAAATTGCCGGTTTTGAGAGCCTTTGCTTGCGACGCGAGTACCTCTCCGAGGTGCTCGATCATTGTGTGTATGTCGAGGATTCCAGTTAGAGGGAAGACATTGTCGCCGGGTTTGATGGTGACGTCTTTGATGGTGGCGTTTCCAATGACGAGGTCGCCGCTCTTCACATCGAGGACGAGTGTGCCAATGTCGAGAGTCAACACAGACGGGTTGGGGAGAGAGACATTCCCGATTAGGTTGGTACCGTCTTCGCGGGCTGGAGTGAGTCCACTGTCGGAGATGCTGAATCTCTTGAATTGGTCCAGCACTGGAATGAAGTTAGCTTCACTTCTAGGATGATTTGTTTTCTTCGACTTACCTGGCGACATGATATCCTTGTCCATGGTGACCTTGGACTTGAGCACACCCAAGTACGAATTGGTTACACCTCTGACCGACAGCGGAGTCTCCTTCTCGAACACGACATTGTGCACATACTCTTCCCAGGTGGTCAAGTTGGTCAGAGGCGTCTCGACCTTGGTCACGCCTAGGGTGGAATTGCCCTTGATGACTTTGCCGTCGATTTTAGCCTGGCCCCATGAATTCTCTACGCCGGTGTCGCGCACGAACAGATCTAATGTGATCGGTTCAATGCGTACTGGCAGTGCAATTTTGAGGTCCAATGCCGACAGCAGCGTCAATTGAATCTTGTCCGGTCGGGGGTTTAGGACCGAGGCATTGACCAATACTAGATTGGACTTGTTGACAACCATCTGTGAGATGGCTGGAATAGCAACCAGGAAGCTAGAATTGCAATTAGAATTTGTTCACAGTTCATGGTTCGTAGTTCTCAAGCATTGCAACTCAAGAGCACAGTTGAGACATGCAACTCACAAGACAGGCAGGAAAATCGCCAAGAAGATGATAGTCACCAAAAGATGCAGACACCAGAATCGCTTCCAATGGCGCTGGAACTTCTCAGTGCGCTTCAATTTCCTCGTCTCCAATGAAAGACCCCCGGCCGATTCGACATGTGCGAGCTGGGCGCCTTCATCATCACCCTTGGATATCAATGGGCCACGATGAATACCCAGAGTGTATCTGGCATTATCTGAAGTCAGATATGCTGGTGTATCTGTGTTTTTGCCCATGATCGCAACAATTTCGACGTGACCTTTAGAAGGGGGGGGAGGATTCCGCGTATATGTATTTTAGCGCACAAGCACCCCCGGACTTCTTCTCCTCTCCATACACCGAAGCGGGACCCCGTGGGTAAGGAAAAACCCAAAAAAATAGACAAAAAGGAATAAAGCGGGTTCCTCGTCGGAGGAGGATTGCTCTCTTTGGCGAATGACGCAGAAGAGGGGAGGGATCAGCGCTTCAGGAGATGGCGATCTGCTGCCAGCCGCGGCTTATTCCCAAGAAAGGCGACACTATTCACATGGGCCGAGATGATCAACACTCTTAGGCCTTGGGGGGTTTTTCGGGGTTCTGCGGGGGATTTCTGGGGAAGATTGAAAGATTCTGATATTAATGGGATCTTATATACTCATTGACTTCACAACTATTGACAAATTCCAGATGTCTCTACCCATGTCTTTCCCTTCACCCCCTGTTTCCCCAGTGGACGAAAAGTCCCAAGACATTCCAAGTGGCTCCGATGCGACCGCAAGCAATGTCACCAACGTCCCAGGTCGTCTCCATGCCCTGGAACAACTAGAGGTCCTCCCCAAAATGCTCCAGGAGGGCATTCTCTTCGCAGGATCTGGTGCGACGCTGCTACTGCAAGCTGCCATGCCCGGAATCCGCAATGCAGGCGCCAACCACGGCGGCCACAAGGAGCTAGCCACTGAGCTCCTCGACGCTCTCCAGGCCAATATCAGCTACATCTCCTGTTTGGTCTTCGGTACCCGCGACGAGCGCAAGGTCCTCATCGATCTCTTGCAGGATGGCAACCCGCCCCTGCTGGGCGGCGGTCGCTCGAATCGTTTTGCTGAGCATCCGCCGCTGCAGTTGTGGATGGCGGCGACGGTGTACGCGACCGCGACGGATTTCTACCAGCGTGTGTATGGCCGTGTGGACTATGCCAGTGCCCAGCGCGCATACAGCGAGTATGCCTTGCTCATGAACTGCCTGGGTCTCCCCTCCGGTACCTGGCCGGAATCCCGCCCAGCATTCTGGTCTTACTGGGATGATCAGGTCAATCAGTTGACAGTCTCGTCGGATGCAGCTCAGTTTGCAAAGGACCTTCGTGAGAGTAACGATATGCCCCGCTGGGTGCAGTCTTTGAAGCCTTTCTTGCGTGTGACTACGATTGAGATGCTGCCCCCGAGTCTGCGTGACGCCTACGGTCTGCGCTCGACGGTTACCACTCGGGCCCTTTATCGCACCTGGATGGGCTTCTCGGTCGCTCTTTATCCGGCGATGCCTGACAAATGGCGGGCATACCCTTTGAAGTTCTACCAGGATCGGCTCAAGGAGAAGATGGGTGGGAAGGAGGTTTAAGAATGATTCTGTGGTTTGAGCCCTAATATTTTTTTCTGTATATACCCGCTCGTTTTATGAGAGACATGATAGTTGATTATTCTGTATATTTTGAAAGTTTCATTGAATTTCCGTGTACATACACATACTCCTTCGAGGAATGCTTTAAATTGTGCAATAAAACAAGATAACTAAAGTAATTGTCATGATTCGTTCCTTTTATCAGTCCTCACAGTGATCCTAGCACACCCCCAAGAAGCTTAGAAATATCCTCGACCAGCTATAGTGCGTTAGTATATGAGTGCAAAAAAAAACCCCCCCAAAAGCAGCAAAAGCAGTACATACCGGTGTGGCATCCTCAATGAGGGTAGTTGTGTTAGCGACAAAGCTCTTAGTCAACAAGGTGTGGGCATTCGTCAAGATATCTTGCAAGATATCGATATTATCGGCGGCGAGCAACTTAGCCGCACCGTCGAGGATGGTATCCAGCTTGTTGATGTTGTCGGTGCTCAAGAGACCCTGAACGCCACTCAGAAGCGCGGGCAGATCGTCCAGTAGACCAGCACTAGCAACCGGGGCTGGCGCAGCGACAGGGTTGGGACGAGCCTCTGGGGCAGCTAGAGCCAAAGGGGCCAAGGCCAAAGGGAACAGAATCCGAGAGAAACGCATTATGTTGTTATATTGATGAGGTGAAGAATGGGCAAAGAAGGAGAGAGCAAAAACATCCAGTTTCTTATAAGCAAGCTGATCTGTTTTCCCTAGACTATACAAACGACTAGTCTCATTAGTCCCATTTTTAACGTAAAACGAAATTGTCCGAGGCCGTTACTAGACCGAATGGACACGATCTCGATGAGGCCGAGGGATAAGCAATGCCATGTGAGAGAGATAGATGAAGTTGGAAGCCAATGGGGCGAATGAGAGAAGAAGAGACTCAAATACGAGAATTCCCCCGCAGGTCTCTTCCCCCCGTTTTCCCCTCGTCCGCCCCCAGAATGTCGCCTTTTTAGTGGAAGATCGTCGGCTTGATCCTCTTTTTTTTCGTATTTTATCGTATTCTTTCAGGTTAATGCCTGCTCTGGCCAGATCCACTTCGGAGGAGAGGTTCGGTTTAGTAGTGATCAACAAAATCTGTCTACCATTGTCTATCCTGTAGATCCAAAGGACCATGCATAGACCTTGTACTCCGTACTATGATGCGATTTACATACTTCTATATTAAATTTAATCTATAAGAAGAGGAACAGCATGTGCTTCATGTAACCGTCTTGCCTGAGCTCCACCATACGTACATTGTATAGAAAGATAAGGGCAAAGAGGAAATAGTATTCGAATTCATATGGATAATTGAAACAGTCTTTTGGATTTCGGAAAACGTATCTCATCATAGTCATATCTACTCCGTACAAAGTACGCGATTCATGTGGATTCTTCCATCACAGAGCTAGTGCTAGTCCAAGCACTCCCAGCGCCCCCAACGCTGACACGGTGAGCCCCGTGGGCTGTGCAGCCGCACCTTTAGAGGTCGAGCTTTCCGGTCCTCCAGAATTGGAATCGGTCGCAGTCGCTGTCGCTGCAGTCCCTGTATTTGCTGCCGTGTTGGTTTCCGACGTTGTGGCCGTCAATGCCCCCCCGGAAATCTGCGACTTGACCACCGACATGTAGTTTTTCACATCCGACGGGAGAGCGCTGTACCAGGCCGGGGTAGTGCCAGCCTTGAATTGGCTGGCGAGGGAGCTGCGCTCCGCTGGGTTGATGAGTTCCCAGATGACAGATACGGGCACAACCGAGAGGATCTCCGGGATGAGAGACTTTGGCGGCGGCGAGATGTTGGCAAAGTTCGCGGTGGATGTTTGGTTGGCCATCAGATTCTCACTGTGAAAGTGTTAGTTTGTTCGAAAAAATTAATTTAGAAAAAAGAGTCAAATACAGTGCGCTCGAGATTGCACCAAGGTTGATGCCATTGTCTGTAGTATCTCGTCGGTGATGGTGTTGAGCACCCCAGGCCGTTGCGGCAAAGAGTAAAGCTGGCGTGAATCTCATTCTGTCAAAAGTGTAGAGAAGAAAAGAGAGGGAAAAAAAGGTATACAGTCTACTCACATAGGGCAGAGTCTAGAGTATATCAAATGCTTACTCGGCTTGGCCTGCCGATCTATCGGAAGAATCTCTCTGCATTAGTCTCAAGTGACATGCAATATACAATTAGTCGCTAAATTACCTGCTAAATTAATTTCTAAACTTCCAAGATTCTAGATATTTTCCCCCGTTGATCAACCTCGGGCTCCCCGGGATCAGATGCCAATCTATCAGATCCTCGGGAAATTTATTCCTTTGCGGGGAAAGTAGTAGATGTCGATGTAGCATTGCATAGAGAAATAGAGAAATAGAGAAACTCGATGGATCTGCTGTAGATCCATGTGAATTTTATATGTGTATCGAGAGCTGTGCCATAATTTCTACCATAGGCAAGATATGATATGATCATCAAACTGTCTCTAAAAAAAAAAAAGAAAGAGGACGAGTCCTAAAATGCTAGGTATTATAGGTTGTGGTGGCTTCGGCTTCTGCACTTTCACCACTTGACTCAACTACATCTATATTGTACACTGTTACAAGCCGAAGTAAAATAAAACGTGGCATCAATTTGGATATCATAGCAGGGCCATCGTAAAAATCGTGATAGTAAAACAAGTGTGACTAAGAAAGAAAACCAGACTCATGAGGTCATCTCCAAGTCAAGCTTAAGCCCCACCCTTCTTAGCCATATCGACCTCAGCACCGCGCTGGCGGACCTTGCCCTCATCATGGATATCACGGTACTTCTCCTCCTCGGAGCGGTTACCAGTGACGGCGGCACCAATGGATCCAAGAGTACCCTGAGCGCGGTTTTGAATGCCCTCACCCCAGTCCTTCAGCTGGCCCTTGGCCTCTTGTTCCTTGCCAGCGGCGTTCTGCTCGGCTCCGGTGCGTCGCAGGTTCTCGTTTCCGATAATGTTGCCAACCGACTCCTTGGCAGAGCCAACGGTCTGGTCCCAGGATCCCGTGTCACGCTTGGGGTCGTCTTTGGCAACGGCTCCAGTGTTCGGGTCGGCGGTGAAGGGGCCCAACTTGGCGGTTGTGTGGGAGGCTTCCTTTTTGGCTTCGCCTTCCTCGTGCTTGAGTTCGCCCTTGGCCTGAGATGGGTTAGTTTTTTTTTTTTGGTATGGTGTTGGGGATTAGAATGGATGCTTACCTGAGTGGAAGAATCGCCAGTCACAGTGCCCATGGCACGCTGAGCAAGACCAGTGGCTTGGTCGATGTACGACTGACCAGTCGAGGCGTTGCCGGTATTGTCAGACATGATGATTGAATAGTAGATGGTAGTAGTATGTAGTGAAGAGATGAGAGACGGTTGAAGAATGAATTGGTTGATGAAGTAGTGAAGAATGAGAGTCATGGAAGGAAGAAACTTTCCTTATATACAGAAGCCATGTTATCCAAGCCACATGTTCTAGGACATTCTCCAATCTGATCTTCCAAGATTGAAGTTCTACAAAACAACATTGTCATGATGAACTACGTCATATGATGTCATGGTCATATCACGTGAATACTGTATCAGGTCCATGCGGGGTGAATGACGATGTTTTGTTCAGCCCCAAGAGAAGGATAAGCGTCATATCAAAAGCCAGGATTTTTCTAGGTGGGTTTGGAAGTTTCTACAATATTGTATACAAGTCCATGAGCATAATATCCACACAAAGAGAGATCCTTTGATCTGCCCAAACATCCACATAGGTGGAATGTATTTCATAGAGCATGCTAATAACCCATAAGTTCATGCAAGTTCCCAAACACCAAGTCGCCGCGTACGGCGTACATAAATCCCACATGCAATGCCACGCTCGAAGAAAGACTAAAGCCAAAAACAAAAACCATTTGTACCAAGACTACCAATGACAAATTCCACCCTCGTTTTCCTCAGCTGTCCATGTGCCACAGAGACCGACAACCTCAAGATGACCATCTGGTTGCTCGCCAACCTTGCTCAGCGAAGCAAAGTTCTTGTCTGCAGGGCCATTGCTCAGCAACCGTCGTGCCCAGGCATCAATAGCAGGCTCTCCGGTTTCATCTCGAGCTTGCTTGAGGAACGGAATGAGTGCCGTGCCACCGGTACCGCGCAGCTTCTTTTTGTCGGTCGGAGCCGCGGTTGCAAGGTTCGTCGCTGTTGGGAGGCTTGGGTTGGCAGATTGAGAAGGTTGACGTGCACTGCGGGACTGCAGAATAATATAGCGTGATACCATGGTAATATGTTTGTCCCGTAGAACACGCAGCATGGCTAGGCATGCATCGTAGGCAATGCACAGCGCTGAGTCTCCGCGTCGCGCCTCGACGAAGGTGCGGATGTTTGCTACCGAGTCAATATGCTCCAGGAATCGCCGGTGGGGGCCAGGCATGTAGGAGCGCATGTCATGGATGAAGCTATTTCGTGATTTGATGCTGTCTTCGGTGCTTTTCTCACTGTCGTTGCGGCTTGTACCGGTTGGTCGGTGTTCCACTCCGAGGACAATGTCGAAGAATTGGATGAGTGAGCTTTGGGCATTGCTTCCCCCTCCATACTGCCGGTACTCGGGATTTTGGCCATCGTCGTATAGCAGCCCATTTGGCAACCCGGCTTCACACATGTTTTTACTTCCAGCTAGGTAAGGGCGTATGCGGTTGTAGAAGACATATGGATCGCAATTCTCATACATCCTCTGCAGCAATGTGTTGGTCTCATCGATGGTCTCCGCTAGTCGCTGTAGGCACTCGGTTACAATCTGGCTGTTTCCTGTGCGGGCCGCCATGATGGCCCTCAGCATCACGGGGATAGAAGGGGCCCCACGTGCTTCTATGGCGACTGAAACTAGGTAGAACCATTGTTCATCTAGAGATCCAGTGAAGGTTTGTAGGCAAGCTAGGTTATCCAGGTTGGTGGCTGGCTCGTCGGAGAAGATCGGCTTGTAATTCCAAAGGCAGACTCCAGCATAGGTTGCAACGGGGGGTAATTCGAGTCGTTCACAGACTTCGAATAAGGGCACTGTAAGTTGAGGTGGAATCCTCTTTTGGAAGGAATTAGTACATCTACTTCTTTTTTTTTTTAACCAATAGGATGGGCCGGTACCTCTGTGGGCGAATTGCCACCCCAGACATAACCATGCAGTATGAATACCAGTATGACATATGCGCGACGCCACTCAGCCTCTGTCTGTAGGCGTGTGACAGAGAGTATAGGGAGATAATCCACGGTCGACTGCAAACGTTTGCTCAATATCAATGGCTGGAGATTCCCAATAATCATCTCCCATTCGGCGTAGTAAGGATCGGGGAGAACCTCCAGGGGAAGTTCTGGGGAGAGGAAACCATAGTCGGAAGTGATTCCAAACTCGGCAGGATTTGGCACCGGAGGCAACATAGTCCCGCTAGTTGCCACAGGGAAGATTCAGGGATTCAGGGATTCGAAATGAACGAATAAAAACAAATGCTCGAAATGAATAAAAGTGATGAGAAGTTGAGAAGTTGGAAACAAGCAAAGGAAGGATTATATGGATTATACCAGAAAGACCAGGGACCAGAGATCAGAGAGACCAGGAACAATCCGGATCCAAAGTATTGCCTTAAATTTTGCGGATGATGACGGAAGAGGATGGAATAATGGGAATAATGGGAATAATAGGAATACTAGGATTGATAGGAATTCTGAATTATATTATAGACCAAATAAATGACAAGACTCTATGGTTAAATAAGTCAGAGTTTTCTCTCAAGAGTCCGGAGTTAGAAAGCACGTAATTTCACCGGGGATCCCTGGAAGGTAAGTTCAAGGGACATTTCTAATCAACGGAAACAGTTAATAAGACCTCGGGATAATCGAGGTGACATGATGATAATAGAGTTGGTAACCTCCGACATAGGAAGGGGGGAAAGTGATGTTTTTTAGAGGACCTCGGGGTAGTTTTAGAGGAGTCAACCAAGTAGATTAGGTAGATCAGGTAAGAGGGGCCTGGTACATTTTATATGGCTATACAATCAAATGATAGTACGCCAAGAAGGACTGGGTGCATCCGCGAGACCCAAGTGGGGTAGAAATTAAGCGAAGAAGAAATTGAGTGCGAGACAAAGGGGCCTAAACCGAGAAAGACACGGGTGAACAGGCAATTTGAGGCATTTTCAGGCATTCTCGGGCATTTTCGCATTTTCGCTTATTTTGGCTTCAAATTCGCTTCACTCAGGATCGTCAACCTTTGATCTGGGGATGCATAGCCGGAATTTATATTGAACGTCATGCTTACTTTTACTTTTACATTCTACATTCTACATTCTACTTTTGTTTTTATTTTTCCTTTTCTTTTCCTTTCTTCCTTGCTATACACAAATATTCACAAATATTCACAAACGTGCATGCCTGATACGTAAGGCATCCTGCTTAATAATTTTTAGCAATTCCCGAGGCCCGAGGTATACGTCCGAGGTATACATCCAGGGATACATCCATGGATACATAGTATAACCCTCAAAAGGAACATTCATATAACTACATTCTAAAAAGAAAATTGATACCTGTGTCACCTACCTACATATGCATGCAAAGTTCGGTAAATAATCATGGAACACATTTCAAATGAGTCTGGAAACACCTAGCTGTATTATTGTAGCACAATATAGCTACGCCAAGCTCATAGCTCAGATCGAGCGGGGACTCCACAAGACCTATCCCACGAACTGGAAGAAGTAAATATCGCCTGGACCGTGTTATTCAGGGCGAGGTTGATCATGGTTGGCTCTGTCTTATGATCAGCCTCAGAAAACAAATAAGGAGAGGAGATCTACCATCAAAACTGAACTGTGGCCATCCATAGTTGCTCAGTCCCGTACGAGGGTCCTTGGCAAATGCAACCCAAGCTCCTAGGGAATTGGTCAATCTAGACAATGTCTGGCATTCATCTTGGAAGGGATTACCTTGTATGTATTGGCTGACTTCAACTTCCCTGGCGGACGGAGGGATCGTCATGGATATATCATAGTTTCCAAAAGCAAGAGGTGTCTCACCTATCATGCTGTTAAATCAAATGAGCAAGGAAAGGGCTTGTTACTTCTTACCCCCGTGGTATGCTCCAAGCCAAGGAGTTGGGCTGAGATTGGTAAAATTCCCATGGTACAGATACCTCCAAGTGGGCACATGGTGACTCACTCGAATCCTACATGAATATTAGACGGATACATCTAGTTGTACCAGTCAAAACTGAGGATCCCATGCGCTCTTACCTCACAGATTCCCGGAGGGGACAGTTATAAAACCTTTGACCAAGCGCGTAGACCGCTGTCTCATCAACTGATGTTTGACTTAACGGCACAAAAGCTGTAACTTCACACTCATTCATCCCCGCCAATGTTGGCTAGGAGTTCCAAACATGGTTAACCCAGGAAGATATATATAAATAAAAAAAAGATCATGGACTGTCAAGTACATACCAATTGTGCTCCTACGCCGCATCCAAGGGCAGTAGACAATTCATTCCAATTTTGATGATCAGGGGCCGTAACCAGTAATGGAGCGGTGCCGGAGTGAAGACCAAGTGCGCTGACGAGAGGATTGTCTGGGTACTTATCAGAGGTTAGTCATGCGGGAATAGTTGACAAGTACCAATATAAAAACAAGATGCTCACTGCGTATGAATGGATATCAACTGAAGCAGCCCCGGCAGATTGACCAAACAGAAGAATCCTATCTGGATCCCCACCAAACCTGGCTATATTTCTATGAACCCACTTGATTGCCAATCGCTAAATATGTGGTTAGTTCATTCATACTATCAACCATACACTTTCATCTACCTGGTCCAGGAGCCCGAGGTTTTGCTTGGAAGGGTCGATGCCCGGCGCATTCGGAAATCCAAAAACATTGAGTCGATAACTAACCCAGGGTTTAGCGATTTTAATGGACAAAACTCAGCATCTCCTTACTTGAAGGTAACAACAATCAGATCGTCGTGATTCTGTACCAAATTCGTGCCATCATAGCTAGCAACCGAACTACCTCCTGTGCCATAGCTTCCTCCATGAATGAACATCATAACTGCTGCTTTGCGAAGTCCCCGCCTGACAGAAGGTGCCCAGATATTCAGATACAGACAGTCTTCAGACATGTCGCCAGAGTTCCATATCTTATATGGAAGAATACTGTAAATAGACTCATTGGAGTACGTATGCACTTGTGTACAGGGACTTCTGAAGGAAGATGCATTGATAGGCCATAGAGATAGTGATTTGGGGCGTGGTGGTGCCCATCGCAGTTGTTGAACCGGGGGCTCGGCATATGGAATTCCAAGAAACGCCCGTACTGTGTGTGCAGAATTGTTATATATCCCGTTCAAAAAGCCGGAAGAAGTCACGACTAGGAGCTCAGGAAATAGGTGCTCAGCTAGAGCGGCCACATTACTCCCAAATGCGCAAAGGATGAGAAATATATGCATCGTGTGTGTAGCTCTTTTCTGTCCAAATTGTGTCTTTTTCTCACGACCAACGCCATCTTAAAAAGGACCTTTAAGATCGAAATCAAGTGCAACCCGTGAATTGACTCTCGGTGGATAAATGATTTAACTTCTTTGCCAAAGAGTAGAGGCGCCTTCAGATTATGGGGTTTGGGGCCGAGGGAAATAATTCGAAGCTAATTAGACGTTGTTTTGGCTTAGGGGTTAATCACATGAGGCTATATATCTGCTCAAATGTTCTTGATGACATTGAAGGCAATGCAGATGACGTACAAGGCATCGGGGGTACTTAAAGAGGAAGGTAGAGAGTAGTTTAATTGCGAGGTGATTATTCTCAGTCTGTACAAATCCGATGTTGTTACACTTCAACGCCGTCCCTAATGGGCTTTTTCTCAAATCAAAATTAATATGATCAGTGCTGGCTCCATTCGATCGTGTTCAGATCAACTCCCTCCTGCACCAACTCCCAAAGCGGGCTCAGTTCACGCAAGAAAGACACACGAGCCTGGACAGCCTTGAGAACGTAGTCGATCTCCTCGTCCGAGGTGAATCGACCGATACCGAAACGGATACTGCTGTGGGCACTCTCGTCGCTGCTGCCCAAAGCGCGCAGCACGTAGCTAGGTTCCAGAGAGGCGGAGGTACAGGCACTGCCCGATGACAGCGCAATGTCGTTCAGCGCCATCAGTAGTGACTCACCCTCGACGTAGGCGAATGAGATGTTCACGCAGCCAGGGTAGTGGTGCTCGGGGTCACCGTTGAGTGTGGTGTGTTCCATGGCAAGGAGGCCCTCGCTCAGGCGCTTCGACAGGCGATCAATGTGCTTGGTGTCATACTGTTCGATCAGTCAGTTAGCATTCCGTATTTCGAAGACGGGGAAATATTCAAGTTCATCTGTCTGCCAACTCATTATGCCTGCAGTTGAAATCATTGGAGCTGAGTACCATGTCCAAAGAACACGTATAACCCAAGGATCTCCAATAGATGTTTATTGCAGTGCATAATAATCGTTGGTAATAATGGAAACGGGAAATAGAAAAATGGGGGGGAAATCTTACCTCCATATCTTGGGCGGCAATTCGGCAAGCCTCGCCAAAGCCCACTGCCAGATGAGGGGCCAAGGTACCACTACGTAGACCTCTTTCCTGTCCACCACCAGTGATGAGTGGATCGAGACGGACACGCGGGCGACGACGCACAAAGCAGGCACCAACACCCTTGGGACCGTAAATCTTGTGGCTGGAAATCGACATCAAATCGATGTTCAGCTTGTTGACATCCAACGGGATCTTTCCAACGGCCTGCGCACCGTCGGTGTGGAAGAACACCTTCTTGGACCGGCAGAGACGGCCAATCTCCTCCATCGGCTGGATCACACCGATCTCATTGTTGACAGCCATGACACTGACAATGCAAGTCTCGGGGCGCATGGCCGCCTCAAGATCCGACATACGGATCAAACCGTTGCTCTGAACTGGCAGGTAAGTCACCTCGAAACCTTCATCCTGCAAGTGTCGGCAGCTGTCGAGCACACACTTGTGTTCAGTTTGGGTAGTGATGATGTGATTCTTCTTTCCCGAGCGACCAAAGAACCGCGCTACACCCTTCAAACTCATATTGTTGCTCTCCGTCGCACCACTTGTGAAAATGATCTCCTTGGGGTCGGCCCCGATCAGTTTGGCGATATGCTCGCGAGCCTCCTCGACTCCCTTCTCCGACTCCCAACCGTAGGCGTGTGTGCGCGAGTGCGGGTTACCGTAGATACCGGTGAGGTAAGGAAGCATGGCATCCAGAACCCGGGGGTCCAGAGGTGTGGTGGCTTGCATATCGAGGTAGATGGGGCGGGTGCCCTGGTCCATAACGGTGGCTTGCTTCAGAATGCCGGCCGAGGGGCTCATCGCGGCGTCACCGGAGGTTCCCGAACCAGGCAGCTTGACATTCTGGGGCGCCATATGGGACTGATTCATGAATGATTTTTGTTCCTCTTTGATGGCAGTCTCGATGTTGACCTGGGCTTGGCCAACTTTTGTCTCGGAGACATAAGACCGAGCACCGCGCAGTCCGGTGGCGAGAACTCGAGGAGCTCGGGAACCATAAGTTGAAAGGCGCCTGGAGAAGGCAGAGGCCTGTCTCCAAGCAGTAGGAACAGCACTTGTCATTATGAAGATGATGTGTGCCGATATCCTTGTAAGTGGGATGAAGAAGGAAACACAACCCCGACTTTTTGTTATCACCGGCATCTCCTCTCAATGACTAAAGATCTCGGGGAATTTCTAAATTGGGTTTATCCGAGATGCCTGAGGCAACACGGAGCTATGAGCTTTCCCCTTTCAGCTTCCCAGGACTATATCATACCCCATCATATTATCTTCATTTCTCTATTTTATAACAATTGTGATGATTCCAATTTGATTATTTTGAAAGTCCTCTTTCTCCCGACTTATGGCATTCACCCGTTCTAATTGCCAAGTCACTCCCCGCACGTCCCAAAGGAATGATGGCCCAATGATGACGATCGGACTGGGGTCCTTTAATTTGATGGTTCTTGGGATTCTCTCGGGTAAGGCTGCCGGGAAAAGAGAAAGAGCCCTGGAGATCGATGTGGGTAACCATTCGAGGTCTTTAGGGTTATTATAATAGTATAATAGGCAACTATGTATGCCATGGGACTCTATGGAGCATATTAGGCATATTAGTTAAGGTATGTACCAATGTTGTACGGAGTACTAACTAGTAATAATCCAGGTGCCTAATGAAGATAATGCGCCACAGGATCATAAGGCAGAGTATTAGCGTAGAAAATAGTACAAAATAGTGTAAACTAGTATAAAAATGAAATATGTACAGCCACAATGGACATCAGCTCCGTACAACGCCCGGGCAGCAGAGTCTTATGTCATTGAAAAGGTTTGGGTTCGCCCTTCCTCCCCCCCCCCCCCCCCCCCCCCCCACTTTGGCACTTTCTCTTCTTTACCTCTCTCTCCTTAATCTACACATCATGAGTTTTAAAGGTTTCCAGAAGAGCATTGTGCGTGCGCCACAGCAGTTCAAGGTCAAGTTCAACATCGGTGAGCATTCCAAGGATGTTGTCTATAGCGATGCCGAACGCCGCTTTGATGAGCTCGAGAAAGAGACCAAGAAGCTACACGATGAGTCTAAGAAATACTTTTCTGCCATTAATGGTGAGTCTTTAATCCTCTCTCAACCTTGCATACCCCATACTGACCGCGTGCGTAGGCATGTTGAGCCACCAGATCGAATTCTCTAAAGCAATCGCCGAAGTCTACAAACCCATCTCCGGTCGCGCCTCCGATCCCACCTCCTACCAATTTGAAGGAAATGCCGAGGGAATCCAGGCTTGTGAGGAATATGAAGTCATCGTCCAGGAACTGCAAGAGGCCCTAACCCCCGAGCTGGAGATGATCGACAGCCGCATTATCAGCCCTGCCGACCAGCTGCTCGAGGTGATCAAGGTGATTCGGAAGGTTGCGGTTAAGCGTGATCACAAGAAGCTGGACTTTGACCGCCGCAACGCCACACTGAAGAAGCTCGAAGAGAAGAAAGACAAATCACTCAAAGACGAGAAAGCACTATACAAAGCCGAAAACGATGTTGAGCAGGCAACCCAGGAGTTTAACTATTACAATGATCTGCTGAAGGACGAACTGCCCAAGTTGTTCGCCCTCGAAGCCGAGTTCATCCGCCCGCTCTTCCAGTCCTTCTACTATATGCAACTCAACGTCTTCTACACTCTCCACGAACGAATGCAGGGCATGAACATCAGTTATTTCAATCTTAAACTCGATGTTGAAGAGGCCTTTGAGCAGAAGCGCGGTAATATCCAGGAGCAAGCCGAAGCCCTTACTATCGTGCACTTTAAAACCCAAGGTATCCGCCGTTCTGGGTCCAAACTGGGCCCTCCGGGCAAGGGAGCCGATAGCAAGAGCTCCATCGGCCGAGGCCGTTCCGCCTCCACCGCCACCGATGACAACCCTCCACCACCTTATTCGTCTGCCGGCATCAGTCCCAGTTCGACAGGCAGTTTCTCTTCCGCCGCCAAGAGCAAGCCCGCCCCGCCTCCTCCACGGGCGAAGCCGTCCCATCTCAGTAAGCCGGTTGAGACCGTCACCGCTCTTTATGACTACGAGGCTCAGGCACACGGTGATCTGGGATTCTCGGCTGGTGATGTTATTGAGATTACCCAGCGCACCGAAAATACCAATGAATGGTGGTCTGGGCGAATTGCAGGTCGGGAGGGCCAGTTTCCGGGTAAGTGTTTCAGTCTTTTTTACTGAATTTAGTGCATTTGCTAACATTCAACATAGCCAACTATGTGCAATTGAATTAGCACCGGATATTATTAACTTTCTAGCTCTTTTTTCTCTTTTTGCTCTGGCGCACATGTGGTTCTCAACATAGAGCGTTTCGCCTGTAAATATTTGTGTCTTTTTCTTTTTTATGTATTGTTAGTTGACTTGACTCAGCTCACTTGACTCAGCTCATCGCGATTTGTTTCAAGGTTGCATTCAGTAAATTGGCTGTATTCCTTGCACAAGCTTATACATATTCTAATCCACCCTCCATGGGTATACTCCGCTTCTTTCCATTTGAACTTTATAGCAGAATTGGTCCCTCTATATAGACATCCATCAATGAGAAACTTGTTGATCTTTCAGGTTCATCCAGTTTTATAGATTTACAATGCATCAAAACATCCATGGATGTAATGCAACTACAGCTCTTGAAAACAGTGAAAAGTGAAAAAAATAATGAGTGTAGCTTGGTACTAAGAATGCGTCTACAACTTTGCAGATTGAGATAAAAGGAATGTTGAATCTGCATAAAACCTGCAATCGAAGAGAAAAGAAAAAAAAGCATGTACATGTAAAGTCGGGTTCTGGCCAGGATCCTGTACATCGAAATGAAAGGGAAGGATATCGTTGAATTTCCGAGCGCTGTGCCTCATCACACGATCGAATTGTTCCTTTGAGCTCGACTGATCGAAATATCGTGTTCAACTGCTATTCCATAGAAAGCATCGGTGTCCCGTGAGTTGGGTGAGCCCTTGCTCATGGTGTGATCTGAGTAGCACAGAGTCTGTGCAGCAGTCATGGCAGACAGGCTCGTTGGACTATCCTTTGTGGGAGACAGTATACTTTCGGCACCGCCGACAAGGGCCCGCCATAAGTTGCGTCGGCGTTGATTATCTTGGCTTCCGGAACGTCGTGCGTGCTCGAGGGCGGCCCCGGCCCAGATTGACGAGAGTGGGAGTGAGATGACGACCAGGGTCACCACGTTGGAGGCCAGTTCTGGCACAGTGATGTAGTACTGGATGATGGAGAAGATGGCCGGGACAACCATGGTCTGGCAGCCCATGACGAAGATGACTTTCATCGGGCCGAATTCGCGCACCCCGAGTCGGCGGCGTTGTTTGATGGCGAATCCGAGCTTAGTGACAAAGATGACACAGAAGAAGCAGATGCTGATGGTGACGCAGATGTTGGTTGCGCTTTCTATCCACCATATTTGATCCACGTATTTGAGTGTAATGATGGCAGTGCAGTTCAAAACCATCCATGCACTGCGAAATCCGATCGGTACCAGGGCGAGCAGGATAGATAACACCAGGAGAGGATGTCGGTATCGACGACGTAGTGTAGAGCAAACCACGTGGACTTGAATCACAAGGGATGCTTCGATACAGACGACGACTAGGGTCGTGAGAACAACAGCCACGATGGAAACGGCGTATGCGCTCCACGGCACGGATGAATAGTCGCCGGAGACGTATGGGTATACTTGTTCGAATGCAGTGGAGAAATGGATGACTTGAAAAAGCAGACGCCCGCTGTTGAAGAACAACGCCAGGCCGTTCAGGATAAAAACCGCCGAACGGCGCTTGTCGGATTGGGTCAAAAGCAGAAGAATCACCAGCAAGGTGAATGACGCTCCAAACTGGCAACCGTAATTGATGCACACCCGGACATTGTACATGACGAAGACGTCCAGTGCTTTTACTGAGACGGGAAACTCAGAGCCATCCTGTAGGCGGAAGGTGACGTTCTGGGTGAATGGATCGAATGGCTGACTTGGTGATGTTGTCGCCGCCATGGCTTCGAAATTTGCAGTTCAGTCGAAGGAATTGAAAGACAAGTCACATAGATGGTTCTGAAATTAGGTCGATATTATGCATAACAGAAGATGAAGTCTGTCTTTAAAGCCCTTTGAAAACTTGCAAAGATATAGAGAATATAGATCAAGATCATCAAGAGAATCAGGGTGAATGGCCAGTGTCATAGAAGCCGAGACAGACAATGGCGAAGGCAATGGATAATACTAATAATATCCAAAGAATCCAGATAGTCCAGGTCCAGATCATTAATGAGGTCCTACATTGTGAGTTGAGTAGAAAAGAACAATACTAAGGGAATGGGAAGAACAATATTAAGCGAAACAAAGAAGCCCATAAATGTCTAGGCAACGGGTGATAATGGCTGCATGAGATCTTCAGAATGCTCAGAATAGGCTTTGGCCTTGAGAATATCACTGGCTCGGTTGTGAAGTTCGAGTCGACGAGGTTGGTTTTCTTTGTTTCGGGTTTCCAGCATAGAAGCCCCGACTTGAGGATTTCCAGGGATTCGCAAGGATTCTATGAATTTGTCTTGTCGATACGGAGTAGAGTCCCGTAGAGTCCCGTAGAGTCCTGGAGGGTGTCGTATAAGACAGAGGTCTCTGATTCACAGCCCATTGAGGCTATTGGCATATCATTTAGCGAATCTGTCTCGCCCCCTCGAGACTTCGGAGCTGGTTTTCAACTGTCTTCAACTGCAGAGTTGTTTTTGACTAAGGGCTGAACTTGTTATTTATTAGTGTACGAAGGACAAAAGCAAGGCAAGATGGTGAAATGGTGAGGTAGTAGATGGTAGGTGTAAGGTGGTGAGGTGTTGACTCCCGGAAGGTTCCCGATAACTTGCTTATGTACTATAACTACATATGTAACTACCTAGGTACAATACCTAATGTACATATGTTGTGTAGGTATGGATAGCTCTGGAGATCAGGCTAAGAAATAGAGTATCTACATCTAACAAATATATCGAACACAAGAATATTTTGAAAAAGACCAAGGCCCTTCGCCAAGAAACCCTGCGGGGAAGAGGAAACCCATCGCGACTCCAACCCTTTTCCATCCATTCCTCTCGCTATGGCAGTCCCTCAGAGGACACTGAATTGGCTGTACAGTGTCTTGTCCAAAGTTGGTCTTTCCAAAATCTCTATATCATCCACCTACTAAACACCCCTCCAGGATCACTATGATCCACAACAGACCTACCGCGACCCAAACCGGACCTACCACGATGTTGCCAATGCGCTCTCCCAGTACCCCTCGCTATCCCCTCGAACAGATGTCTATAGTGAGTATCCCAAGTGCATATTATGCGGTTCTTGTTTCTGACCCCAATAGCCTATGAGACAGGCTTCTCGGCCCTCCTCCTTCACCTTGTGGGCACGTTGCCTGTCACCTTCCGAGGAACGACATATCGATTTCCCATTGCGCTTTGGATTCCAAATACATACCCACGCGAGCCTCCAATTGCCTACGTGACCCCGACACAGGAAATGACTGTCCGAGTTGGGCAACATGTGACGCTGGAGGGACAGGTGTACCATCACTATCTGGCACACTGGGCCGAAGCATGGGATGTTAGTGCTCGCAAGACATGGGTTGACAGACCACTGACCATTGTATTCACAGAGATCTACCATCGCCGATCTTCTTTCTATTCTTCAGGATATATTTGCCAAGGAGCCACCGGTCCGGTACAGACAACAAGTGCCACATCCTCAGCCGGAAGCTGCCCAAACACCCCCACCATTACCTCCCCTTCCACCAGGTGTCGGATCTTCGAGACAAGCTCAACCCCTGTCTCCACCTACAAGCCAGAGCCAGATTCCACCCCCGCCTCCGCCGAAGCCAGGCGCGGCTGGAGAGCATCCGCAGCAACAACAACAACGGCACCCAGCTGATCAATATCGATCTCCCCCACCGCTACCTCCACTACCACCGAAAGAGCAAGACTCTCGTCAAGCATATTTATCCACACAATTGGCCAGCCCGGGAATCCACTCATATCAGAATTACGCGCCTCCAAGCCAAACTGGAGGACCGATAAGCAGCCCTCGTCCCTTGTCACAGCCACCAACCCATCAGCCAACGGGACAGCCAATGCCGCCCCAGTCGGCGCAGGGTCAAGCACCGTATTATAGAAACAGCGGAGCGCCGGTCCATCATGGAACTGGGTCTACTATACCAAGCCATGTCCCTCCTCAAGCTAAACCCGCTTGGGCTCACCTGCCTCTGCAGCCGCAACTCCCCCATCAGCCGCACCAGCAACCGTCCGGTCCCCCATATCCTCAGCATTCTCCATACCCATCCAATTATCCCCACCCACCCCCAGCAGCTCCCACGAAGGCCGACACACCCGACCTTCTAACCTCGCCATTTGAGGTTGAACTACCTTCAATCGCACCCGCAGGACCAGCGCCTCCCATCCCACCAAACCCAGAGAAAGATGCACTCCTTCATGCCGTGTCCCAGACACTGGCGGAAACCCTCCGTGCTAATGCTGCACAGTCTGACACGGCAGCGCAGTCACTCGCCTCACAATCACGGTCCCTGCATGCCGCCATGGCCACACTGCAGGGGGAACTTTCGGCGCTCAATACTCTCCACGCGACCCTCCAATCCAACACTACTGTCCTACAGCAATCCATCCATCGCGCCGACGCCACCATCTCAGATGCGCAGGCTCGCTCTACATCCATTTCCACTTCCAGCGCTCCTTCGACCTCCGCTACTCCTGGAGACTCTCCGTCCGGCCTGCCCCCAATCGATGACGTCCTGGTTGCCCCTACCGTGGTAGGGAAGCAGCTATATGATTTGGTCGCCGAGGAGCAAGGGATACAGCAAGCTCTCTATGCGTTGCAGGCTGCGCTGGTCCGCGGTATTATTGGTGTCGATTCCTGGTCGCGGCATACACGAAGTCTTGCACGTGAAGCTCTTCTCAAGCGGGCATTGATTCGTAAAATCGGACGTGGAATGGGGTTGGATGAGAGTGTGGCTTGAATTACCGGATGCTGAGCATCGTTGATTAGACATCTTGGTTATAGATACCCTTTCTTTTCCCCCCATCCCCCAATGAAATAGCTAGATGATGTGAAGATCTCTCTTCTTCTCTAACGACTCATGATTCTTTCCATTTTTACTTTCACCGACATCTAGCGGAGGACTCACTCCGTACGGGAGTAGTTCGATACCAGAGCCAGGCATTCCCTTTCCTTCCAGCGCTGTCTTCCAGGCCGTACATTTGGGGCCGTTTGGTGTATACGCAGTATAAGAAGTAGATCAGTATTGCACCCCTTGGCATGGACGATCACAAATATTTGCTTGGTAGAGTTCCCTTCCGACAAAAGAGACTGCCACAACAGATATCCTAGTATCTATGCTATCCCGCCAAGACACCGCATATGGGCCTCTAATACAACCCAAGCCCTCGGAGAAGAGTCGGGAAAATGCACTCGAGGGTTGGGATTGGCTTCTTTCCTTTTCGCCCTATACACAAGCTCCACCAATAGTTCTCAGTGTATGTTAGTTTCGGCCTTTGGGCCCTGACCTCTAATGTTGAGAGTAAATGAACCAGAAAATATCTCTCGAGACTAGTCTGTTGCAAGGAACGGACCCAGTCCTTTCCAGGTAGCAAACGATTTTATATTGACTCCTTATGGGGGCTGTGACTTGGCAATGGCTGTATCCATGGATGCCCTATAGGTACCAGATCTGGTGATACTTTTAAGAACCATCAGTTTTCCAAGGGCACAGGCATCGACGAGATCGATTTTGTTGGAATTGCTATTACATCTCATGGTTGTTGCGGCCTGGACTTTGGTTTGACGGAGAATACTCGCTCTGAGACTAACAGTGAAGGGTTTACTCTTTTTAAATGCGATGAACGGGTCAGGAGTCAGTGTACATGGACTCACTCTCTGGCAGTGTTGCTTTTATCGTTCCACCCAAGCGTTGTCCTTCAATTCTTTTTTTTTTTGGTGTTTCGAAGACTGTGTAGTTATACATAACTATGTATATAGTTACATGTAACTTCTTTTGTTTTTTTGTGTAGTTATTTACGTACCACACAACTACATAGCATACATATGCAGTGGATATTAAATACATATCGCAAATAATGTCGGAAAAAAAAACAACCAAGAACATGCGAAAGAGAAGCAGTCAAACCTTGGAAGTGGCGAGCCTAAATTCTTATAGTAGGAGTAAAGTATATAACTAAGTGGGAAGAGTGGTGGGAATATTTTCAAAGCCAGTACAAACCCCAATGTCCCTTCATCTGCAAGCTAGAGGAATAAGAAAGACTCTAGAAGCGCAGTGTAAAGGGTCTCCTTCTAACGAGACTATGTAAGTAAGCCACCAAGCCTAGCTCAACCGCGGGTTTGATGTTTGCATAGTAGTTATCAAAGGAATATATAAGGAGGTTGATGGTTGATAGACTACCTATCTTAAGCGAGTTTTCTTTTTGAAAATATTGGAATAATATATCGGAGAACATACTACCCAATTCTCCGAATATTGTAAACATTCTATCTGCTTGAGCTTCTGGCAAAATTGCAATTTAGAGACATGGTAGTCTGTTGAAAGAAGCCCATGGAATAGCGTGTGACACCAGATTCCCATGGCATTACGGAGTACGAATGGGAAGAGGGTATGCACCATACTCCAAAAAGATACAAAATCAATGAGAGTATAGATTCAATCGACAGTCCCATCTCAGTGTGCCAACACTCGCTGTACAAGGCACCCAAGGAAAGGATTCAACATATCAAAAAGGTACAAAAAGCCGTGGCAGGCTCCATACATACATAGAAAACAGAGTTGGAAATCAGAAAGAAAAAAAAAAAAGAAACCGTTGCTCCCAGACCCGCTCATTTCACCTCATTCGCATCCGAGAATGGACTTTCTACCCGGGTGGGTGGCGTCCGAGTGGAGCTACGTCCGTCGCTCAAGCCGGAAGCTCGACGTGAATCGGTCTGGCGATGCGAGGAACCGGTGTCCAGGTTGGCGGTAGATGATCGATGTGTATCATCGTCGCCCGATGAGGACGCGTCGAATGTGGAAATGTCGTGATTGAACTGGTCGTTGTTTGTGGTTGACACCGCCCGGCTTGTGTTATTGCTTTTACTATGCTCAGACAGCTCTTCGATCCGGTCGATAGCGGGTGTGGTATTGGTTTGCTTCTTCTTCACCGAAGGTCCACGCACCATCACTGGCTTGGCAGTTACACTGCGAGCCACACATGAACTGTTGCCCTTGACAGCCTCCGCCCGAGCAAGTTGCGCCGGGGTAATGGCCGGGACCGCAGGTGCGTCCGCAGGAGTAATCGTGACAGCAACGGGTGAGTCGTCTCCAGGGGCATTTGACCCGGCTCCTCCGTTGTGGATGCTCACCACGGCTGCACGAGACCGCTGGATCTGCTGCGCAGGCATGGCACTAACGATGGCATCGTTACGGTAGATGGTGGTAGCCACACTGCTGCGCAAAGTGGGAGAGATGCTCTGGTGGCCGGTAGTAGTTGTCCATGACGAGTCACGGAGGTCACCCGGCATGAAGAAGTGTTGATCGGGTGTCGCACCAGGAAGCGGTGGAACAGGAGGCACAAGGGAGGCTGGGGTCTCCGGCGGGGAGCGGTTGGTGACACCAGGAATGTAGGCGATTTGGATGACATTGGAGGCACGGGTTAGGACTGTAGAGGCGATGGACTGACGTTCACTGCGATTTGCCGAGAATGAACCGTTCTTCTCCGCTTCCTGGCGCTCCAGGCGCTTCTTTCGGATGACGAACCACCATACCAAGAACACAATGAGGGCGATGGCAGCCACACCACCGATGACACCACCGGCAATAGCGCCAGTGTCGGTGCCCCCGGAGTCCGAGGGCGTGGAGCCTGTTGAAACGCACTTTGTGGTCGCACATTCATCACAGCTCGGGGCGGTCATGGTGCATATTGATCCATCGGGACATGAGGGACAAGCGGGGGATGAGGTTTCACACTGCTTGCAGCGCTTGAAGAGGGAGCGGGCCGGGGAGAAGGCGGAATCCATGGGTTCGAGAAGCATGATGGGCGAGAAAGACAGAGACGATGATAACACAAAAAGACGAGATAATATCGATAAAGCCGGTCAACGGCAAGGAATGCGCAAGATAAAATAAGAAAAAAAGGAGTGTAAGGTGCTCAATCGGCGTCAAGTCGTGAGCGTAAACAGTAGATCATCAAAGCCGAGCCGTTAGGCGTGGCAGGAAACGAGTGTCGTGTGTGAGATAAAGATCGAAACGAGAGGGTTAGGCGATGATCATGGTCCTTGGAATGGTCCAGACACTTGACAGAGATTGTATATGTCCAAGACGGTCGGGATAGGGGGCTTGATTTGTTGACGTTGGCCCGACGCGCGTATCAGAGTAAATCGACTCACAAACCACACCCGATCGAGAGATCAATGTGGGAGAGAATAGATAGATTGATGAGAGAGAGAGAGAGGGAGGGAGGGAGGAGAGTATGACAAGTCAAAAAAGAGAGACGGGAGAGGATAATTGGGGGCCTTGGTCACGGGCCTGTGAGGTTCCACGGGTTAGATACGGGGTAGTCAGGTACACAATTGTTTGTACCTTTTGTACCTTTTGTCTATTTTATATAGGTAGGACCTAGGTATGTTGTAATGTTGTAGAGAGGATATAAGGTAAAAAATAAGAGGAAAAAAATACAAGTAAAATCGAGACCATACAGCTTTTAATATTCAAATATGCTATCAGATTGTTTCATCCCATGTTCACCTTACTTGGACCTGAGGGAAATAAGTGGACATCTCACTGTACCTGCAAGTGGTCTGGACTCTCCCGAGGTCGGATCATCAATCTTCCAAGATTGCGAGAGATTTGGATTTTTCTTTGTCTGTTTTGTCTGGTTTGTCTTTTTTGTTTTTTTTTTTGTCTTTTTCTTGTCTTTGTTTTACAAATAGGGTTAGTGGCTACCTAGGTAATTAATCTCTAACATCCTTTACCTAGTTAGGTGCTACATGATACGATTGCCCATCGGGGCAGGTGAGGAGTCACTGAAATTCTATTATATTAGGCAATGGGGGAAGTCGGGGAAATAAGGGAGATTAAACTACTCCGTAGGTACATAATTATTGATGCATAGTTAATATTGTACACCTGGGGGCGCAGTTACTAGCCACAACCCTAACTACTCCGTACTTTGTACCGAGCTGAACATCAGTACAACTCAGTTCAAGTTTAATGATATTATTATAATAGACTGATCGCTTGGCACTGGGGCAAAATATACGCTAGACCCTTAGGGTCCACAGTAATGTTCTAAAATTATCAAAGAGGGTCAGGTGACCTGAGAGTATACAACTTCATACTGACAGAGTAGATAGAATGACCGAATAGAAAAATCATAGAATGGGCAGAACCCAGTGCAAATGAGGAAACTAAATGGGACACTGCAACCGAGGACTTTCGATACATAAATGTACTGGCATTCAAACACCCATAGTGGAGTCCGGCATACCATCCCCTAAGTGTTAAGCCTTTTAAATAGTATTGTGCTCTTAGGAATGTGGGAATGAACCCTCTATATCTACGGAATAAACCGAATTGAACTCTTATATGAAAGGTCTGTTCACCAAATGTTTCACCAGTGGAGCCGGTTTATTAGGTTCGGGTGTTTTAGTCTCCGTATGTACCGTACATATATAAAGGGTCTGAAGTCTTACCCAAAACATAAATAAATCCATGGATAAAATCAGTGAAAGGGAACGAATCACAAAGTTAAAAAGAGAAAGAGAAAGAGAAAGAGAAAGAAAAAAGAAAAAGAAAAATTGGAATTCCTAGCATCTCAGCCTTTTGACATCTCAACCAGTCAGGGTCTTCCACAGGGTCTCGGGGACATCCGTCTATTCCAAGGTTGTTCTCACCTAGGGATGGAGTATGTGTGGTGTTTACTATGTAAGTTGAGGATAACTAGTTAACCATGGTAGAGAGTACTATGTAACTACCTAGTTAAAATATAAATACATATTTAAAGATACCAATAATTTCAACTAGTTAAATGAAAAAAAACCCCAAAATAATAAAAAAGACAAGAAAAGGAGAAACTAAACCAGGACGGGGCTAGGAGACAAGTCTATTTTTGACCTTTCTAGTCTCACTGTCTCCCTTTTTTTTTACCCTTTCCCCCCCTTCTCTTCTTTTCTTTTCTCTTTGACCCTTGATTCAAAACATTTGCAATATTCTCTAAAAAAATTATTCACTCTCTTCCCCTAGCCCCGGTGGCTTCGATAGTTGTTCATAAATGCGCCCTACTTGAACAGATACCCCTCTCTTGTCAGCTTTGAAACACATCCCTTTCTGATTTTTCAAACTTTGCGACACCATGGCCTACCACGGCTCTGGCTCGCACTCACCGAGCTACGATGATAGTCATCATCTGCAGGATGTGCCAGCTTCGCAGGTATGTGTGTGTGTGTGTGGAGAGGCGGTGAACTGGTCTCTAGAGCTGACACCGGTGTTTTTTTTGTTAGTATCGCGAGGATGAGGATGCAGCTCGTGGATTATTATCCCAACAGCAGGGTCCATTTGCGACTCCCTTTGACGACCCTCACTCGCGCGGTGTTTCTCCCCAACGTCCGGCTTCCGGGTACAGCTTGACGGAAACCTATGCAGCGGACACCGCCCCTTCGTACCACGACCCATACAATACTAGCACTGTCTACTCCGGCCAGGAGGAAACTACTGCGGCAGCCTTTGGGGTCCCCGGTCGAGTTGCATCGCCATATGCCCGCAGCGAGACCTCATCCACGGAGGCTTGGCGCCAGCGACAGGCCCCCGGGGGCGCCCCTGGTGGTGGTGGCGGCGGCTTGCGCAGATATGCTACTAGGAAGGTCAAGCTAGTGCAGGGTTCCGTCCTGAGTGTCGACTACCCTGTGCCCAGCGCCATCCAGAATGCCATCCAAGCCAAATACCGCAACGACGTGGAAGGCGGAAGCGAGGAGTTTACCCACATGCGATGTACGTGTGGACCAGACGAGGAATATACGGCTCTAAGAGAAAAACTAATGAGCCTTCACTCTTCATAGACACTGCAGCCACTTGTGACCCGAACGAATTTACCCTCCACAATGGTTACAACCTACGCCCCGCAATGTACAACCGTCATACGGAGCTGCTCATCGCGATTACCTACTACAACGAGGATAAGAATCTCACGGCCCGTACCTTACACGGTGTGATGCAGAACATTCGCGACATTGTCAACCTGAAGAAATCCGAGTTTTGGAACAAGGGTGGACCCGCATGGCAGAAAATTGTCGTGGCGCTCGTCTTTGACGGTATTGACCCTTGCGACAAGGATACTCTTGACGTTCTTGCGACCGTTGGTATCTATCAGGATGGTGTCATGAAGCGTGACGTTGACGGCAAGGAGACTATCGCGCATATTGTAAGTGGATGGCCGGATAGGGCTTCAAATGAAATAGCGCTAACAAAATACCCACCCAGTTCGAGTATACGACTCAGCTTTCGGTCACGCCAAGTCAGCAGCTCATTCGGCCCACGGACGATGGCCCGAGCACACTACCACCCGTGCAAATGATGTTCTGTTTGAAACAAAAGAACAGCAAGAAGATCAATTCGCATCGTTGGCTCTTTAACGCTTTCGGCCGCATTTTGAACCCCGAGATCTGTATCCTTCTGGATGCCGGTACGAAACCTGGCCCCAAGTCCTTGTTGTACCTCTGGGAGGCATTCTATAACGACAAGGATCTCGGCGGTGCCTGTGGTGAAATCCACGCTATGTTGGGTAAGGGATGGCGGAACTTGGTCAACCCTCTCGTGGCTGCCCAGAACTTCGAGTACAAGATCAGTAATATCTTGGATAAGCCTCTTGAGAGTTCGTTCGGTTACGTTAGTGTCTTGCCTGGTGCATTCTCGGCCTATCGATTCCGTGCAATCATGGGTCGCCCCCTTGAACAATATTTCCACGGTGATCACACGCTGTCTAAGCAGCTTGGAAAGAAGGGTATTGAGGGTATGAACATTTTCAAGAAGAACATGTTCTTGGCCGAGGATCGAATTCTCTGCTTCGAGTTGGTCGCTAAGGCAGGCTCTAAGTGGCACTTGTCTTACGTGAAAGCCTCGAAGGGTGAAACTGACGTGCCCGAAGGTGCCGCCGAGTTTATCTCCCAGCGTCGCCGTTGGCTCAACGGTTCTTTTGCAGCAGGAATTTACTCGCTGATGCACTTTGGTCGTATGTACAAGAGTGGTCACAACATCGTTCGCATGTTCTTCCTCCACATTCAGATGTTGTACAACATCTTCAACACTTTGCTTACCTGGTTCTCGCTGGCTTCATACTGGCTGACCACCACTGTCATCATTGACCTTGTCGGTACTCCAAGCGACAACAACAAACACACCGCTTTCCCCTTTGGCAAGACGGCCACGCCCATTATCAACACAATTGTGAAGTACGGATACCTCGCTTTCCTATTGCTGCAGTTCATTCTCGCTCTCGGTAACAGACCCAAGGGTTCCAAGTTCTCATACCTCGCCTCGTTCGTGGTGTTTGGTCTCATTCAGGTTTACATTGTGGTCGATTCGATCTACCTGGTCGTTCGCGCGTTCACCGGCGGCGCGCCCATGGACTTTGTTACTGACAAAGGCCTGAAAGCCTTCCTCGACTCTTTCTTTGGGTCGACGGGCGCTGGTATCATTATCATTGCCTTGGCTGCCACATTCGGTCTTTACTTCGTTGCCTCCTTCATGTACGCCGACCCATGGCACATGTTCACCTCCTTCCCTGCGTATATGGTTGTTCAGTCGTCTTATATCAACATCCTGAACGTATATGCCTTCAGCAACTGGCACGATGTCTCTTGGGGTACCAAGGGTTCCGACAAGGCCGATGCATTGCCGTCAGCCACGACTACGAAGGACGAGGGTAGTAAGGAAGCGGTAATAGAAGAAATTGACAAGCCCCAAGCGGATATCGACAGCCAGTTCGAGACAACTGTGAAGCGTGCGCTCACCCCATTCGTTGCCCCCGTGGAACATGACGAAAAGACACTCGAGGACTCCTACAAGAGTTTCCGTACCCGGCTTGTCACCTTTTGGATCTTCAGTAATGCAATCTTGGCAGTCTGCATCACCAGCGAGGCTGTTGATAAGTTCGGCTTCACAGTGAGTTTCCATCCTCTTTCAACGTTATTATGAGACCACCAACTAATACATATGATCATAGAATACCGCCACCAGTCGTACAGCCCATTTCTTCCAGGCCCTTTTGTGGTCCAACGCCGTTGTGGCATTGTTCCGCTTCATTGGATGCTGTTGGTTCCTGGGTCGCACTGGTATCAAGTGCTGCTTTGCACGCCGGTAGTTGGCTTCCAGCACAACATGTGTACCCTTTTTTTTTTATGACCCCCCTGACACAATTTCCTATTCTCTTCTCTTTTTCTTTCCCATACCGTGATCTGTATTCTACCTAAAGATGCCCAACTCTGTTCTCTTTTGATTTTGCAATGCCAGCCAGTATGTATTCGCCCGGTTTTACCCTTGACGGTTATTGTGATCTTTTTTTGTCGGATCAGCCATGCACCGGCATCGCATTCGGAGCGCTATGATTATGTACCTCATATTCAATTTATTTTTTTTTTCCTTCGAGATTTCAATACTGAGTAGAGATTCAATATTTATATCCCATAGACTGTGTATAGTATGGAGTTCCCGAGGTCGAATACGTCAACTGGTGGAAGGCGGAGAGGCGATAAAGGGCGATTGCTGATCTGAGACCCCCGCAAGCACAGGGCTATCCTTCACTCTCACCTGTTGATCTCGCCTTTTACAGCTTTGCATCTCCTTTCTGTCTCTCTTTTCTTCTCTGAAATCCCCAGAGTGGTTATCTCGCCATAAACCTCCTACTTCGCTCTCCCGAAAACCTGTCCGTTCCACCAGGTGGGGTGGTGACTACCAGCCAAAATGTTGAAAATCTGGTCGATGGTAGGGCTTTATCTGGTTCTTATAGAAACCCTGAACTATGATTAACAGTCTATATAGAAACAAAAGCAGCAGGAGGCTGAGAATGCCGAGGGTGCTGCAGGCAAGAAGAAGAAGAAGGTCACCGCGGCGCAATTACGCGTGCAACGAGGTGAGTGACTCTCCCGTAGTGGACAGTATAACTCTCGCTGGTTGCTTATTGGATCATTGTTACATGGATCTCTAACTTCTCATCTCTTTAGATCTTCAGGAACTCACCCTCGGCAGCACGATGAAAATGTCTTTCCCAAACCCGGACGACATCCTTAACTTCACCTTGACCATCGAACCGGACGAGGGCATGTATAAGGGTGGTGTCTTCAACTTTAGCTTTGCCGTCAACCAGAACTTCCCCCATGATCCTCCCAAGGTCAAATGCACGCAGAAGATCTACCATCCCAATATCGATTTGGAGGGCAACGTCTGCTTGAACATTCTACGAGAGGACTGGAAGCCCGTGTTGAACCTGAATGCGGTTATTGTGGGAATGCAGGTCCGTTGATTTCTTTCTCTTGACTAGTCATTACTTTCGCTGACTGCTATTCCACCGCAGTTCCTTTTCCTCGAGCCAAACGCTTCCGACCCTCTTAACAAGGACGCCGCGGAGGATCTTCGCGCCACTCGTGACACCTTCAAGAAGAACGTGCGCAACTCCATGGCCGGCGGGTCCGTCCGAGGCATATCATTTGAGCGAGTGCTACGGTGAGCGCCAGCTAGGGTTTCACACTTGCAGTTTTTTTTTCCATCGGCTCCCATATCCACACTTCGCCCATACCCTATGACGATGAGCAGATATGGGATGATGATCTATGGTTTTACACATGGCGGAGACATTGTTCGGCAAACCCATGGGGGGGTGCGCTGGTGTTTCCACGTACATATATCCGGCGTAATTAGCGTTTGAACACAATAGATCCAATTCGCTCATTTAGCTGGTCAGGCGTAGGGTCAAGTATATTGATCTGTGTGTTCGGGCGATACTACGTAGAATGGTCTGCGATGGGCCATGATCAATCGGCAATCTATCTCACTGAGCTAGAGAAAGAGTAAAGTCCAAAATCAATATGGTTGGTTGTCCACAGGCGTATATGTACAATCGATCTCAAATCTAACCAGCCACTCGTACACACCCGTCGATCCAACCAAGCCCGATGGTGATGTGGAGACATATGCCCCCCATCACTGGGCAATTTTCTAGAGAACGCTTTGACAAAGAAAAGAACTGGCGCCGAACGGGCGGGAAGGAGACGATCGAGAGGAGGTGATCAGGGTTGATCGATTTAACCCCGCTGGGCAGCACGCTCAGCCTCAAGGCGGGCGTAGTAGGTATCGCGCTCACGCACGCGGGGGAGGTGGTAGCCTGCGGGACAAACTCATGATCAGATTTCGAGTGATCAATCGTGTGGGGTTGGGCGCAGCCGGGGATAATCTACTTACCGTACCACCAGAGGTAGCCGAAGGTAGTACCGAAGCCTAGTGGATGAGATACCCTGATCAGCAACTATATTCACTTGTTGATCTCATCCCAGCCATCCTTTTGGTGCTTGTATTTCACGCCGTCGCTCTCGAGAGATCGCGATATCCAAATTGTCGTTTGATCATGCCACTCGATTCGGATCACAACTTACCGAAAGCGGTGCTCAGGTCAAGGACAAGACCACGGCGGAGCATCTGTAGACAAGCATAGAATGTCAGTAAATCATTGCGAACATCTCAATTGACCTGATAAACCCGCTCGGGTTAACCCGGCCTTGAACGGAAGGGGCACGTACGCCGGTAATGGGGGGAATAGCGGCGGGCATTGTGACGAATGATTTGCGTCAATCGATGCTTGAGCAAAAGCAATATGGGTTGCGGACAGCTTGAAACCTGCCTCGGACGTTGGTGGGGGAGAGGAGAGGGGGTAAGGAGGAAGGCTGATTTGTGAGGTGAAGTTGAAGCTTCGGAGCGGACTAAGCGAGCCGCCGGATTGGTCGGTCTTACTATGAGAGCGAACTATGGCATGTTCACCATTCCCTTACTATTCCAGGGCTGCGAAATACGATCACAGAAGTTTTTTTTGGTAACTTTCTATACACTGGATCACTGGACCCAATGAAATGAGTATTTTGCCCTCTAGCAATACCTACGTGAATATCAAAAGCAAGGGTCACGGCAACTAGAAGCCCTCGAGATGGAGAATACGTGAGATAAGCGAAGCCTAATTTGGTGGCATTATGTGCTCGTCTACATATTGAATGTCCTATCTAAGCGATCCATCTACCCCAAAGCCCAAACCAAGCCATTCAGATTGCTTCCTCCTAACCTTGTCCTCGAAGGTCTATGACAGCTGCTCATCATTCTATTCACCGCCTACAGCACGTGACCCCAACTCGATAACATTGCCTTGTCGGGACGACCACTTCTTGATCAGACCAATATAATGGCCATGGCGACATCGGGCGCACAAGTTAAACGACCGTCTTCATCACTCGATCAGAACCACCCGAAGCGGATAAAGCGTCACTACCATCACCATCATCGTTTACAGGAGCCGGTGGTCCTCCCATCCACGTCCGAGCCAGTCGTGCAAGATGACACCCACCTCGACCAATTGATGAATCGTGCAATCGGCCAGACTTTGAAGGACTCAGGGTTTGAGTTGGCCGATCCAGCCGCACTGTCGAGTCTCTGCAGTGCTACTGAGGAGTGTATGTGAACCTGGTATTGCATCCATTTTGAAGCTTTTGAATTGACGGGTTGCGCCTGAAATCTCCCAGACATGCTACGGCTCTCCACATTCATCCGTCAGTCTATGCTATCTGCGCGACGCGTCCAACCAATCCCGCAAGATTTCGACCACGCCATGAAGCGTTTCCGCCTTAATCCCGATGATCTTCTCCCTCATCTCAAATCAGCCCTCCCAAAAAAACCCACGCCGACATTATTACCATCTCCCCCACCAGAGAATGAAATATCCAAATCTCTCCCATTTCTCACGGCGCTGAGCAGTGAAGACGACCGCGCAAATCGTCCCTACATCCCCAAACATTTCCCGAGCTTCCCTAGCAAACACACCTATTCTGCCACCGCAGTTTTCATCGGACGAGACAACGACCCGCGCAAGATTAGGGAACGCGCCGCAGAGGATGGACGGCATGGCGAGGAAGCTTTGCGCAAGTTAGCGAGCGCCGCATTCCGCGACAACCAGACGGGCTCGACTGGCCGCGATAAGAAACTCTGGGGTCGGAGAACGGACAGTATGGAAAGCATGTTTGAAAAGACGATCAAGGGACTATCTAAAAAGCACAAGGACTCTCACGGCACATTCACCAGCTCAGCCATGGATATTGATTCGGGACACCCGGCGGATGCCGACACCAAGTCCCGGCTCAAGCTCTCATGGAATATGGAGTTGGGCCCCATTGTCAACTGTGAGCGAGATCTCTGGCGCCGGACAAGCTCGAATGCACGGAGAGGAGAGGAAAAGACCTCAAAGCCTCCAGCAAGTGTCGAACCAGCGGATGTCATGATTGACATGTAAATTACAAAGGCATAAGGCTTACCGGCGTTCATTTCATTTCTTTCCTTTTCTCCCCCCGATTATGGGCTGGCGCTTGTGTTTTAGTTCAGGAGCATGACCTGAGGAGATACCCCATGGCAGTCATAAGCATTATTCAAATCCCACTTTTATTCTTGAAACCTGCAAGTAGTTGTAATCCCATATAGCCAACTCCGCCCAATGCGCATTCGTAATGCAAAGTAGTCCCTCTCATTGTTTTGTATTGGCTGCTTGCTTTTGTTTCGCTTCCTCTGCCAGCCTAATTGGCTCCCATGATGTTGTTTCAACCATTAACCCACCGGCACAACTACAAGATCAGCTTGCTATTTGACTCGAACCCGGAGCTCAAGACTCACCGTCGGAACAACCGCACCACAGGCTCGCATACCACAACCCCTGCTTCGGGAACCCCATTTTGTGGTGGATTGCAAGAGAATTGTGTCATTTCAAGTAATGGGCACTCCTTGAGGTTGACCGGTTCGCCTTTACGGCGTTTCTCTTGGAAGTTGCGGCGAACGGTATTGACATGATCGGGGAGGGATTCGGCGGAGAATATGGGGACGAGAGGAGCCATTGTAAATTTCCAAGGTTACAATTGTGAATATGAGATAATTCAGCTAGTGTGATATTTTGGAGGTTTGGTGTTGTCGAAGGGAAAAGATTCGAAGTGAATTTGAAGGGAAAGGTTGGAAGGTCGGAAGCTCCGTCAGCCGCGCTATTCGAGTTTCCGCATCTCCTTTCTACAACTTTACTTCTACCCTTTCACCACTTTGTTCGCATCTATTCACTGGACTTTATATACGTCTTGGTCAAACTCTAGTGATGCCAGATCCATGACGCAGGCCATTGCTTACCCATGGCAGCCAATCTCGGGGAGAGATCGCTAGCCGATGTACACGAAGAGGGACTAGATGAGGTATTGCAGCTTTCCTATTTCGTTGAATGCATTGAGTTGACTAGTCTTAGGTACTCTCTGGATTGGCCCATTTTTATCCCGGTCACACAACCCATGACACACATTCATTAGGTGTGCCCATTCTGGACACTTTGCTTGAAGTCTTTGCGCCGAAAGCACTTGCTGTGTCAGGTGCTGTGAACGATGGACAACCTCAATCCCCAAGTGAGTATGTAGCACAGCAGACCATCGAAGAAGAGGAAATGCTGCTGCACAGTGAATTCCCGGCTGGCCAGGTTTATAGACCGGATGAAATACACGCAGCACAAGACATTGACCCATCTGCCAATGTGTTGTTCTCAGACCCAGACGGTAGCAAGAAACAGCAGGTTCCTATAGTGGAGATTTCAAGCAGCCTGTCGGCTTCGGGGAAGTCACAACTATTGTACTATCTCACGGCTCTCGCTATCTTACCACGAAAATATGGGGACATCTCAGTCAATGGCCAAGAGGCAGCTGTGGTGTTCATAGATACCGACGACCGATTCGATGCCGAAAGACTAAGAACTGTGGCCCGAGGTATCGTACTGCAACAGCGAGGACTATCTGAATCAAGTTCTGAGATTCAAGCCCAACCAGGAGGAATGCCAGATCACCATCTTGAATCATTGCTCGTCTCTTCACTACAGCATGTCCATGTCTTTCGTCCGCAATCTTCATCCGCTCTGTTGGCGACAATCCACACGCTAGACTCGTACCTTTTCGATATCTCGCGACATCGTTCCGCATCACGTCCCTTAAAAATGATCGCCATCGACAGTGCCACCGCGTTCTTCTGGCAAGACCGGCTGCGTGACGAAGTCGCTCGGACCGAAGAAATTGGGCGTCCTCAGGCAGAAATTGATTCTGAGCGCGAGCAACAAAGGAGTTTCCATTTGTCTGACCTCTATACCGAGCTGGTGAGGGAGCTGAAGGGTCTACAGAGTCAGTTTCAGTGTGCAATTGTGTATACCTCAACGGTTTCGGGAGGTCGAGCTTCTGGTCCTGGTCACTACGACCAGTCCCAGGGTCGTGTTCCATCGCTGAGACCTGTTCTCCCTGCACCCTGGGGCACTCTTCCAACGTTGCGTCTGATTGTCCACCGGTCTTCTGTTCGCCCATTTCCACCGAGCATGGCTGCTCATGCAGCCGTGAAAGACGCTCCTTCACGGCAGAGCGTGGTTCAGCAAGGGAAGATATCGGCATGGGTCAATCCATGGGGGCGCGATGGATGGCCCCGTCGCATAGTTGAAGCAATCGAGGCGCACAATGGTGGAAGCTTTTCATTTTACATGCGAGACTCTGGGGTTGAAATGACTGATCTTCATAATTGATTGGTCGATTCTATTTACGGTGTATATTCTCGTCTTTCCATTAAACTTCGTAAGCTCATGTAAACAGCTTGGCAATTGCCTCAACGGTTGTGTTGCCGCCGCTGAACACAACGCCAACATCCCATCCATCCTTGCCACCCTCTCGTTCGACTCGTCGCCTGAAGTTCTCGTCAAAGAGACACACGGCCAGTCCAACCACTGCACTCGGCTCAACAACAACTTTCATGCGCTCTATAATCAACCGCATGGCCGACTTGATCTGCTCTTCGGTGACAGCGAACACCCCCTCCACCTTCTTCTCATTGGAGATCACCTCCCAATTGAGTAATCCCACGGGTGTGCGTAGTCCGTCTGCAATAGTGAGGGTGCTAACGGCTTCCACTCGCTTTCCGGCCTGCAACCCGCGTCGACAATCATCTGCACCTTCAAAGCTGGGCTCTGCACCGAACACGCGTGTCTGCTTATCCGAGAACCACGTCGCCACGCCGGAGTTGAGCCCACCTCCACCAATAGGAGTGATAACCGCATCCAGGGTTCGGGGCCCAGCTTGTTCGGCATGCTGTGTCTCCAGCTCTAAACCCGTTGTACCCTGCCCACAGATGACATTGAAGTTATCATATGGTGGCACGAGAATGGCGTTTGTCTTCGACTGTATCTCTGCCACCACAGCTTCACGTTCTACACTCGTCGAGCCACTGAAGATGACCTCCGCCCCATAGGACTGCGTACCCGCAATCTTCGATGGCGTGCTGATGCGGGGCATCACGATATAGGCGGGAATGCCCAGAGTTGAGGCAGCGAGGGCGAGGGCTTGTGCATGGTTTCCTGAGATGGAGAGGATTCAGTATGTATAGTTTTGGATTTGTGCAGCAGAAGATCAGAAAAATACCAGAGCTATGTGTAACTACCCCGCGCCGTTTGACTTCCTCCCCGCGCTCCTCCAACAGTCGCAGCAATGCGTGGAATGCACCTCGTGCTTTGAAGGCACCAATTCGCTGGAAGTTCTCGCACTTAAAGAAGAACCGAAATTGTGGACGAGCGGAAGTTTGGCCTTCAAACGGCGTTCCGACCAAGGCTTCGGGGGATTGCGGTGTTGAGGCGATGGTGTCGAGTGTTTTGCATGTCAGCAGCGGCGTGCGGTGCACATGGGGCTGGATGAGACTATACGCCGCTTGAATTGCGGCTGGAGTGAGCGATTGAGCTGCAACAGCGGGAGAAGTCATAATGGGTTGGAGATGAGGTTGAAGAAGAGAAGTCAGATTAGTAGAATGACTCTTATTTTACCCCGGATTCTTCTCCGGGCTTCGGCGCGCATGGGCCTATGGGCCTACCTAGGTACAGCTGCAGGTACAAGCTGCAAGAAACAATCTAGAAGCTACGAGAAACTGGAAAAAGAAGTAACTGGGGAATGGCCGGTAAAGCCTCAAAATAATATTTTCGATCTGAAACCCAAAAAGAACAGTTCATAGTACATCATCATTTTTTGAACCCCCACGGGTATCAAGGTATTATTTATTTCTGGTTCTCGGGGCGGAGAGAGCGGACGGCCTTTCCGGCGCGCCAGATCTCGAGATCGCGGATCTCCTGCATCTCCTTCTCGTACTTCTCGCGGTAGTCGGGCTGCGAGTTGTAGTCGAGGGAACGCTGGGTCTCAGTGCCGTTGTGGACGCTGTCGTAGAGGTCATTGAAGACGGGCTTCAGGGTGTCCTTGAAGCGGCTGGACCAGTCAATGGCACCGCGACGGGCAGTGGTGGAGCAGGCAGCGTACATCCAGTCCATACCGTTACCACCGATCAGGGGGTACAGGGACTGGGTGGCCTCCTCAACGGTCTCGTTGAAGGCCTCGGAGGGGCTGTGGCCACGCTCACGGAGAACCTCGTACTGGGCGAGGAACATACCGTGGATACCGCCCATCAGGCAGCCACGCTCTCCGTAGAGGTCGGAGTAGACCTCCTTTTCAAAGGTGGTCTCGTAAAGGTAGCCGGAACCGACGGCGACACCCATGGCGATGGCGCGCTCCTTGGCCTGGCCGGTGACGTCCTGGAAGACAGCAATAGAAGAGTTGATACCACGGCCCTCACGGAAGAGAGTGCGGACGGTACGGCCGGAACCCTTGGGGGCAACGAGGATGACATCAATGTCCTTGGGGACATCGACCTTGGTGAGGTCCTTGAAGACGGGGGAGAAACCGTGGGAGAAGTAGAGAGTCTTGCCCTTGGTGAGGAGGGGCTTGATAGTGGGCCAGGTCTCGGACTGAGCGGCATCGGAGAGCAGGTTCATGACAATGGTACCCTTCTCAATGGCGGTGGTGACATCGAACAAGTTCTTGCCGGGGACCCAGCCGTCCTGAATGGCCTCCTTCCATGAAGTACCATCCTTGCGGACACCGACGATAACGTTGAGACCCTGGTCACGCAGGTTCAGACCCTGACCGTGACCCTGGGAGCCGTAACCGATGAGGGCAAGGGTATCGTTCTTGAAGAACTCCTGGAGCTTCTCACGGGGCCAATCGGCACGCTCGTAGACATCCTCCTTGACACCGGCGAAGTCAATGGTCTTGATACCACGGACGGGGGTGACGACCGAGGAGACACGGGGGAGAGTAGCGGCAGCGAGGGCAGGGCGAGGGAGGGCTGCGGTAATGACCGAGCGAGGAGCGGCCACGCGGGCGAGGCGGAGGGCACGGGGAAGACCACGAGAAGCCATTGTGAAGATATGGAAGAGAGGAGAGTGGAGAGTGAAGGAAAAGAAGGAAGTTGGACCGGGGAAGCTTGGGAATTTAAATAATGGGCGAATATGCTGGGCGAGTCGAGTCACCGTAGCAATTCTCGGAGAGCAGACCTTGCTCCCCGGAGACCCACACCGACACCGGCCGCTGTATTGATTGGAGGGTGATGATTTATTATGTCATGTATTGCGTTTCCCAGTGCGACAAGCATACTTGGTAGATATGGCTCATCTCATGGTCAGATATTTTCCCCGGAGTAGGAGCAGTCTCCGGGATATCAGAATATCCAAGCCAGGGTCCAGACTTTTAAATTGACTATAGCACGTGACAACATTCGTACCTTCCTTGACTTCTTTTTGGAGTCGTTCCTTCCCCCCAAAAGTACCATTTTCTGCCTCAGGCCCTCTACAATGTCTCTCCGCCCCCTCCATGTCCCTCAATATCCACCCGACTGATATTTGGTCTGTCCAATTACTTTCTCTTGTTTCTAGTCTTGGTCGTACCATGTCTATAGGATGAGTGTCTTCTCATTCGGGGATCTGCCCACAATCCAGACCCGGAAGGCATTGTTACTACTT